GTTGCCAAAAATAAATTCCTCGACTGCTTGAAGGGGAAATTTATGAAGTAAAAGCTTACATGAAAGGAACAATTAGATAACGCCTATTGTGATTCTACGAGAAACAAAACCAAAAGTAAGGAAAGCTATAACATTTTCCTGGCCTCAGTTGGGTATGACGTCGTTCTGTCGTTCGCTCACTCAGCGGTTAAGTCAGTCCAGTCTCCAGAGAGACCTTTAGGAACTGGATGTCAGACTGACAAATAGAATTTAAATTTAGAGATTCTTATGTTTAAAAATTGGCCTTCGAGACTGTAAATTCAGCAAACAAATAGCTGCATCTTTCTCCACGTTACGTCGTAGATAGTTGAGCTTCTTTTCTTGGCTACGAAGTTGTTCCCTTTGCGGTTAAGGCAAATGTCGTCAGCTTAAAAAGAAAAAAATTAGCGAGCGTTCAGTTGTGTTTTCTTTTCATTTCGAAGATGCGAAAAAATTTGAAGAAAGTTTAATGAAGTTTGCAATTTTAGACTGGGATCAGCCAAGGTGTTGTTTGGTTCTATTTTCAATCAAAAGGGGCCCATAATGTGTTTTGATAGGATTTCTCGATGTAAACTTATTAATCGTGATATACGAAGTCGCGTATAAATGCAGTAGGTCTGCTTACATAATAAGCGCTAATTCCTGAACAAAAATTATTGGATTTGTATTTTTGTTTCTTAAAAAAAGGACAAAGATGGAAAAATTGATGTGCTTTATGCGGCAAATTTTGTGATATCAGTATTATCTCATATATATTAATAAATCTTGTACAGCTCAAAACAGATCAATATGGCGTAAATGCATTTCCCAAACTTTCCGTTGTTTTATTTTTTCTCTTTGTTTTGTTTTTTTGTCCTTGTCCTAATCCTTCAGTGATTGATTCCTGTGTGTAAGCATGCTCCGTTATTACCAACATGTGACATTAAAAAGCAAATAAATAAAGGGGAAAGTTTCTAAAGAAACTGTGGTGCTGCGTCGGTGGGAGAAAAAAACATCGTAAATTGGCCAACGTGAATAGTTTAAAAGCTGACGTTTCAAGCGTTTGCCTTTCGTCAGAGCGATTGGTCGAAGGGCTCACGCTCGAAACGTCAGCTTTTAAACTCTTCACGATGGCCAACTTATGTTATCAACTCAGTTGATAATATCAAATGAACCTGACAGTAAAAACCTCTGGTAAAATTGCTGACATACTGAAAGGAAAGCATAATGTTAAATATTTTGCTTCTGTTGGAATTTGATCAGAGATGAACCGTCAGTTTTCGTCTTTTTGTCTTCTTTCTATAATAGTGCTGTCGTGTCTGAGGTAAAAAATCGACCATTTTTACCAAGTTTGGAAGAAAGAAGTTCGAGTGAATATCCATAATTTTTCGCACAAAAATGTAACTGGTGGTCATGGCATTGTAGCCAGCTGCAGCATGACGTTATTGATATCGCCGATCCTAGCAGTATCATGGCAGGACGCGTGTCACATATGAACTTCGTAATGGGCCTCTTTCAACATAGAGTCTCTGTGGCTCAGTGGTAAAGGTTCGATTCCTCGAGTTTTTCTCTGTCCCGCTCTCTATTTCTTTCTAATCTGGCTCAAAATTTCCCATCTTTCTTATTCTAGGGGAGAATATTTATTTCAGTCAGTTTCTACTGATGAGAATTGGCATTTTTCAGTTTTAAAAAAGTGCTTCTAGAAAAGCATTAGAAATTTTACATATGTAAGGTGAAGACATGTTTATTGTCCTGAAATGTTTTTCCTTGGACTCGCAGCATTTAGGTAGAAAATACTTAGGGTGGCTAAGAGTCTTCCCACTTAAACATTGTGGACAAATTGGCTTGGAACAATAGGATTATTTCAAAGTATGAGTTAAAAATAAAACAAGTTCTAACAATTCGTGTATTTCTTGACGTAATTAGAAGTTGACAAACATGTTTATGGCGATCCGCACGTTTCCAGAGGAAATGTTAGTCCCACGAAGCTGTCAACAACATACGTTTACTAATTGGTGCCTGAGGTTACTTAAGTACGGGTGAGATATAAAATCATAACGATGAAATCAAATAGGCAAAACTGCCTCAATCAAGTTGAAATCGTGCTTGGCGGCATCCATGATAATTGCTAATGAATCTATTTTTGACATGGACCCTTACGTACAGTAAGCGATGAAAAGGTCATGCCCTGAAATCAGTGCCCATACAATAAAGCTTTTTAAAAACCACATTATCATCACGTCCGTCGCGTCTGCAAGATACACAACAGTACTCCTATTCTCCATTTGTAATCTTATTTCTGCGTCGTCGATTACATAATTGAAGAATGAATCAACGAGAGTGCGTGTTTCCTTCTTGGATGTTGTAAAACGAATTCTGGCCTTGCGCTTAACTCTTGACAGCAATTATTTGCTTTGCCACTTCGTTGTTACTCTGTTTGCCAGTTTTCTCATCGTTGAAAACGCTGTTTCAGCAGCGTGATCAAAATAGTGATTTATGATTTGCTTTGGTCCTTATTTTTCAATTAATCTCGTTTGAATAACTCTGATCCTCCTCCTTTCCCACTGTTTCTGGCTGTTTGTAGACGTCATATATTGCCTCTGACTTGACGAGCGCACGTTTTGACTTGGAAATCCGCATTTGCCATAATTACCTCAGCAGAAATTTCTTTATATGTCATTATCCACACGGGATAAACTGCAAAAACGTGACAAACATGCTATCAAAAACTAGCGTAAAGAATTGGTCACCAATATTTCCTTGGGTGTCATACTGTTTGGTGTGTGTGTATGAAATTATTCGTGTGCATTTTGCGCTGTCCAAACGTAAAATAATAGAGTCGTGAATGTATCAGTTTCGGACGTGTTTTCTAACTCCTTCGGTTGTTATTTACAGTTGTTTTTTTACGTCAGTGCAAAAGCTTAACGTATGAATCAGAAATGAATAAAGGAGCTTATGATTTAGAAACTTGGTGCCTTAAAGTCAGTTATGCCCTTGGGAAAGTACAAAGTATCCTGTAATATCCTCTTGAATCATGAATAGTGCTTAACCACAAAAGAAAAATCACAAATAATTCCCAAATAATCTCTTCCTGTCATTTTCACGGGCTGCTACTTAAATGAGTGTTCTGTCGACTCTACAAACTTTGTGTGCTAGACGTCCGAAGAAGCAGAGCTCTCGGGAACTGTGTCTGCAGCCGGACTGCAAGGCCAATCAAAACACTGACAACCTATATTGGTAGGGATTTGGTTTTACAGTTTGACTTATTGCAGCCCCGTGATTATTGCCGATCTCTTTTTGAGCATTCTAGATTCGTTGGCATGGAAAGCAATCATAAATTTTTCGAAATATTTTGTAACTCCTTCAGGGAACTCTGATGTATGGTAAATTCCTATTTCTTTGTAGCTGAAATCCAAACTATGCAATCCAAAATAAGCTCTGTAGTTCTGCGCCGTCTTAGAGCTTGTGGCTCTTAAGTCGTTTTGGAGAGACTGTTGTTTTTTAAAATTACAGTCTTGAAACGGGTATGGTTTTAAAAGGAACCACAAAGACGTAAAAATTAACTGGTCTTCTCAACACAAAATTATTAAGATTGGGCTGTTCTGGTTTCCTGCCGAAAGCGAACCTATGGATTTTTTTTCCTCAAACGGGTTCTTTAAGTCATTTTTTTCAAAAAATACTCGTGATATCTGTATCTCAAGATGGATGTTAAGGTAATCGTGGCTGCAATTAAACCGAACGTGCTGGAGGTCTGTAGACTTCGTGGTGAAATGTATGATGCCTCTTCCTTCAGTGCTAGCGATCACTGTGAAACCAACAGTAGTCATAAAGAGCTCTGCAGACTTTGTGAACTTCCGACCTTTCCGCTTCGTGGGTAGAGACAAGCCCTTCAAGCTTTAGACAAAGCACAATAGTGTTTGTGTAAGCTCAAGAATCGAGGCATTGTTTGGAGAAAAATGATAGAACTGAATCACTGTTGTTGACGCTATTATCGAAAGTCAAGTATTTACTAAGACTCCTTCAGTCGAAACGAGTGCATGTGACGGGATCTGACTAAATTTAAACTTAACCTCAAAGTATGTGTAACCGATATGTCCACTTGAATGTGTTTTTCTCCTCGTAAACTGCGGGAAGAATCAAAACTAAGGCAATTTGCGGTTTCACAATCCAGTGCATTAGAGTCAGTTATTATATACATTCGTTTATCTTTTATACTTTTTATCAATCCAATTTTTTCTGAAGTGTTTATGACAAGCATACCCACTTCCACGAAGGTTTCATTGTTTGACGGATAAAATATCTGACACTCTCCATATAGGATGGAGTTTTGAGATTTCAGTTAATATACACAAGAAATTTGATCTATCGATCGCTTTTATTCCAGATGGAACTGAAAAACAACTCATTTTAATGTTGTTAATACTACTGTTAAGCTGATTTCAATTTTAATTGATATTGTCTTTTGACTTGCTGCACGGAAAGAAAACTATTGGACGAAACTTTATCAAAGATCAAATTAATTTAGCTTGACTTTTAGGGTTTTAGAGATGAAAAACAACCATCCTGAACACCATACTGAGCAATTAACATAGCTGAAGGCGCTTACCAGACCTGGAGCACTAACACGATCGAGAAAAACCTCATCTCGGCTCTTTTTCATTTATCATCATGATTTTTTCGCACTGAAACTTTTGGTTCGTCAGTTTCAAAGGCTTCCTGCTCACGTGGTAACTCTGTCGTGAAGTTTGTAACAGGTTTGACGGAAATATGAGGAACTAGAGGTCGAATTTCTTGAATCAATCTGTACTCGAAGACCCTCACAGGTTTGCTTCCAAATCACCTGAAAAATCCAGACATAAAGCGTAGTCTTGTCGGACATAGTTCACTGAATTTAAGAGAATTCTCGCCCCTTTTATTGAATTGATTATATATTTTTTTATTCTTTTTTTAGCTGAAATTATTTTACAACAATTTGTGCTCGAGTGAACTTCGAGATGTCAGAGATGAGTTTATCGATGATATTCCCAGCAATCATATTCACATTGGCTTTCTTACTTATGGTCACAAGCACAGAAAGCAAAAGGTAGGTCACACATGCTCATGTTATCAGAATTCAACGAATCACCAATTATCAATTTAGATAAATTATGCCGAATTGCAATACCAGTTTTCTGCCCAGGCTTGTTTCTTCGAGACCGAGGATAGTTTTAGGCATGACTAAGCTAAATGGAGTCGCTATATCTAATCTCAGTTTATTTGTTTACATTTTCCCAGTCAAAATAATGTTTTCCCCTTTTTTGGCAGAGCTGACTCAGGATCAACCATCGCTAATTCCATAAAGGTTTGTTGCTTTCAGGTTATTATTTCTGATCTATTTAAAACTGAGATCATAAAAGGGTTAGTCTCCTCGTCTGTTCGAATATCATTGCCAAGGTGTTTTATACTTATCTAGTTTTTTTTTTTAAACTCAGGATGCTTCCATCAAAAAGAACATCATGAGAGCCGGAGTCAACAGGGGTCTGAAGGAATGCCGACGGCTTTTTAAGGACGAGGTCTGGGACTGTAGCTTTTATAACGAAAGTGTGACTGGAGAATTACCTGACTTTATTCTTACAACTCTGCCTTACGGTAGGTTTTCTGATGATTATTTCATGCATCATAGGCAAAGTAAATTGCCTCTTTTGAGCTTGATTCAATACATCAGAGATATTCAAGGTTCTTCTTCAGGCTTCTATTTCCAGATCCTTCTCTTTCTTCTTATTTGGACCTAAATAATAATAACAATAACACAGTGTGGTTTGGCCTTTCGACACCATGTTCAATACATTATTGTTGCCTCAGTAACATGTCACGTGAACGTGAATCTAAGCAGCGATTGGTTATTATTCTTTTTACACCAAGAGAATACCAATTTAAAATAGGTATTATTCCCTTTGTTCAAATATCTTTTGCTATTGAACTTATATCTCAAACATCCAATCCCTTTCTGTTGTAGCCAATAAGGAGACGGCGTTTTTACATGCGATCACCACCGCTGGCATCCTTCAAGAAATCCTTTCCAAGTGCGATGCAAACAAAATTACCGAATGTAGTTGCAACAAAAAAAGACGGCAATCGCGTGGATGCAGCGAAAAACTGTTGTTTGCCGAGAAGATGACGCTGAGTCTCACAGCAACTGAACGACAAGGGAACGACGAACGAAGAACAATCGACAAAGACAATAAAAAAGTGGGAATACAGGTTAGTGATGTTTTCGTATTTTATTTATTCGTTTACTGTATTTAATATTGTTTGCCCACTTACATATCATTTTCTGCAACTTTTTATTGTCGGAAATACTCATCTATTTATCTCTTTTGATCGTGGGACAGTGACAAAGATGTACATGTTACATTTTTAATTTTATATTTTAGATCTGTGACATTTGTATTTCTTATTTTAGCTTTTAATACTTTTTATTTTTTACGGAGGACCTCCCTGAAAACCACGTACTTACGTGACGGGTGCTTCCTCCTTAAAGATTGTTTTTTTATTATTATTATTATTATTATTATTATTATTATCATTACATGCAGAATACTTTTCGAAGAATCGATAGAAACGCGATGCCTCTTCAAACTGTGCGTTACATCCAGTTTTCTCCCTTTTTGTTTGAGAAAAATTACTCAATGACCACATTGCCAGTTAACTGAAATTTTTCTGTGTCGGAGTAGGGAGGAGGAATTCATTTGACCTAAGGGGTTGTGTGCTGTTAAACAGGATATGGGTGTTTTTTTACATATTAGGGTCTTTCTTGTTGGACCGGAAGCGTAGAATAGTGTTCCAGCTAGGCGATGTGTTATCAAAATGAGTGGCATAAACAATTGTTTTAATCCTTTAATCCTGCACAATCCCGCATTCCTTTGTTTCTAGAGAAAACACCGCCTTTACTGACATATTCTCTTGCAATGACACCCGCGTAACACTCGTAGATATTGGCGAAACTTTTCAAACGTTACAAAATTGATTGCTCATCAGCTTCCAATACATCCATCCAGTGACACTTAGCTATGGTTTGTTTCTTAAATACCACTGATTATTCTGACCAGTGTTTTTCATACCCAAACAGGTTTTCAAGACGAATTATAATCGTAATTGTCTTGGCAGAGTGACTAGAAATTGTTACAATTTTCAAGACGTCGCAAATGAACTCAAAAATAAATATCATTCTGCCATCAACAAGACGAACAAGGCACAGCAGCTCGATATTGGAGGGGTTTTCCAACGAAATAATATGCAAGAACTCACTTATTGGGATCCGTCGCCTGATTACTGCGTACACGATGTCACCACTGGCTCACCAGGCTTGAAAGGAAGAGTCTGCGGAAATGATGGCACAAAAACACGCCACTGCAGATCGCTTTGTAAAAAATGTGGCCTGAAACTGCGGAGAATGAGTCCTGACAACTGCAGAGATTGTCCAGATAAATATACAGTCTGCATGGAGAAGAAAACAGTCCACCCATTCAAAAGTTTAAATTGAGAAATTAATCGTTTGGCCTTACGTGGTCAAGGCAATTTTAATGAGAAAAAGTCGTCGAGGTTTAGTCTTTTAGGTCAGGTTCTTCTTGATGGGCTCCTAAATCCATCGCTTGTAGATTTTAGTGATACAATGAACCCACATTTGTGACTTACGCTATATTATCAGGTCTATATAGCCAAATATTATTGAACTTTAGAGTGCTTAGAAACGCATACGTTGACCGCTTTCCAAGAGGGAAGTACATGTGGTTATAATACGAGATTGTTAATTGAAGGGATTTGCTCGCATGGCGTTAGAGTATCACAGCTAGTTCACACTTTGTAACAAGCTGTACTGCTTGTTGTTAAGAATTTTAGTAGAAATATTTTATCCTGTCCCTTATATCTATTTAAAGAATCCCTCTGTCCTCTCGTAATTTTGTATTAAAATGTGCAGTATTAGAGAGGTGCAGCAAAAGATCTGTTGAAGAAAATCTTTTAGAAAAGTTGTATTTGTATACTCTTTTGTAAACGAAACCAAAATCGATTAATTTTCGTTTAATCGAACAGTTAATGACGAGGCACATCTGATAAATATGTGTTGGCCATGTTTAAAACTTTTTCTTCAGGGAAAAAATGAATAATAAATGAATAAAAATGGTTTTGAAAAATATCTTGTCTCTTTCGAAAAAATTTACCATTATGAGTGATTAACACGTAGGCCTCTTCATATGAGCGCGATAGCTGGCACTGTTAGCGGTGCAAATTTCATCACCTTTCATTTCAGTGGAAATCCCGGCTCGGTTACCGAGATGATCAATGATGATCTTTTAATTCCATCTTGGTAACCAGAAGAAACGTCCTTACGCAAGTCTTCAGCACTACCTTCTCGCTCGATCCATCTTTCAGTGACATTAATTTAGCAATAATCCGTTATGAATCTGAATGCTCTCGACCAGTGTAAGACCCCTTAGCCTGCACTTTTCAAGGCATTCTGAAGAGAATGAGACTAAAATCACAGTTACCTGTTTTTGATTTATGAAGCCTGATAATCACTGTCTGCGCAGAAACGCTATAAGTGCCTTTGAAAAAGACAGACGATGACCGCATGGTGAATTTAAACTTGGGCCTTTCCACAGGAAGCCCGAATAGTAAGACTCCTTGAACACGGTTCATATCATCAGCCTAAAAACTGATCCAGTTACGTTTAACTGAGAGGCTCGAAGAAAATGAACTACAGAGATATACCCTCTAGTCCTACAGTAATTGGTTCGTTGCAGAGGCAAAAGAAAGACTGGACAGAGAGATCGACAAGAGGGTTGGAAAAGCAGCAACCACATTCGTTCGCTTCACCACGTAAGTGTGTGAAAGAATTCCAAATTCTCCGTCAAGACGAAGATAGCAGTGTACAACGCCTATATTACCAGCAAACTGCTATACCGAAGTGAAACGGTAAGATAAGCTTTGAACCATACGACCATTGCAGAGACAGAGACAGTGCCATTGCCAGTGCCAGTGCCAGTGTCAGTGTTGATGACAGTGACAGTTACATCGAGGGTGAAATCTTTATTCTCCGACGCATTTCGTCTAACTGTCGTAGACTTCTTCAGGGAGTTTACAAGTTAAAACTAAACGCCTGGATTTATTATAAGCCATAGTAAGCGGCTGTACGGGGGCCAAAGACTATAGAGGCTTGGCCGGACATGCGAACAGGAACAAGCGAAGTCGTAAAAACATTGAAAATATCTGGGGGCCACGGTTTTAGCCAAAATTTTAAATTTTTTTAACAACTTCGCCTGTTCCTGTTCGTATGTCCGGCCAAGCCTCTATGGTCATTGGCCCCTGTATAGCCGCTTACTATAGCTTATAAATACCGGCGTTTAGTTTTAAATTGTAAAACTAAAACTTGTAAGACGAAACGCGTCGGAGAATAAATAAGTTTTACAACTACTGTTCACAGAGTGCTGCTCACTAATTCAGTTTTAAAAAAATTAATTACAAAAAATTGTTTAAAAATTAAAAAAAATTGTCAAAAAAAATTGTGATAGAGACAGTTACCTTGACAGAAAAGTGTTGTTGAGGGAAATTTCCCTTTGTTTTCGTTTTCTCACTTACTTAACTTTCTCACTTACTTTTATTTTTTACTGTATTTTGTTATATAGTTTGTTGTATCGCCCCTTTCTATTTACCAGAGTTTTTTCGTGTCTATCCGTGAAACAGTGTTCGTAGCAGTAGATTTTTTCTTTTTCTCGTTTTCTCCAGCTAATAACCCCAATTATCCTCAGCATTTGGTAAGCGGCTTCACTTACTTTTAAAATTATAGTAAAACATTTTTTGTTGTTTATTTTTCAAGTGTTATATAGTTTGTTGTATCGCCCCTTTCTATTTAACAGAGCTTTTTCGTGTCTATCCGTGAAAGTGACAGTGACAGAGAGAGTGACAGGAAGGGTGGTTTTGAAAATGACAATGACAGAGACATTGGCCTTGATGATGAAAGAAATAGTGTCAGTGACAAAGATAGTGACAGTAACAGTGGCAGACGAAATAACAGTGAAGGAGACAGTGACCTCGACAAGGATCGTGCCAGTGACAGAGACAGTGAAAGTAAGTGAGACAGTGTCCGTAACATAGAGAGTGAGAGACAGTGACAGTCACACTTCTAGTAATAGTGACAGAGACACTGTTAGTGACAAGGATACTGAAGGTGACAGTGACAGAGACAGAGACAGATGGAGACAGTATGTTCGTAGTTTACAGGCAGTTTGTCACGATAGACCTCGTAAAATTGCCTAGCTGCCACGTGTCTCCCATAGCAGAAGTATGTGTTGTTGCGTCGGAATTCATTAAGTAACTTCGTGGTTATTGTTAGTGAGATCTTCTTGAATGGAAAATTGATGATCCTCATGTGGTCATGCGGTGAGCTGCCGGATAAGTGTACAATTTCTAAGTTATTTTGTAGGACACACTTTATGAGTAGATGCCAACTTTATATTCCACAATATAGGTAAACAGGGAAGGCAAAACGAGGAGGATTTTTTCTGTATGTCACTCGATGCATTCCAACGTAATTATCCTTGATATGCTCCTGCATTAGGTGCTTTCTTTTGCCATAGGAGCTTGCTGCGGACATTCTCTTCTTATTTCTCTGCACGTGTCACCTTATAAACTGTTCTGCTCACTGTGATTGACTTGAATTCCAATGCTGTGATTGGCACGTTTTGACGAAAGATTGCTTCAGTAGTCCGCTGTCGCATGGATCTCCTGCTATTGTATTTTAGTGGAAATTTTCAAGAAAAGGAAGACTCAGGCACAAAATGGATAACGTTGTTCAGTTTACGACCCTTTTAAATGTTCATTCCACAGAAATGAATTTATATAATTGGTAAAACACCTCCAAATTCTAGAGCTGTCAATTATACCTTACGTGCTACAACGTAATGTTCAAAGTTTTACCATCTTGATCAACCTATTGGATTCTAATGTCAAAGGAAATTTCTCGAATTATAAACCTCCTGATAAATTGGATACATATACTGTAAAAGTAATTGCAGACAGAGTTCATACGAAATAATTTTGTTTTATCAACTGGGTTGATAATAAAAACAAATTGGTCAACGTAAGGAGTTTCTTGAACTGGATATTTCGATTGTTATCCCTTCGTCAGAGCGAGAAATCATAGTTTGCCGTTGTTTCATATGGAGGAAACATGAGAAAATGCACGTTGTAATGATTACTCAAAGGCTGCTTTTAAATCCAGACGCTCGGGAATGCAAAGTCTCTTTAAACTCAGAAATCCGGCATTATACGGCTTATGTTATCGACCTCAAAGCTGATTCAGTCACGTTTAACTGAGGGGCTCGAAGAAAATCAGTTGCACAGAGATACTCTCTGGTCCTACAATGGATTGTTGTGTTGCAGAAGCAAGAGGAAGACGGTGAAGACGCGGATTATAAACCACAAATTTGAACTTTTTAGACGGCTGAACAAATCTTGAAGTGGCTCCTGTATTTAATTTCGATGGCACGTGGTCTTAGTTATTCTGGCGTTAATTAATTTGTGTCAATCATGTTGGGAGCTATTTAATCCGAGAGGGCCATAATGACAACTGCAATTTTTATAAGGTGGTTGTTGAGCTAATACTGGGGGATATTACAATGAATTCAAGATCTTTGCATTACAATATTTTTTGTCGAACGTTATCGAGTGGTTTAAGGGGGTTTTGATCGATTTCCTCCTTTTTATTGGGACCACAATCTTTCAGCGATGAATCAAGAACACGAGCCAAACCACAACGTGGAACTCATTTTTATTGAATTAACTAAGTAGATTAAATTCCTCTCTCACGCGCGACTCAAATGCAGACGCTGAAGAATCGAGGTCGCACTTGAGTATAAATAACTAATGAACAGATGTGCTTAGAGGCTTGAGGCGGTGTTGCTGTTATTTATATGTTTTGAAGAACCTGTGTAAGAAAAAAAAGGTCAGTGGCAAATAAGAAATTTGAATTTTCATTTACAATCTCAAGTTGATATTAGAATACGATGGTTATGTTTAGGATCATATGATGCCGACTCTCTTTGAATGTTGAAACGAATGAAATGTAATGTTGTTAGTGGCGTTTAAGAAACGGTTGCAGAATTTAAGTCACAGTCGAGGACTTTTCCTTAATTTTATTCAATTTGTCGTCATTATTGCTGTTGTTGCTTTTGTTGTTATTTTAACTGAGTCACTGAGAAGCAACTAAACTCAAAGACTTATCACCATTTCCCTTTGCACCAAATGACGACGCGGAGTTCGAAAATGGAAATCGTTAACAAAATTGACGAGAGCACTCGCTTTCCTTTACTGATTTGGCCTTGCTGCAAATTTCATAGTCCTGTAGGTTTGTTGTTATTTTTTTGTTCTTGTATGAAGGGTTGTATGCAAAATAAATTGCCTTCACAAAGTCAAACCTTAACCCTTTAACTCCTAAGATCTGATTGTTAATTCTTCTCTCTAGTGCTAGTTGCCACACATTTCCTTGTAAACCAGTTAGGAGAATTTAGTTTTAGATCAAGATAACAACTACCCCATAAGTTGGAGGTTTCTCAATACCTGTTTGCATGATGATGTATGGATATTATAGGGAGAAGTTAAAAGTCAATCACTTCTGGGAATTAAAGGGTTAAAAATAGTTCACCTCTCTCTTCTCATACGACCCCTCAATAGGGAAAAATTTATCTTTCGTTTACATGGGAAATGACGGCCTGATTTGTGTTCATAAAGTGAATTTTACCTGAAATGAATACCAAGCTGAACAGCAAGCTATTTTTTAAGTTTTTTTTCTGATGAATGACTTGGAAATTTCCAGCAGCGTATGCAGGATTTCCATTGCAACAAGTACAGTTTCGACAGCTGGGTCAAGTATGAACATTTAAGCAAAGAAAAGAGCGGTCAGACAAGATATCGGGATTTCAAGCTTTTAGTTAACTGAAAAATTTTCCTCAGACTTAGTCAAACCTTAATCGTAGACTGGTAATTCTGAAATGTTTTGAACATGTAATATTTTCGGTCCAAGAGGTACTCTTGCGAACGTGAGTGCACACAGACCGTCACGTACCACATTCAAACGGTCTTCACCCCAGGTCAGTGAAATCCTGCGGCGAGACAGAATTTGGCGCACTGTGGTATTAAAAGAAACTTTGTCTGAAAGGTAAATAGCGAAAAAGTTCATTCTTTAGGTTTCACGCATATTTCCCAATGTCTAGTGAAAAAAAAACCCTCTTTCTAACTCGGCAAGGGTTACGTGGACTACCTCCGGACATTATTGATTGTTACTTAGTATATCCACATTTGGATACCGACACTTTCTACAAGCTTACAAAAGCAAAAAAAAAATCAGTCGGATTTGCGACAAAATATATATATATATATATATATATATATATCAAAGTCATAATTCCTTAAAATCTAATTGCGCTTTTATTAAGTTCTGCTATACCCAATGGCTTGACTACATTTTTGCAGTCTGTATCTAGGCAAACAACATCCTTCGGAAATCATGTGTTTGTTTTCGTAAATATGTATATGTGAAAGTCACTACTTCCTGTTTACCTAACCTTTCTAACATTTTCTTCTCATGCACGTGCTGAAAATTCAAACAACTCAGCAACCTGGTCACACACCCATTAGACTACTAAAAAATACACTGATTGTTTGAGTCAAAAATACATATTTGGGTAGCTTGTAATTGTTCAAACAGATCATCAAGAGATGCCCAAAAAGGTGCGAGACTTGGTGCGTCTTCTTTGAGAAGCCTGGTTATTGAGCAGTACAGTTCGTAGTGGACTTTCTAATGCATTTGAAGACAATTTTCGAATGGTTTTTCTTACTCCTCGAGTAGGAGACTAGTTTATGTGAGATTTATAGGATTAAGCTTTTAAAAAGACTTCAACAAGAACCTTTATTTATAGAAACTGTTACTTCCTACCTGTAAATCTGTACCTGACTATCTGATTTGACTCGTTTCAGAGAACGTTTGGAATTCAAATATGGAATAGAATATCATTTCATCGTTTCTCAAAAAATTGTTTTAGCTTACTACAATTTAAATTGCCCAGCTACTCGATTTCCAAGGAAGAAACGATAAGGAGAGATCTTAGTTAAAGTTTGCTCATTGAAGGCTTCAAGTCCGAAAGGAAGAATATTTCAATGTTGAAGTTTCATACCCTGCGTTGCTCATCTTGTCGCACAGAAGTATGTGATAAGAACGGAAGGACATACTGACTGAGATTTGGTGGGTTTGTAGATCAATTATTTGGATGTGGTGCCACGCTGTTCGCATGCTTTATGCACGCTACGAGCTCCGCTAATACGAAGGAGGATCAAAAAGAATTCGCAAGTTGATTAAAAGTTGAAATACTTTTCATTATGTTACTGTTATAATTTTTTTTATGTTAGAGTGTTTGCCACTATCCAGCAACTAGTAAAACGATTTTCTTGATTGAAGATCTAGTAGCACTGCCCACTGAACCTCAAACTCTCATTTCAGTCCTCTCGCGAGCATCGTTTTACTCAGCGTATGAACAATTTTTAAAGGCAAATGGCTTTCATTAAATCTTTCTTTCGACAGAACCACTTAAAAATAGCCCATAGATTACATCCGATTAAGAAATTTGTGGAAACAAAATTGATAATTGTTTATTCATTCTGTAATTTTCTGTCTGTTTGATTGTCTGCTTCCATCAATCTTTGACTATCGACCATCTTCCCGCTTCCTTTTATGTTCGTTGCCCGAGGAGGAAAATTTTTTAGAAAGCTTCTAAATCAATATAAGTGATTAAAAGTTTCATTTAAAAAGTAACGATAACATACCACTTCGCGAGAAGTATGTCGTCCGGCCCAATTAATATTTGGTAACCTTTGACAAATTTTAAAGAATCGGTCATCTGGAAAAGTTACTAAATGCTTTGTAAGAGTGCGCGCGCCTTTTAGCTCCGAAAATTGCTTGCTGCGGATGATTCAGTCTGTGATGGATGTTTCGTGGCTATGAAATTATTGATTGATTAGCAAATGCGGACAAGTTTACGGACATAAAATTGTTTGCAGAGACATGCGTGCTAGGTGCTGCTGTTGGGCAAAAGTTATTAGTCATGCTTAGTCTTTTATCGATTTAACGTCGTAAACAGACATTTGTTTGTTGTTTTTAAAGTAAATCATATATGTTTGACGTATGTATATATGTTCGACTTTTTTATTTATCCCTCGAAGAAACTGCGTCGCATTATTACTTAATCGCACTATTGGTTTCACGTGCCTTACAATTAGATTTTGAAACCCGTATGTGAAAGGCTTACGCATGCATTTTAAGCCTTGACGGCGAGTTGTTACTGAGTAGAACCATCGAATTTCAAGCCCAGGCCTCCTCCGAAGGAGTGAGAAAGAGGCATACAAACCAGTTGCTAAGTACTTTAATCTCCCAAATTATTCTAAGCAACAAATAGCAGTCTGCGGCCTTCCTCTATATCCAGGCAGTTTGGAAAGCCGCAAACTCTTGCACATAAACTTGTCTTTTAGATCGCTATTCTTTATTCCCAATATTTCCACCAAAACCGTAGCTCCATCTTTATGTATGTAAACCACACACAACCCACAATTCCTTTATTAGCTCTGACGAAGTACTAACGCTCGAAACATCAGCTGTAGAAATTCTTTTACAGAGGCTAATTTATGTATCAATTCAGTTGTTAAAACCAATTTATCTCCAATGGAGCGCGTAATTAAGTAACAAGATTCAACTGTGTTAACATGTATAAAATGTTTGAATGCGTCCAAAGGCGATTTAAGTGCAAGCTTGAACTCGAGATTGCCGACCTTGATGACCCACTATAATAGGTAATGCTATCAGTGAATAATTCTAAAAGATTTACTTTTGTAAATGGTAGTCATATGTCAGCTTCTCGAAATTTTTTATGGCTGTTTATCAAATTTTCATCAATTTCAATTTCATAATCTCTGATGATGCCGGATTACTTCGCATATTTGTGTATCGTAGTTAAGATAGCGACGATTGACGAGCTCGACGAGGTTGTAGATCTAAAAAATGTCGATAGCCTACCATATTTTTGGTTCCTATTAAGCAAGATTTCATTTAAGCATCGCAATATTGAAGTGCTCCTCCACAGGAACGTTGGTAAGGGTAGACTTCAATTTTCGATTTGGGGAGTTAGTTTAAAATTTTCTTTGAGGGGCGGAGAAAACTCACTGAGAAGCATTGTATTTACTCCATTAAACGCCGTGGCAATTATCAAATGTTTAAGCGTTTCCGAGGCGGCGTTTAAGGAGAGTGGCGTTTATTCGAGGGCGGCGTTTATTTCTAACTAAACAATGGCAAATTATTTGTAAATATTCTGTGACATAGCTACTCGTTAAAAGTTTCAGTGTATCGCTCTTTTGACGTGAGTTTCCATGGTTAGTATTGCTTTCTGAGTTGTACCATACTAGAAGTTGTTTTTCTTTATACTCCTCGCAAAAGTGCTTCGTTCCTCTGATTGGATACGGTGGTTATTCGAGGACGGCGTGTATTGTTAATTTTGCCTCCGTGTACGGCGTTTAATCGTGTAGATATGGTAACTGAGGTTTGAAGAATTTGTGGTGTTGTGTTTTTCGATATTTAAGGCTTCCCTTCCTTCTCCATCGAAGCAAGAAGCGAAAGTTTTTGTTCTTTCCTGTTACCAGAGACCTATTTTTCTCAGAACTAGACTGGCAACTACATAGGTCCTTAAAAACGACGAGTCGTCCGTAGTGTTTGCCATATATTTCTTATATTAGTTTTATCACATAAGAAAATATCACCAACAGTTATCCACAAGGGTGTTATATCAACTACATGATATTTTCTGCTTTCTCATGGCCTATCTTGTTGAAAATATGTTGACATATCAAAGGAAAAAATTTTGTATTGATTACTTCTGGAAGAGGGTTTTTACACGTAAAAGGTCAACTTTGTGTATCCGGAGTTTTTGCAAAAGTTTGATGTGCCCACGTAAATTATTAAAGTTTTTTTTTGTTTATATCTGTAAAACGTTGGCCCTATTCGGAACACCTTCGGTAAATGGCGTTCCTCAAATACTGACTTACTTCTATCACTTCCGTTTCAACTCGAACTTCGATGAGACTTGAATATATAATTGAACATCACGCCAAAAGATGATCTACTTAACATTTCTAAAGAGATAAAATACAGCGTAAGTGCTTTGTTAAGCTTTTTAACCAGGGCGAAAAAGGACGAATAAACGAAAGCCGGATGCAGGTGTTACTTAAGCTCCAATTAACTCCTGCGATTTAAGAGCCGAACACTTAAAAATCAAGACAGGTAAATTATACCTATAGTTAATGGTTTTCTGCTGAAAGTGTGTTTCAATAAATTTCTATTTAGTATTGGCGACTTAAAAAATTTTAATAGTGATATTATTTTCTTGATGAAAGGCGCCGCTGATCATTAGCGGCCCACTTTTGTATGCATAAGATGGAACCTGTTTTTCTGTGAACACCGGCTGTCTTTGTTGTCTCTTTTTAGCAGAGTTTAGCGAGATATCGCTCAAAGAATGTCTGGAACAAATCGACATATTGGAGGCTTATTCTTATCCAATTTCAAAATTGCTTACCTAAGCAAAGAATGCATCTTCAAATCTACAATCGTAACGAAACAATCACTTTTAAGGACTCTGTGGAAAGAATTTCGCTTTTTTTTGTTTTTTGTTTTGGAAAATTTTCAAGTATTTTCAGTGACGAGCAGTTGATTGTGAGTTCCACGCCGTTACGGCGCTCGTGAAGAGTGTAATTTGCGAAGGCCGAGGGCAACACCAGATCATTATTTTCCGTGTAATGAATGGCGAAAGTGAAGAAGAACGTAATGAAAAAGCTGTTGGTATAGTGGTGGTTAAGGCAATTATCACTAAATCAGGGTATGTAAGATTATAGAATTTTTTATTTCAAACTCCTGTTGTATTTCTGAAGTAAAATTATGTAATTTTTGTGAAGTGCTCACCAGTTCGTTCATGGCAGTCAGTAGGTTAAACCCCATTCACACCAGCAAAATGTGTTATCGGTTTTGACTGAATGAAAATCACCGACAGAGAACTGAAAAACTGAATTTCCAAACGGTCATTAACTTGTATTTTTCAAGTGCTAAATTTGAAGCCGACAAGCTTCGGTGTAGGCAGCTATTATGAAGAAAAGAATTTTAAACCGCGCTTAAGACATGTTTACGCTTTGGTGTAAATGGGTTCTTAGTCGGCACGGTTTTGATAACATATTTCAGTTTAGCCAGCATAGAGATCGATAAACACATAGCAGGAGTGGAAAATGGATCGTCATTTAATAAACCGGTTGAAGCACGATGTATTTGATATTCCAGGCATTACAATACAAAGGCAAAATGCAAAAACTTAACTTTAACACATTTTACTGAAATTACCACAAACTTCAGGACAAACTCTGTCAAGAATCGATTACAAAATATATTTTGCACTAACAGCTAGAATTGCAAATATTTCCATATTAGTGAAAAGACGGCCGTGAGCAAATTACACTCAAATTTTTCAGTTTGCTGTAAACATCATTCTTAACCTCCCCATAAGTGGCTTTTATTATTTCACAAGTGTGCAGCGAATGCAGAATTTGAGGCTCGCCAATTCTTGTCGCTTCGTTGCAACGCATAAATTTACAAAAAAATGGTATATATAGACCTTCAAAAGCATTTAAGATTTTTTGCCAATGCATCAGCTTCATGCAAATTTGCCAGCGCAGTTGCTTTCTTAAATTACGGCTTAGCCAACTGAATACCTCAGATAAGTGCTGAAAATCGACCTCTTCTGTTGTGCAAGTGACAGGCATGCGGAGCAGCTGAAATTCACTTCGCCACCGGCTAACATCACGTTACAAGCCAGCCAAGCATAGAACAAATCATGTCTGAATTGTCGAAGATTATCAGAGATTTAATGAATTATAATGAGATAACAATACTATTGTAATATTGATTTGGCTATAAAAGGCTCGCACCTCATACGTCGATGCCGACATTCACACCTAACACCCACCTAAGAGAAATTTAGCATAAGTGACTTGTGCACCATTGTGAGCGTGTTTTATTAATGAGGTTATTTGTTTTTGGCAGCCCGACTGAAAGAGGACAGAAGAAGTTCGGCATTGATTGATCTTAGAAACTAACACGGACCAAGTTTGCCTGTCAAGGTTACAAGAGACAACATGAAACTATCTACAGCAATATGGCTTGTTCTATTTCTTTGTGTACCGGAAAGACTGTGTATTGCCAGGTGAGTTTTATCAAGAAGAATTAACCCTTATTTTGATAATTGCCAAAGCGTGGCGGATTTGTTCATCGAGAAACTTCGCCCCATGCGGTCAAGATCACTCTCAGAGATCGTGTTTCTTAAAAGCTACCTTGTTTGCGCAAAATTCGTAAATTAAGAGTCTAAAAACTAAATTAAATTAAAAAACTTATGTCGAAATATTTGGAAAGTAAACGGTTCAATGATTGTGGCGTGGTAGAGGCGATAAAACGAACTAGTTAGCGAATACACTATACTCAGAAAGTCCGTTTTTTGAAAGAGGAAACATCTACTTAAAGTTGAGACTTTCGGCTCTGTATTAGCTCGCTATAGTAATACTATTACATAACCAGGATATGTTCGTTCGATTTAAGTTGAAAAGTTGTATATAACCCCGGGTCAAATTGCGTGGTCATTTTTATAGTCGTCTTAGGGGATTATAATCTGTCTTTAGCTTGAGTAGGAACGCTTAACGAAATTGTTTTTAACACCTTTGATACACTTCTACGAGCATTTTCATCACAGGAAGGAAAATCCTTTGTCGAAATATGTTGGAGATGTTCTTATGTCATCAGTTTAAGGTCGAAGGTGCTGTTTGCTTTGACACACAATTAGACAAATAATTCAAAGAATCAAAACACGTATGATCCCTTTACAAATATTTGATTGCTGCATTCTTTTTGAACAGAACTGAAAGAAGCGCGAGCAACAGTAAAGGGGAAGAGGTAATTTCACTCTGTTGCTTTATCCACATACAACTTACAATAATTTTTGTTTAAGTCTTTTACTTTGCTCATTTGACATGAAACTCAGTTTTATTGCTAAAGAACGCAACAGAGGCGCAAACTTGTTCAGTAAACAATGGAGAGTTGTTGACAAATCATGCGTTTTGTTTTGTTACGACACGAGTGGGGTACTCGATGACTCCGATTGCTCGTAAAGTATCCAGGCCTCATTTGTCATCTTGCTAAGAGTCGGGCATTAACTAGACATATCACACTTTGTTTTCTATTGGTCATTGGTGAAAGTGAAACCTGTCATCAGTAAATTTGATAATTAACTCTCCTGATCGTTCTTTATGTAACTGGTGCGTTTTTTCTTTACTAGGCTTTCAAATTATTGTCGAGTATCGTGAAGGAAGGAGGCCGACGTGGATTGCAGGAATGTGAAAATCAATTCAAGAACGAGATCTGGAACTGTACATTGAATAATAAAGAAATTTTCAGAGAGCTGCCCATCTTCGTTAAAACAACTCTACCGTATGGTAAGCCGATCTTTGTGTCGTTAAGCCGACCTTGTTTAATCCCAAAGGAGAGCCTAACGAAGACTTGGAATTTCAAGTCCATGCTTGAGGTTTGGCACCAGTCCCACGATCTCTCCAGATTATAAAAATAAACCTTGAATTTATAATTATATTTCTGGAGCTTTCGGTATAAATCTGGCCGATATTCTTCAGGAAAAAATTAGATTGAGTCTTCGCAACGAAATGTTTATGAAACCCGTGAACAAAGACACACACCTTTCATCCTCTCTCCTCTTTTCATCTTTCGTGAATGGCATTCGACTTGATTTCCGAGCGTTTATTGATTAGTTTATACTTTAAATACGATTTCTTTTTTAAAATTTTATTCTCGATGTTTTTTAAACCCTGAACAAACACATACCTTTCATCCTCTCTCCTTTTTCATAAACCATTTGAATATTTTTAAAAATACAATTTAATATTCATTTTTATTCTTTTAAAACATTGCTTAGAAATGTTTATGAGATCACTGAACAAAGACACATTTTCAGCTCGTTTGATTGATTTCCATAATTTTTATACTTTAAATACGATTCTTAAAAGGAATTCTTTTTAACAGTTATTATTTTATATTCTTTATTCTTAGCCACTAGGGTTTGATTGACCGTTATTATATTCTTATAGTTTTTATCCACGCCATCAGCTCTGCCGCCATTACTCACGAAATCACGCTTCAGTGCCGACAGGGAAAGATCCCTGGATGCTCGTGCGCCGTAGTCAAGAAACAGCGACGGGTTACAGATGATTGGCAGTGGGGAGGGTGCAGTGATGACATCAGATATGGCGAAAAGGAGACAAGGCGCTTCATCGATAGACTGGAAAACGGAAATGATGCTCGAACGGCTTTTAATCTTCATAATAATGAAGTAGGAAGGAAGGTATGCTAATTTAATTGTTTTTGTATTGCCTCAATCAGGATATCGAGCCAGTGTAACACCTTTTATTTTTTGCTTGCGTTGAATTCCTAACTTTCGGTGGATGAAATCTCCTACCGTAAGGGAGCTGAACGAAATATGTCAAAGTTACAGAATTATTTTTCACAGTACAGAGAGGACATGCCATTTGTTCTCTGAATAAAGACCTCGGAGAATTGCGGAATCTCGCTTTAAAAGTGGCTCCAATATAAAATCTAAACAGACTTTATACTGTTAAAGTGGTCACAGTATGTCATCTTGGTAAATGCACTCTCTATATGAAGTGTAGTCGTTTGTCTCACATCCGCTTTATTGTGGAGACGTGGCGACTGGGCTGTAAGGGTTGGATACTCACATGTGTCAATCAAGAGTACCAAGGTGATCAAAGTTCTACTGGCAGATTTTCCGATCTGAGTCAACCGATTATACTTCGTATAGAGACTGTGATTGATTGATATTTGCGCGGGAAAATATAGGACAGCAACCATAGACACTCGTGATCTGAAGTAAGAAGAGAGGTTGGGTCCAAAGATGCTTAAGCACGCTTATTTTGAACCAACAGATTGTTCGCTCGAGTGTGCAAAAAGAATGCAAATGTCATGGAGTCACAGGAAGCTGCAGTATGAAAACGTGTTGGAGACGGTTGGTGAACTTCAACGCTATCGGATCAAAACTAAAGGAAATTTATTTCAGAGCCACGCAGGTTTCATTTGAGAACAACAAGCTACAAGAACGAATTCATAAGAAGACAAGAGCTGTCTCCAAAAGAGAAAGAAAGTTGGTCTATCTCGAATCGTCCCCAGATTACTGCTTAAGGAACGTCAGCGTGGGTGCCCCGGGAATGTTGGGGAGAACATGCAGAAGCGACGAGGTATCCACGACTAAATGCAAATCACTGTGCAACTCGTGCAAAATGTGGCATCAAACACAAGAACATTACAAGCTTGTAAAATGCAAGTGTCAGTTTGTGTGGTGCTGCACTGTTAAATGCGAGATGTGCTCAGAGAGATATTCTGTGACGACTTGTTCAAGAGGATAAAACTGCACATGCACATGACTGAAATGCGAGCTGTTCGCAGTACTTTACGTTCCCGTATTAACAGCAAAAGGACGCACATCAGGAAAACTCCCGTGAATTTTTCCATCAAAATCGCCGTTCGTTTCAAATAAAGATACAGGTTTTCACGTCATGTAAAAAGTTCTAGTTTTTTTTTCTTTCTTGCCAAAATATTGGCCAATATAACAACTGTGTAAATAATAATGTGATTGACCGTGTATTTGGTGGTATGGTTTGCACTTATACCCTCGAATCCTGTGGACAACTCGATCTCATAATGATTGCCTCGGTTTCGCGAGGAAAGTAGACTTCGGAAAGTCTTGGATGCGGAAGAATTGCTCTTGTTTGAACGATATAAAAGCATTGATAATATTAAACACAACATTTTGTGGTATGCTCATTACAGCACGTAGGAAGTTTTCGTTCCTCATAAGGGATAATTTTGGCAAAAATGTAGATTTAACTAAAATAACATAGCACATTTCACAATTGGCTTATAAAAGTAAGGAATATTTTGGCAGTTCTTTGTAAAAGTTGAGTTTAGCAATCAAACTTACCGAAAATGAATTCTAGACAAAACTTATCTTTTTTCGTGCTTAAGGCAGTGTGTATATGTTGCTGCGGTGATCAAAGTGTTGCTCGCCGATGTTATTTCACATCATTTAAATTAATGTAAGATAGTTCAGTATGTTACATAGACAAATAAACTTTGAAGTTAGATCAGAAAACTCTGGATTTGTCTCTGAGTACAGGATTACACCTCACGAGGGTTGATTCGCAAGCTAGACCAGGACTGACAGGAAAGAGAAGACTGAAATAAGATTTTCCTTAAAATTTCCATAATTGCTCCTTTGACTTTAGAGATCTGGTGTGTTCAATAAAGGACATTGGTCATCCACCACGTAATATATGAAAATTCCGCTGGACAATGATTCGCGTGTTGGGGATAAAAATCAAATCTTCAGATAGTACGACGTTAAGCCAGACTTCTTGGAACGATATTGGCCGCAAAATGAGTCCCGAGGTGCGTGATCTCAGTGAGTCCTCAGGTGCGTGATCTCAATGAGTCCTTAGGTACTTGATCTCAGAGTCTGTTAGTATACTGACGGCTCTAAATAATTTTAGTTTTATGACGAGGACTTCAGCTAGATGATGTTCCTTTTTTTATTCATTTATTTGTCTTTTTATCTTTGTTTTTGCTTCATCTTTTTCCCCGATGTATCGTTTACTTACAATGACCACTGCAAAAAGAATTTTAAAGATGCTCAGTCTTCCAGACTGGGTGTCGAAGCTAACCTTTGCTACGCAGTTGTCTACGGTGAATCAATTTTGGCTATATCAGGAATGATAATACGCATTGAATGCCTATGGATGCGCTTCATTTCCTCTCACAGACGATGAATAACTGTCATACCTATTAGAAAACTGATCTCGCCCAACTACAATAGAAAGAACCAAATCGTTATAGCTGACTTAAGAACAGTTCAATCACCGCAATGGATATCGACATTTTCCTTAGGCGTTTGTATAACCTATGAATGCAATAGTCTATGTACAATGGTTTTTAGAAGGTTGCTGGGTTTCGAATTATTCACGGAGAAAAAAGTGAATGAATACAAACACACGAAGTTCGATGATTGAAAGAGAAGTTTCAATGCAGCCTATGAACAGAATTTAAAGCATCTAAAGCTTTTGATTATTGTGCCTTTTGTTTGTGCTCAGAGAAACATTTTACCGGAGGACATGGTCGTTTGAATGCAGTAATTAAAGACGTTTCTGGATCGCTATTTCGCTGAATGCAGGTGAACAAGAATTTGACTTACCGCACGCACTCAGATTGGTGTTATTGCTGCATTTTCATTGCCAAACCCCGTCAAACCAATGTTTTATATGACACCATTGCGATAAAGATAATCTTATGAGGCCTGAATGGGGAAAAAACTTAATTTTTTCTCATCGATAGCAGACCACCCTGCTACACGTAATTGAACACGCTCGATTAATTTGCCATTTACACAAGCTAATTGTGGAAAAACAAGACGCACAGTACAATACCAGGGAACCACCATAAACGGATTTTGTTCGCGAAACAACTAAGTATCGACTTTGAAATCTGATCTGACGGAAGATGATGCCTTGTCAGAGTTAAACACCACTCGAGCTCCCTTCTTCATTATTGACACCATTAGACTAAGACTTAACCACAACCCCTCCTCCTTAGCGATTAGTTTCAGTCGCCCAAGCACACGGACATCACAGATCCTCTTCCTTCCGAGTCGAACTATGGATTGAAATCCGATAATTCGGCTGTTGCTCTACTTTGATCCAAATACTCAGTGAGATGTTTATTGGTTTTCTCGCACCTATATAAGTCTCGTGGCCCCGTCCCGCGCTGATCCCTACCAGTGCATGTAGAGCACCTTATAGTTATGTTTATGCTTACACTAGCGTCTCTAGTGAGCACCTGGCTTTAAATAGAACCATTTGGTACATCACGAAAAAATACATCGAAGAACACGCATCTCTGACTGCGCGGCTCATGCACTTCCAGTTCGTGTTTCGTTATGTGAAGTTGTAGGGTGCCCCATTACAACATAGAAACTATGGCACAAGTCCTGCAACAGGTAGATGTCTAAGTGCTTGTTATTTTGATTGACAAACCAGCTTTCGTTAAAAATTCAAAGTGGTCTATTCCTGTGATCTTGCATAAATTATTTTCTCTCCAAAAGACAACGACTAACCGAAGAAAGGAAAAACTGAGTGTAAGTAAATTTTAAAATGTTTATTTTTGACTAAAATTGGTAGCAGTCAAGTGGTGTGGAAATTAAGCTTCTTGTTTCAGGAGTCCGAATTTATTTGTTTGAAAATTCCATGTACCGTAGAACAGGTAACAAGCTCCAAAACTGGTGGTACTTCAACGCTTTTTTACTCTTCTTTCCGCGTCGATTATCGAGAAGCTGGCGAGCAGTAAACTACATAGACTACATAATTCATGTTTCTAAATTTCTTTTGAAAAAAAAAGTCGTAAATTTATTTCATGTAAACACGACAACAGGGAAACTTGTCACGTTATTCATCTCAAATATGTATTACGTAATATCAGTCACGGTGGCGTTAGGCAAAAAGTCCGTATTCCAAAGTCAATTATTAGTTGTAGCTCTTTACTTAGGTTGTAAAAATTGAGCAGAGTTCCGATCACTAAATGTGCCTCATGAGTCGAGGCGGTTCACTGATTGTTATTATCACCTGTCATCCTCGCTAATTCGTGTTTATGCCTCAATCTTGAGAACCTCGGTTCTAAACAGTCTCTCCGATGCAGGAAACTTGGCAGTCGAGGAACTTAATCATTTGAACCGCTCCTTTTTCGCCCATGGCGTTAGTTAAAAAATTACATAGCTTTGTGATCGATCTGTGGGCTGCGACTTGATTAGCAGCGAGGATTCAGAGGGTGATTACCTCCATACGTTGGAGAGAAGAATGCGCACAATACCTTAACCATTCTATAGCTAAGAGCTTGCGTCCCTATAATAATAATTTTTTCAGTTCTAATTCAATTATTTGAATTGCAGAATCACCGCTTAACTTAGTCATAGTCAGTAGAGGAGAAAATGGCGAAGGTTATAGACGCTTTGTGCAGCCTACTATGGAGTATAATCTGGTTGATCATTTTGCTTCTTATTGCGTGGCCAGTTGGTTTCATAGCCGCCATTCTTTTTGTTCTTGTCTCACCATTAAATGCCTGCTGTGACTGCACTAAGAGTCTCACGGATTTTTTCATGAAAGGGGTTAACTTCCCGTACAACGCTGCGAGTCATGCTGTCGATGGCAAACGAGGATGCTAAATCAGAGGCAAAGTACAAAGTCATAAAGTGCTGAGCGGAAACTAAATGAAAATTGAACAATTGAAACAATACAGTAATCTTTATTTCGTAATAAGGCAAGCACTATATACGTGCCTCAGCAGTGCTATCATCGTAGTTGTGGTGGGGACCTCAAGTAGAACACAACAGGCGGCGACGGCAAAGAGGATCTAAATCTGTGCACATTTCTTAGCTGTCCTCTGCCGAAAAACAATGTGTAATCACCTAAATTTGCGTTGTCCTAGCACGGGAACTCCGGCGGCAAATTATTTTAGTTTCCGTTTGGGACTGAACGTTGCTCGCATACTTTATTAGGTTAAGCTGAAGTTGAAGTGTGGCGCCCCAAAAGACGGTAAACACATCTAGCCATTCGTAAATCCTAATTTAAATAGCAATTATTTTTTAATCGACGCTTTCCTCGGGGTTGCCGTCGTGACCACTGAAGGTCCCTAATATATAAAGAAAGAACAGTACCTCGCCATGCTCCAAACTGTGCATATAGCGTACAATCATTGAAAAAAGGAGAACCTTTATAATTCCTCCACATTTTCTCTTTCATGAAAGTAGAAAGCGCGTATTTCACATACAAATATTTAATATATCATAATGCAGCACCTCTATGTCTATCCTTTCTGTTTTTCTACGATAATGATCCACCAATCAGAGAATCAGGGATTCAATTAGATGGAGCTAATTTGATCATGACCCTGGGCGTTCATTTTTCTCCGAGACGCCAGGCCCTGTTTCGCTGTATTTGCACGGAACGAACAATTTATTTTTAGGTCGCATTATCTAGGAAAATTTATCAGGGTCTAGTCATGCAATTGTGGATCACAAAAAAACATGCAAAGAAAAACCATTGAAGCCTTGAAAATTGACCTTTGCTTTGTAGGTTTTATGAGACCTTCTGGGTGTTGAAAGAGAAAGTTTCGATTCAGCAAAATTTAACGAAATTAATTTAACTCTGAATGGCTTAAAAGTTGACTAAAGAAAAAGATAAGAATTTCACGGATGTCTCATTTTTAGAAGACAGACATTTTTTGAGAGCGCTGTGGAACAACGAGTTCTTCGGATAGTCCATCGTTATCTTATAGTGCCGCAGGACACGACTTAATTTTAGACGAGCCGGATGTCTGGAACTAATAATTATCTGTGCTGGACTCCGTTGCCTAAGGGCGAGCGAAGAACCGCTCTTGCTGAAGCTATTAACCTTCTCGCAAGCCACTCCTTGAGTGAGTATGCCCCTTCGTCCTACCGCTATCACTTTATGCATAGCAAAGACCCTGGGCACTAGTCTTGAAAAATCGTCGCGCCCGCGATCTTTTGCCAAGTAGTACAGCAGTAACAGAGAAGAACACAAATATTGGTACATGTACTACTTGCTTGGCCGGGGAACTGTGGAAGTTTTTAGAACACCGATTGCTGAGACTAAGAGTAGATTTTTACGACTCTAACTCCACGATAAAGGTTCGTTAAACCTTCATGAGCTTTATAAGGCACTCTGCACGACTGAAACACATCGGAGGACATTTGAAGGCTTTTAATTCCCTATCACATGTCAACAGGAGCTTAAGCAGCGCTAGTGGTAAAGGTAAGCTGAAATAACTCGTTACTTTTCGGCACACGGGGTAAAAATTGGTTCGATACACATAGAAGTTTTATATTAAAAAATACACTTTTCAGTTGGTAGTAACGCTCCTGAGCTTGATCATGGGGAGAAGAAAGAGAGAGGTGGATGGGGAGGGGGGCAGGTATTGGGTTAGAGAGGGAGGCAGCTGGTGGTGAAATATCTTACAAACTTGACAGTTTGTGATACACTTGTCTATTAACAAGTCTATCAGTTCTGACTTCAATATTTAACTCTGACAGAATGCTTTGAATGTCGTAAGCCATTTAGTATCTTAGACCCATCAGTAATTGAGCTCTGTGCCTTTGACTATTAACACATTACACCCAAACTCCATTATACATATTCCCCATACTGTTCTCTGTACATTTACTAAGATCCGGACAAGGAGAATTTGTTTGATAATCATTAGAGTCTCTTTAGTTGGTGATCATTTTCCTTTATTCTTGTGACCTAATCTTCTTTAGAGAAGTTAGATGCTAATTACTTTAGGAATCAAAGGATTATAAACCTACACCAGCTTTGGGGCTCTCAGAAAATCCTTAGGTTTTTCCTTTTCATGCTGACAAATCAAAGTTATTTTTGCATATGTCAGAATGTAAGCTTTCAACTTTCTTTGTCAGAAGCTGACTTAATTTTCACCTCTCTCCTTTTTCTGAAGTAGACAAGCTGTTTTTGAACCACACATTTGAAAAAATCATACCTAATGTGGTGTGATTGCTCTAACACCAGGTAATTACCTTTTGAACCCGATTAAACAATCACAACAACCTTTTCCAACCCCAATTCTTGAAAATAATTGCTAAGACTCACATTTTATGAGAAAGATCAAGAAAGAAAAAAAAGAAACAGAAAATACTGTTTAGGTTCTGGTGTCTTGCAATGGATCATTCTCCCGATTCATATACTTTAAATCTTTTAGACAACTTCAAACCAACAATGGTGCATCTTCTTTAATTTCTCATGGCACCAATACTTATAGCCATGATGATCTAAAGGAAGACTTAGTCCTTTAACTCCTCAGGGTAACTGGCTTCTAATTTCTCCTAACAGTATCACCCTTGAATCTAAGGGAAAGGTGACGAGAATAAAGTACTCAATCACCAATTTCAGGAGCTCTTGACAGTCACACAAATTCTCCTTGTCAGCGCTTTAGGAAATGTTATGCAGAGAGTTTGGAGAAAGTGAATGCTTATGCTGGGGTGTAAAGGGTTAAACATTATTATTTAACTTTCCTTGGTTGATTTAGATTCATCTGAATATGATCTCATTGTAATTGGCGGTGGGTCTGGTGGACTTGCTTGCTCAAAAGAAGGTAAGGACAAGAAATCAACTCTGAATACTAAATCACGAAAGTTATTTAAACCTTGAAACTCCCATGATCTGATTGTTAATTCTTCTCTCTACTAAGCTACTGCATATTTCCTTGTATACTAAATAAGTTACAACATATCCAATGAGTTGGAGTATTCTCATTGCCTGTTCGATGGATAATGTATGGATAACATAGGGAGAAGGTTCATTTTAATCACTTCTGGGAGGTTAAGAGCTAAGGGGAAACTCAGCCCATCAGTTGTGAATTAACTGCTACTTTTGTTATCTTGCAGCGGCAAAATATGGAAAAAAAGTTGCGGTATTGGATTTTGTTTCTCCATCTCCTCAAGGTACTGTCAGTGGATGGTTGCACTCTTACCAGCAACTGGTTCTAATTGTAATATTGTATCTGTTGGAAACAAAAGTTCATAAGTCTTAGTTTTGCTTTTATGTTGTTTTGTGTTTCATTCTCATTCAAGGTTCTGTCTGGGGCTTGGGTGGAACCTGTGTTAATGTAGGATGTATTCCAAAGAAGTTGATGCATCAGGCAGCGCTGTTAGGAGAGTCATTGAAGGTACAATTAATTAGGTACAATTATCATAATTACAGTAATTCATTGCAGTTTTCACCTTCTACAACCTAATATCAGTATGCTTACTCACCATACTTTTCTCTTTGCAGTTGCTATCAATGGTACTGACAAAAAAAAAATTTTAATTGACTTTGACCTGTAAGAGTGACTAGCATCTAATTTCTCCAAACAATAGCACCCCTGAATCACACATTAAGGCTAGTAAAGTGATGTCAGGTTCCTGGAAAAACTTAGAAAGCTGTCATCATTATATTTGGGATATTATAATTTGTGATGGAAGGAAAAAGCCAATTGGTTTCTAGTGAAACCTTAGCTGACTATCTCAGTACTAGTAAAACCAGTTAGGTTGTTGTTTTGTAGAGTAATTTAATATTATCAACTGAGTTGATAATGATAATTGGCAGCCACAAAGAGTTTAAAAGCTAATGTTTTGAGTATTAGCTTTTCAACCAGTTTCTCTAATGAAAGGCTAACACTTGAAACATCAGCTTTTAAACTCTTTATGGTGGCCAATTCACACTATCAACTCAATAATACTGTTGTTTTTGATAATTTACATTATCAGAAACAACAGTGTTTTTAAGTATAGCCTTAAACGTGAACTTCTTGAAGATTTTATAGATTCTCAATGATTCTCCTTTCAATTGATGTTATATTGTTGTCATTAATTAGTTGTTAAAAATAGTTATTCCCTTTTGATAATAATGAATTGTAGTTAATGACAGTTACTTATTTTAATTGTAGTTGTAGTTATTGTCTTTGAAAAGTCCCTTTTGGGAAAGTCAATATTAAATAATGTATATGTAACTCAGTTGATATACTAAATTACCTGTAATGTTATACTCTCCCTCCAATGCAGCACCACAATTTCTTTAAAAACTTACCCTCTTTATTGTTGTTTTGTAGTTTGCTTTCATATCTTGATCTCCTATGTGATGATCATTACATGATGAAGTTACTAGTCAGAATATATTTTAGGTATTCATTGTTTGTCCAAGTTTGCTAATAAAATGAGAACAAACTGTTTTTTTTTTTAATTTTTTAATTTTCTCACATTCAGAGAATACAGTAATGAAACAAAACTGGATCTCCAAGCCCTAATGTGTTATGCTAACCTTCCACCCCTTTAGGATGCCAAACACTTTGGATGGAATGTCCCAGATAACATAAACTTTTCATGGTAGGAATTTCTTTTGATTACAGTGATGGATAAGTATGTAATTTTTTTTTCTTCAAAGCAGATTATCATGTTGAAAACTATTATATTGTTTTTTTTTTGGTAGGGAAACACTTGTGACAGCAGTTCAGAATCATGTCAGATCACTGAACTGGGGCCACCGTATTCAGTTACATGACAAGTAAGTCTGAAAGTCATAACACTTGTTAAAAGGCACTGATATTTAGTTTCAATGTGCGTAATTACTTTTTTCAGTTGGTGATGTGCAGTTTCCAGCTGTTTTGTGAAATTTTGTGGGAAAAAGAGTATAAAAGTACATGCGACAATCCCCAGAAGGTATTATAGGAAGTTTTCAGGTTACATCTCTTTGACCTCTGGAAATCAGGGAAATCTGAGAAAAGGTCACTGTAAGAACAAGGCATAAGGGGTTTGATGATTTCATTTCATTGTTTATTTGTTTTAATTAATACATAATTATTAAATCCATTGATTACTGGATTCCTAGATTAATTTTCATGATTGTTACATGCACTTTTGTCCATTTTTTGGACAGCTTCTTCAAAACAACTGAGTATATAAGATGTAAACAACAGTGTAACTGTTTTAATTTGCAGTTTAGCAGTGATATGATTGTCTACATTACTATGATGCCAGTTGCATGTCTGTGTCACCATCTATCCTAGTTTCCCAATCTTGGCAGTAGCTAACAATATTTTCTTTTTTATTTTCAGGAAGGTTGAGTATGTTAATGCTAAAGGTTCCTTTCTGGACTCTCATACAATCAAGGCAGTACTGAAAAATGGCACTGAGGTACAAAATAAAACAATTGTTTATCAAATTGATTGTGTACTGTGGGTAGTATATATTTTGGAAAAAAATAAAAAATGATAAGAATGGTAATGTTTGATATAACTTAGCACTCTAAAAAATTATAAAAGGATAAAGGTTATAAGTTATGAGCTTTTGCACCGAGTTCATGTTAGTATTATATACAATAAATAAAATTAAGCACAGTTACAAGCAATGTTCATATTGCTAAATTGTTATTGAATACTGTATGTCAAGTGAGTATCTTGTATCTATTTAGTAGTGTTGATATAATAACTGAATGACGTAAATAACAAAATTTTGACCAAAAATAGGGATATAGCTTTAATTTGACTTTGAGTGACCATACAGATATTGGATTTCTCTAACCTAGTTAACATCAGAATAACCTTGCTAGCATAACAAATTGTACTACACAGGCCTTTTTGTGATAGTCTGAACATTTTATCTTCGTCACCTAACATTGCTGTGGACAATTTTCTTAAGAAAACAAACAACTTTTTTAGACTTGTGAGGCTGGGGTATACAGATCCCATTAGACACCTAGCTCTGCTTATCAGTTGGTTATTTGTCAGTTGTGTGTTCAGGTTGGCTAATCGCTGTTTTTATATTAAAATTTTTTTTTAGAAAACTATGAAGGCAGATAATTTTGTAATAGCTGTTGGTGGAAGACCAAAATTTCCTAAGGAGGTTAGCTACCTGAATATCAGTCAGAGTATTTACAAAGTTGTTACTTTTAGCATACCTTTTCCTAATATTATTTTGAATGGGTGGTTTATTGTGGATTGGGATGGTGTGGGATTTTTGGTAACCCCCAAACAGGTCCTCACAATCAGTGCTGCAGGATGTGTGTTCCTCTGCCCATGAGGAAGAATTGAGGTGATTTTGGTGAGGTTTGTCAGGGGTCTGGTATCAATAATGAGGGCCAGCAAGGATGCTATAGTGATTGGTTTTTTTTTTTTTTTTTTTTTTTTTTTTTCCAGACCTCTTCCAGGCAAGGGTTGTTTTAAAGCTTAATTCTTTCCTGCGGGCAATGAAATGCTTATGTTTGCATGCTTGATTTTTGGAGATGCTAAATTTTTTTTTTCACTTTATTCATAGGCTCATTAAAAAAAGGCTCAAAATCTTTTCTTTGCCTTTTTGTCAGGGAGCTTTTTCTTTGCTGTAATCCTTTGCAATATTTTCTTTCCAGGTTCCTGGTGCCATAGAGTATGCTATCAGCAGTGATGATATTTTTTCCTTGAAAAAATCTCCAGGGAAAACGTAAGTTCAACTTATCATATTCCATAGATGTGCTTACGTTTCAAAATGTCCTGATTTCCTTTAAAATTTAGTGAAATTGATAGGTTTATTATAAGATAAATGAAAGAAATGCTGGATTGAATCTGAGGTTATGTTTTCACTTATTACTAACTCTTACTACTTTACTTTTACTACAACTTTAATGGGCATTTTTGATGATTAGTGATCTTAGCCACATCACTGAAATGTTTTGTATGATGAGTAAAATATTTCTTTACCTCCCCTCCCCCCTCCCCACAAAGTGCCAGTGGATTACATTAGGAAACTGTATGAATGCTAGGATAACCTTAATAGATCAGAACCTGATTCAGACAAAAAAGCCTCTGACTCTTTAGTAAATTATTAAATCAATAAATTAGAGCTCGCAGAACTACTTGGCAAGAAAAGCAATTGTTCTATGTCGGCAAGACTGCAGATAATTTGCTTTTCAGGATAGTTATCAAGGTACTGCCTTCCCCTTGTAAAGGTTATTTCTCTTTACAACTTTTACCTAAAATTATGTACAATTTTTTATTATTTTTCAGGTTAGTTATTGGTGCATCTTGTATCCTTGGTAGTTTTTTGTGGATTTGTCTTTTCCAATTTTGACTTTTATTCATCTGTTTTGAATTCATTGGACCAGATGAACCTTTGAATCTGATTTGTTCTCTATGGTGCAAATATTTGCTGATGCATCGTTGATGATTTTTGCTCAAAATCACATTTTATTCCCAGCCAAGGAGAATGGATCAGTAAAGCAAAAACAATCAGATTTCAATTTTTAGGGGGTTGATGGAACCAGAAATGCCTCTTTTGTTAGCTCGTGTGTTTACATTGCTAGCACTGAAACTTGTCTTCAACATGGTAACCAGCATAATTAAATTTGAATACATAGAGTTACTTGATCGAACATTTTATGGCTGCAGTTTTGAATGATCAATGGACTCGGAGTTTTCTCTATAATTATCTTGTTTGGAGTAAACATACACGCTGCCACAAAATATAAAACAATAGAATAAAAAAGTTGGTTAAACGGTCCATTTTTTAATTATGTGCTTGGTTGTCAAGTCTTTGAACAGGAGTGATGCTAAGGTTTACCTTGTTATGATGCAAACTTTGTTATCATGCTAACTAGATACTGGTCTCTCACAACAAGGTCACCTTCAGCCTCACTCCAAATCAAAGGCTTGGCAATTAAGTACATAACATTAAAATGGCCAATTGGAGATGGGTCAGAATGCTGCCAGGTATTGTTTAAAAATAACTGGCCCCTAAAATTAGTATGTTTTCCAGCTGCATAGTGATTTCCCTAACACTTTTTTATATAAGATGTTGCCTTGGAGTGTGCTGGTTTCCTGACAGGCTTAGGATATGACACATCTATCATGATGCGATCCATTCCACTCAGAGGGTTTGACCAGGTTGGAACATACACTAAACCAAGTACATTTCATAAGATCGTGACTAAAGATATTTTAATACATCAACCATTTCAATCTTAATTTTAATATTTGATCAACTAATAATCCCCTAATTGATATTTTTCTTTATTCTCATCACTTGTTAGCTTGATACTGTATTGATATTGTTAAGAAAAAATTCTTCTGTCACCCGTGGGCGTCAAAAGGTCAATGAGAGGGGTTGCGAGTATGAACTTAAAACAGTAATGTCTCGCTTTGCTCAGGGTGCATATGGTACTTACCTCTTTGATACCCCAATTTGATTAGAGAACCCTGTTATTAAAGACAGCATTGAAAGGGAACGGCCCTTACCCACCAAAAGGCTTTTTAAACTAGAAATAACCTCAAGGGGAACGTCATGTTTTAAGTTCCTCTTCCTCTCTCTCTCCCCCTCCGAGGGTTGTCCAATACACCCAAATTGAGTCGATTCGTTTACCATCCCCACCCCACCCCACCCCACCCCCCTTCTATAAACAGAAGATCAGTGCACCACTTGCTTTATCCCACTGACACCACTCCTCGTGATGAACTGCGCGCGGTTTCTGGCACGAGAGCTTTCCCAAAAATAAGTCGACCCTGTACAAAAGGAACGCGTTTTCCTTTCAATTTTGTTTGGGAAAAAAAATATCTGCGTTGGTTTAAGTGGAATAGAAACTCTGAAGTTTAAGTCCGAATGAAATAAAACTTTTCGCTTTCCATAGGTTGTATACTTTCGTCGGTTCGTGTGGGCCATTTGTGATATATTTCTATTGTTTTGTAGCCACCTTTCCTAATTATTGCAATTAAGCTTTTTCCGAAACTCATGTTGCTTCATACGCAGTTTATTAGAGTTAAAAAGTCCTTCCTTCTCTGCAGCAAATGGCACAACTTGCCACTGATTACATGGAGAGCCATGGAACAAGAATCATCAAGAAGTGTGTTCCAGTGCGGATAGATAAAGCTGCTGATGGACTTCTTCATGTAACATGGAAGGATTCTGTGACGGGAGAATCACGCAAAGAACCGTTTGAGACTGTTCTATTTGCAATCGGTAAGAACTCCATCAAAACCGATATCCAAGATTATTTTTTCTCGTACTTCCTTTATGTAAGTATGTAAAGTTGAATCAGCGATAAAAATTAAAGGATTAAATAGGGAAAGAAAAATAGTTCATAATATTCGCCAAAATTTAGCCGAAAGAGGTAAGTGTTTCTTGGAATTGAAACCGAACTTTATGTGCAGTTTTGTTTTCAGAGGCGAAGCGTGGTTTTTAGTGTTGATAAGTGATTGATCTTCAATAATCCACGAATTTTTTTTCAGAATCTCATTTCTATCGCCCTCTTTATGAGTGCAAAATAAAACTACTTGAAAGCCTTTAGGCCAGTGTTGAAATGTTCTGAATATTTCACAAATCAACTCATAAGTCGAGGATCCGACGTTGTTATCTTGGTACTTAAAGTATTAATTCATTAAGTAATTAGAGACTTAAATATGATCCTTGTGCCTCGCCTTCATATTTTACATTTGGTATTTCACTATAAGTGCCTGTGGCTTTAGTAATTCTCCATATGATTTAATTAGTATGGGCGGTTTGCCTGTGACATACGAATCCATTTGGTTCCCATAGTTAACAATTATTAGTTCATAGCAACAGTGGATATCGTTGAAGGTGCGCTCTGATTGGCTACTCAAACCTCTGAATATCCTTGCCATTCACCTCCGGCCATCATCATCTTTTTGTGCTATATTATCTCACTGTTTCATTATATACTAAAACAACTATTTACCTCAGTGTCGGTGGATTAAGAAGGATTATTGTTATTTTAGGTAGAGATCCTGAGACATCACAGATGAATCTTGAGAAAGCCGGGGTTCAACTGGACCAACAGACCAAAAAGATCATAGCCAATGACAAGGAGCAAACTTCAGTTCCGCACATTTTCGCCATTGGGGACGTCGTTCAGGTCAGAACCATTTATGTTGTGAAGTTAGAAAAAACGTGCGAACGATGTCTTTGTTGAATTATTAGGGACTTCAAGAAAACCTCGACAGTGACGGCGACGAGAACGTAGCGAAACAAAAGATGTAATGAACAAAACAACAGCTTTGCACGTGCGTTTAACACTTTGGTCATTCCTCAGGCGTCTCGTACAGAACAAAGTAAAGAAACTTTTTAATTCGACAGAAATTTAGTCACGATTTTACTTTGAACTCAACACTTAATTTATATTTTCTGCCGAATGGAAGATGTCGCACCGTCAGAAACGGTAAACGCGTCGAGCTACTGACGAAATTCTTAGGGGATAAGGAAGTTGGCTTTTTTCGGCAACGTTTTCCAACACTCCGCCGTAATGAAATCTGAAACTCTCTATTATAGCAGCACTGCGTGGCTTCATTGGAAATTTCCCTAATTCCCTTTATAGCCGTGCTTTCTGTTCTTTGGGATGTAAGCCATCTCAACTTTTCCCCCCAGCCACCCCTCTTTTGGGGCTACGTTGCTTTGACGGTTTGAAAGAACAAGGAAATCCTCCGAACCAGTTGATGTTTTTTTAGACTTGTGAAGTTTTTTGAGAACTGCAATTTTCTTTGTGAACAGGATCGTCCAGAGCTGACACCTGTAGCCATCAGAGCGGGAAAACTGCTCGCTGATAGGCTGTTCGGGGGGTCTGACGTGACGATGGATTACGACAAGGTATGTCACAGGTCCACCGTGGATGAACCATCTTTCAGCCTGTTTAGCTTGTTCCAGGCGTTCAGTTAGTAAACAGGACTCGACAGCTTCTCAGAGTTAGAAAAAAGCGAGGTTCTGGACATGTCGCATGAAACGCTCCTCCAAAATTACCCTCCTTTGTTTGCTGAGCTTGTCCCAGGCGTTCAGTTGGTAAAACGAAGAGCAATGATGAACCGCACTATTGTATCAGAGGAGTTAAAAAAAAGGAGGGAGGCTTGGGTCGGGTTGCATAATGAACTACATGCGACCAGACCCAAACCTCGCTCGTTTTCGCTCTGCTGCTATTTTCGCGCCGTTTTTTTATTTTGCGCCATTTGACCACGTTTGGAACTGGCCCTTTTTCTCTCCGCCTTAAGTTTACAGACATCTCAAAGTACCTTTTTTAAGTGTATCAACACAAACATGTAATTTTCTGTGAACTGTTAAATATCCCAGTACACTTATAGATAACAATATTCCCTTCCTCTGATCTTTTTCAACTTTAGGTGGCGACGACAGTGTTTACTCCATTGGAGTTTGGAACAGTTGGAATGTCAGAAGAGAAAGCTATTGAGCGTTACGGGGAAGACAACATTGAGGTTATTTCTCATTTGTTAGTTAATATACCTCCAATTAAACTCGTGAAAAGTTTTGAAAATTGGTTTGTTTTCTCCTTTGGCTTCGTAGGTTTATCATGCCTTCTACAAACCACTAGAATTTACAGTACCTGAAAGAAAAGTGGAGCAGTGTTATATTAAGGTAAAGTGTTTCCTTACATGTGGTAGTCACTTTTATCCCCGCTTGATATATTTCACGTTTCTTAGCTTTCATATGGTTTGTTCTTCTTCTGTGTCGAGGTCGGAACGTTTCGTGTGTTTGCGGTATCTCTTTCAGTACTTGATAAGTTTTTTTTTCATCGTTTATTTGTATTTCTTTTCCATTTCTATTTATGATAGTTATTTTCTGCTTTTTAAGAATTAACTACTTTTCGTTCTTAATTACAAGAGAAATCTGCTGAGTGAGAATGTTGTGTCAGTGCAGGCCTGTGCCTCGTCACTTTGGCTCGCCTGGATGGGAGAGACAACCGCACACATCTCAGCAGTCTAAGCTGCTTCAGTATAACTTTGAAAGTTATTTCCGTTTAATTTTTTTTCCCATTGTCTTTTTTTGTAGGCCGTCTGTTTGCGTGAAGGTGATCAGCAAGTCTTAGGTCTTCATTTCCTGGGTCCTTCAGCAGGCGAAGTAATCCAGGGATTCTCTGCTGCTATGAGGTGAATTTTACTTTGCCTTCTACTAAAACCCGACAGGAAATTCCCTTGAATTTATTTCGTGAACGGATGGATTAAGAGTTTCATCATTCCAGTATTATTTTGAGAGTGTAGAGTTGCAATATGAAGAAAGAGATAAGAACGACCTCATTATATATGATAGTGGAAAGTGTTGCATTTGTGTTTCTAGCTTGAAGGCGTCGTCGTGTGTATTCCCAGACAAAACCTGAACCACCGTTATTTGCGGCAAATCAGAGTGATATTTGAGTAAATCGAAGGAAGTCGTTTCTAAGTCATAGTTAATACGGGTAACATTTTGAGTACGGTGAGCCAAAAAATAACGATTCACTGAACAGTTCTTTAACTGCACGAAGTAACAAAATCACAAGAATTTCACTTCATCAAAATCAGTGAATATGAAAGGGATCTTCCTAGTAATGAACACTAAGGCCTGAAATGAATTCAGGCCTGTACAGGATTTGAACCCATTACCTCTGCGATACCGGTGCAGTGCTTTACCGATTGAACTAACAAGCCAATAATAAACCCGTGAAGTGAGGAATTAATGACAATGAATATATGATAATCATAAATGTGAAGTGCGGATTAAGAAATGAATATAAAAGTGATCTTCGCAGTAATGAACACTACTTCAGCAGTAGTGAAAATAAAGCCCGGGAAAATTCAGGCTTTTAAGGGATTTGAACCCATGAGCTCTGCGATACTGGTGCAGCGCTCTACCAACTGAGCTTACGGTTCCCTTTACGCAATATATATATATATATATATATATATATATATAGATATATATATATTGACCAAACTCAGTATCGTTCATTACTTAGTCGTTCACTCTTTTGTTGACTGCCGGATAACTTGTGTCAATCTCGATTTCAATCTCGAAACTTTTTCGTAAATTTCTTTTAGTATCATTTACGTGTGAATTTATCAATAAAACTCGTTTTTTTCTTTTTTATTTCCTAAGGTGTGGCCTTAGTTACCACAGCTTGTCATCCACTGTTGGCATTCATCCGACATGTGCAGAAGAGGTCGTGAAGATGCATATCACTAAGAGATCTGGGGATGACCCGACTGTCACGGGTTGCTGAGGTTAGATCTGCCCTCACTAACGAGTGCGCCTTGGAAACTAGTCTCATATCTTTAAAGCAACTAATTTTGTTGTTTGTCAAACATGGAGGAGTTTCTATTTAACTTATAATTAATTCAAGCTTTTCGTGCCTGTTCTCTCAACCCACGAGAGTCACTAGCATCGTATTCCCCTTACAATATCACCCCTGAATCAGACATTAAGGTAATGAGAATAAAGGAAATGATCACCAACTTAAGAAGCTCCTGATTGATAGAAAAAAATCTCCTTGTCAGCATCTTAGGAGATGTATATAGAACAGTATGGAGAATATGCATACTGATTTTAGGGTGTGAAGGGTTAAAGTAAGAAGTAACGTAATCGATTTTTGTGGTCAATCCAAGAAGGTTCTATCAACAAATGCTGAATCTGTCTTGTCTTTTTAATGTCTTTGTAAGTTAAATCTGTATGTGAGACATGGTTTTTCTTGGCGCATAGGGAGGGCAGACTAACAATATTTACATCCAGACAGTGGGGATGCCTGTGTTTATGGCGAAAGGTTTTTAAATTGTGTATTGCAAGTAAACCTTTCTGAGTTATCGACAGGCAAAATTAAATTTCTTTGGATTATAATTTTTACATTACAGTGTTTAATCACATTTGATCTAAATTTTTAGGTAGGAAAAAAAAATGATATGAAATTGTACCCTTGCTGTTTTGTCTGTAGGGCATACAGTCGTGTAATTTGCCTGTTTCTGTTTATGAAATTCAAAATCTTGTCCTGTGCATATATTTCTCGAACTGTAGGTACAATTCTTTTTTAAGTAAGAAATGTGAAAAATCTGTACAACCAGCTAGTTACTATAGATGTATAGTAAGAGACAATGGTGAGTTATTTCTTTATGTGACCCTACTAGGGCTTAGCATGGGTGATTTGCAACTACTAATAAAGCATTTTTTTATTATTTATGGTTATTTTTTTCATCATTAATTCCCTTTGGTTATTATTTATAAAGGCAGAGCTCAGTCAGGAAAGACCTAGGTTCCGAAACTTATCGCACGGACCGAGAAAAACGGGTGTATTGAGATATTTTTCATATCTCTGGGCTCAAATAGAGTGGGAAGATTTCAAATTAAGCAAAGTTTTTAATTTAGAGGGCTGTACAGTTAAATATGGCCCGCTAAAATGACCAATCACGACGCACATACCAACTGAGAGATACAATAATCTATTTACTTCTTGCAAAGCATTTATTCTGACTACACTCAGACGAGTTATTCAATGTGAAAAGTTTATTTGGGATGAGTCGGCCAGTCTTGTAGTATATGTATCCTAATTTGATCTTAACATGCGTACACTGAAAACTAAGGGTTCTACAAAAGAACCTGTGCTACGCCTGATACGAAAAACTACTAAAAAACCACTCTTTAGAAGTGGCCAAAAAATATGTGGAAACGTATTCCTCATCTAATGCGGCGGCACAATACCCCGCGGAAAGGGTAAACTAACCTGGTTACATTGCTTATCACAAAGAAAAATCAGTGAATGTAGTGATATTTTACAGGGATTTGTAAAACGAAAATTACAATAGGCAAAAAAAAAATTGGTCAAACATAAGAATGACCGACTTAGAATGACTTAATTTTCCCGCGAAACGCTTAAATAATCCGAAACTTCCATGATGCCACGCGAACCTCTTCAACGTGCCATCAGAATACTAATTTCTGACTAATTCGTTCTCATGTCAATCAAACGTCAGCAAATTGCATTTTTTACCATTGGCTGGAACTGAAGTTCAACTTTTTGGCAGCGGTCGACTAGTTGTCCTTTAAAATTAGAATTCCAAGCTGTTAAACTCTGTAAGGCGGGCAATCTACTTGACAAGAATTGATATATCTGATAGTGTTGTCAGACCGTCTGGGTGGGTGAGGTCCTGAGAAGGACTGTTGTCGGTAGTGGTAACTGACGTTTCAACAACCTGAGCGGAAGTCATCATTAGAGTCAAGTGCAAAGTCAGTCGAATATTCTAAGTCCGGTTGGTATTAACTGATTGCCAGTTCTGACTGTAAGACTCAAATGGCGTGAGTTGGTCGTGATTGGTCTTGATCCGTCGGTCCCAGTAATGCCATTTTCCGTATCTTTCGTAGGGTAATTTTTAGTAAGAAATGCATTAGTAGGTAAGCATTGTTCATTTTCTCCATCTCTAGTGTTATCGGTAGGGTACGATATTATTTTACGCCTCGCGAGACGTTTAATGGAAGGCAAGAAAATTTGCTTGGTATTGGTTTCTGACTGAATGATAATGCACGGATATTTGTCCGCGGCAGGAGTCCATTACTTCGAGAATTAATGGGCTCCCTTCCGTGGACATTATATGTTGCAAGATGTGGTCGCTTTTCCGAGAGCGAAGGTCGAGGAAAACTCATTTTTGAGAAACAGAAAAAGTCCAAAGACAAAAATATACGACCGTGTTTTCGTGCGGAATAGAGGCTATTGTGTTAATTATCCTTCAATTATTTTGCAACGGACGTTTTCTTTTGAGTGTTCTATGGTACGACTTTATGAAAAACAAATTTTTCCCTCATTTGTAGCAACCACTTAATGCTCTTGATATCACATGAGTGATACCCTCGAATATCGCCCAGGTGAAACTGGGGATATTCGGTCACGTGATGCGTCTAGGCCAACCACGCGCGAGCGAAAGTATGTGATGGTCAATAACAAAAAACAAACGAGTGCCTTTTAAATTTCTGTTCCTACTTCCCACCCTTTCCTTCCCCCTTTTCTCTCGGGCTCCCACCCCGCTGTTCCCTTCCACTGAAGAGTTCATAAAGCCGACGCTTTGAGGGTTAGTGCTTCGTCAGAGTGGATCGGAAGATGAGCTTATGCTGGAAATTATGTAGCTGTCAGTTTGGACTAATTGTGAAAATAACCTTTTAGGTAGAGTGCTGAAATTACAGGAACGTGCAGCTAGACATATTATGGATGCTAATTCTAAGGCCTCTTCTGTCAGATTATTTGATGATTTAAGTCGGTTCCCTTTTTACGAGGATATTGCGCCTGCGTATATTGCTTGCCTTTTAACACGTAATAATGATCTTCACTCTCGTAACACTAGGTATGCAAATTATAACTTAGTATGCCCTTAGTATACTTAATGATATCTATATTTGTATTAGTATTATCATATGTATTGTAGGAGGGCCAAAAGTTTATTGGCCTTTTGGCTATGAAGTGCTATCCTCTTTATATAGAGTGTTTACTTGCTTACTTACTTAAGCGTCAGCCTTAGAAATTCCCCACGGGGACCAATTTACATTATCACTCATTTCGTTTCGGCTCAGCTCCTTTGTCGAGAACTCAGCCGGGAAACGATCGACCAGATGATTAAAGCTTTAAGATGACTTAAGCTTCGACCAGTCCAAGTACTTTTCAAGGACTAACTAAGAAATATGCAGAATCGAAAAGTATTCGTTCATTCATTTTCATCTTCTGAGGCAAAGAAGTTCTCAATGCCGAACCTCTCGACGCTTTTGATTGGGACAATAGGTACAAAGAACAATAAAGGAATAGTAAACTTGTGATTTACGGTTATAGCACTTCCTTACAATATAGCAGCGATACTGAAATATTCTTAATCATCATTTCCAGATATTCCGTTTTTCTGCCTAGTAAGTTTCAGTTTTTTCGCTTAAGAAATCATTTTTAGTGCGCAGCGAGGGTGCGGAAGCGGCAGAAGAATGTTTTACCCAAAAAGGAAGAACACAAAATTGCTTGGCAAAAACTACTAATTCTACTTATCCGAAATAATTTGTTGATCGGAAACTCCACCTAACTCTTTGTGGCACAGTCCCCGATACTTCCGGTGCGGTGAGTAGAGGTTTATGGCGGAGGGAGGGTAGGGGCGAGAGTTTGTCTAGTCAAAGGGAAAGTAGGCAAAAGAATAGCGAGCTTTTAAAAGATGTTTTTCTTAAAAAAGATATTGCAGTGTTTCTAGAAACCATATATATATATATTTAGCTTTATTCCTTTTTTGCCAGAATAGAGCGCGCTAATCAAAGGAGCTTGTGCTTCAGCGCGGCCAACGAGTGAAGCCAGGTGGCAAAGCATCGAACGGAAGTAGAGTTGTTCTAGCGGATTTGTAGCAACACTCTGTTTACGTGCACCGGAATCAAGCCTTCTGGCGTTACATTAAGAAGATTTTTCGTTGTGCATCAATGTATATGTGTCACTAGTGTTGTACAGTCTTCTGCACAATCCTCTGACTGTGGCGCTCAGATGTCATAAGGAATGAACTAGAAATTAAAACTGTCTTCGAATTAGCGCCCATCAGACTGGAAAGCAATTGAAGTGGATGCAAATCATGTCGGTTTTTCGACATAATTTTCTCCTAGTTGCTTTGCTTCAAGCATGGATCGGTACTACACTTGTTTCTTCCCAGCAAAGATGCCTTGGTGGATTTGATATCTACTTCATTTTAGACAAGTAAGTTGTGTTGACAGCCTGGTATGTGATTGTCTGGCGCACGCATATTAAGAGTATGGCGCACGCATTTCAAGTTTGATTCAAAATATCTAGTTTCATATGAACAAATCATCATTTATGAAGCCCTCCTTTTGTAGATAAATCCTTCTGTCGTGGTCACAGTTAAGAGATTATTATAGATGTACTTCTTTGACTTATGTGGTCACAAGTGTGCTTTTATATTAATTGGGTTTCACCAAAGAGCCTATAGAAACGCAAACGAAGCAAAATATCAACGCATATTATATGTTAAACCATCGATTGAGGTGTATACATATACATGTAACAACCCATACGAAGGATTCAAAATTCTATCCAGAGTCCTCTTTTGTACTCCAAGACTTTATTTTCATGTCAGTAATATTCTTTGTGCATACTGAAAGCCCGAAGTCAAGATTCTTATAACCTGAATGTGGATAGGATGGAGATTGACAGTGCTTCCAGCTTAAGAGGAATAGACATCTCTTCATTTGGGTGTGACCAGCAGATTATAAGCTGTTGCAGTTGGATTGGGTTTTAGTCATTTGAAACAATTAAAATGCAGGGCCCAGTTGTTTGAAGGCCGTTTAGCGCTAATCCAAGGTTAAATTTCAATCTGGGTTTCTTTATTCCTTAATTCAAAAGCTTTTTTGGGATAATTTCCTGTCTTATTTTTAGAGCATCAAATAATCATATTCTAGACAAAAAGAATTCGATTGAATTTTCTTTTAAAGCTATCAGATTTCACACTAACCCTGGGTTATCTTAACCCAGCTTTGAACAACACAACCTAGGTTAACAACTGCATTGCTAAGTGGAGGTTGGGTGCTTAAGACACCCAGGAGCTTCCATTATTGGCAGCCAGCTCCTAGATGGAGACTGCTCCCATAGCTGGCAAATCCTGGCAACACAGCTGGGAGCCCCCATGCAAGAAAGGGAAACAGGCACCCGTCACACTTAATAAACAGTGGAAAGAGGGAGGAAAGGGGGTAGGAAAACTAGCTGGATGATGAGCTGCCTTTCCAAACAATGCTGCAAGTTCATGCTCAAACAAAGCACATACAAGAATGCTTCAAATAAAGAGCTCATGGAAATCCAACACACGCACATATGCAAAAACCACTGACTACTAGATAATGCTGATGCTCTTTGATGTTAACTCTGTTAAATTGCATTTAACTGCATTAAATTAATGACAGACTGAAATGTGCCTCATTCCCAAGGTGTGGCTGATGTAGTTCAGAAGGTGGTTAAGCGCCCAGATATTATCTGGATTATCTGGGAGGCAGAGGTTCAAATACCACTGAAGTCTGAATTTTTTCAGGCTTCTTCTCTGCAATTATTTAAACTGCAGCACAGTTGTGAAGATCATGGCCTAACTTGTGTTTCATTTTTTCTTGATTGTAGGTCAGGCAGTGTTATTAAAACCTATTTTCAGCGTCAAACTGTGGACTTTGTACAAAAGACAGTGGAGAATTTTGTTGGGTAAGTGGCAGCTAAAAACTTGATTTGATTTTCTGAAGGGAAGAATTAAAAGGATGTTTAATGTTTCAATGATAACAAAAACTATAATAGACCAATGCTATCTAATCTTATTTTTCATTTTCAGAAAGGGTGTTAGGTTCTCCTTCATTACATTCTCTTCAGACATAGCGACAGAAACAATTTTGAAATTAACTGGTGACAGGTATATATGATCATCCTTAATTGCTGGGACTGTTATTAGTAATGTACCAGTGTATATTGTCTTTTGAATGTTTTTTCTTGCCCATTGATATTTATAGTAGTAACTTCCATGCTAATTACTGGTGGGATTGAAGCCTTTAACTCCTAGTATCTGACTGTTAATTCTCCCCTCTATAGAATATTGTGCAAAAGTGAAAAGAACACAAGTGAAATGTGCAAATTTTGTTATTTGTTCTTGTGAACTTTCATTGAAATTTTGTGCAAAGGTTCAAATGACAATTTGAGGCTTTTTGAGCAAAAGTTCCATTGAACAAAGAGTGCTATTTTGTCAAATTTTTGCAGAGTCTCGACCACAAGTGGGGTTTAAAGTTTAAAGTAGGAAATAGTGCCAAGTTCAAGTTTCACTTTCCTGGAGTGTTTGTGTGGTTGTTTGTTATTTATAAGACTTAACACCTGACTGTTCAGATCACATCAACAATCAAACATTTATATTGACAGAGGTTTCATCAGGAAGGAGTGATAGAATAGTTAATTGAGTGGATGAAACTGATTTCAAATATTTCTGCATTGCATTACAACAACACATGGGCTACATTTCGTTCTCATAACCAGTCAGAGTAATTTTCTCTCCAAATTTTGCACTGAACTTTTGAGAAGAGCAAACTTTCCCTCTTGAGTTTGCAACTCATTATTGTCCATGGCAAAATATCGTTTGTAATTTTGGTGTACTCAAACAATAGGTGCCACAAAAGTTTGTGGAAAGTTCATGGAAATTTTGTTTGGAGGAAAATTTCTTCGGAAAACAAAGAAAAGCCAGGAAATTTGTCAAACCTCATTTGCGTTTTTTTTTACACAATACTGTATGTGCTACACATTTCTTTATAAATAAGTTATGAGAATTTGGGATTTAGCAGAGGACAGCAAATTCTACCTGATAAGTATGAATATTCTTATTTCCTATGTGCTGGGTAATCTATGGACTGTTACAGGGAGAAGTTACATGTCAATCACTTCTGGGAGTTACAAGGTGAAAGAGATACAGATTAAAATTGAAAAATGAAGTTAATTACCCACAACAACTTCTAAAGATAAATATAACTGTCGATACTATTTTGTAACAAAATTATTTTTCATGTGTTACATATTTTGTATGCTTTTATTCAAAGATCCAAAATCAGGGAAGGCCTAAATGAATTAAGAAAAGTGAAACCAGGTGGAGATACATACCTGGGGAAACCTCTCAGTATGGTATGTACATGTACCTATAGTCATCAAATTAATTTTGTGAATGTAATTTGTTGCATTTATTTACACTGTTAAGAGTGCTGCTGATTAAAATACATATTGTGTTTTGCCTAGTTGGATGGAAAATCCATGAGTAAACAACTGAGGTGAAATTTTTATGGCTGTTGATTATATGATTGCAGTAACTTCAAATCACCTGACCTTTTATCACGCGTAGATTATTGTGGTCGTTATCCCAAAAAATACAATTATTCAATATGCACATATGAGTCATTGTGATTGATTTTTTCCTCTACCTAGGGTAGCTCTGTCCCCAACATATTTTGTCCTGATTAAAAACCAAGTGTTTCAATTACTTTAATTAATCTATGGCCATTTGCAAATTATGGTTGAAGAGTTAAACTCAATCACAAATCTTGTCAAGCCTCCCTCATAAAATCCAGTGGGTAGATTTATTGTTATTAGCTTCCTAATGTTTAGTTTACTTTCAGGGAATAAATAGATCCTTATCACATAATTTATATGAATAAGATTAGATGCTTCAGTACAATATTGTCTTTGAATATTGTTGACATCAGTAGTACAAATACATGTAGGTTCATCTACATAGTCAACCAATTTTTATGAGAGTCACATGAAACAGCCTTGTTTATATTTTTTGGATTTTTCTCTTTTTCCTTTTAACAGGCAAATAGTCAAGTTGCGACTCAGTTAGGTGAGTCCAAAAAGGAACTTGAAAAGAGAAGGTTTTCAAAGTTGCCTCATGGCCACCTTAATTTATAAAATGATCGAAAAGAAATTTAGTTTCAATTAGTCCCATGCAGTAATCCCCTGTCCCCCTTCCTCCAAGATAAAAAAATGAAATGGAAATTTTTCACAATATTATTAATTTATATTACATGCATATGGTTCACTGTTACAATCAGATAATGAAACTCAAATAGACAAAAAAAAAACCAATAACAACAAAAAAAGATTTATGTGTACTTGGTTAATAAAAATCATTACTTAAAAAATGTAATAATTATTGTCTGTAAATGCTTTTAAAGTGGTGAGTATACACTGACTTATGGGTTATTATTGATTGGATTGTTATGTATTTTAAATTCAAAACATTCCTGAGAGCATGTTTGTGACCATCATTAAATACTCAGGCAATTACATTATTTTACATATTCACTGTTAATGAGATATACATGTGTAGTTTCCTTGATTTGCCTATTAGTTCCTTAGCCCAGTTGGTGCTACTAGTGCACAATATGATATTTTGTTCTTATAGCAGTTGTAAATGTTTTCTTCACTGAATACCTTAATATAATTACAGGACAGCAGTCAGCATTTAGTATCTATATCATTCTGACTGATGGGAAAATAGATGATATTGGTAGAGCTAACGAAGAGGTTGGTGAATTTCATTATCGTGCCTCTCTCACCCTTTAAAAAACTTCAGTTAATACTTACCTTTTAGAAAAATTTTGTAAATTCAACAATCGACTGATGTTAATAATAATCATAACAACTTTCCAAGGAAATCATCAGGAGTTTTAGAATTGAGTGAAAAAGTGTTCAATTACCGGTACTATCTTAATTGATGCAGTATCTATTTTAATCAAATTTAATCCCAATAAGGGATCAACGCATTTTCTTTGTATAATATGGCTTTAAAAAGCCCTGCAGGGGATTATTCATTCTTGATTTAAAATGTGATCATCTTTTGTAATTGCTATTATTTGTAGGCTAAGAAGGCCAAAAAAGCTGGAACAATAATCTATGTCATTGGAGTTGCATTATTTGATGAATCACAGGTAACAGATATTTTCACAATTAACTGGTAACTGATGAAACGATTTAAAAATGTTGATAGTTGAAATCACTCTAAGGTGGTTATTTACTTAATTATTTCTCAAGGATGAACTTGGTTTAATCAACCCTTTCACTCCTTGGATCTCATTTATTTATTAATTCTTGTTACTGCCTGCAATATAATTCTTATGTCAGTGTGGAGTGTTTGATAATGGATCAGCTAATAATCCCCTAATTGATATTTTTCTTTATTCTCATCACTTATCTGCGTGATATTGTATTGATATTGTAAGGAGAAATTCTTTCTTGGTCACTCATGGGAGTTAAAAGGTTAAGGTATTCTATTACTGGAGAATATAGAAAGACTCCCATGTTTATTGAGTAACATCTTTATTAAATGGCCCTTAATCACTTTCTATATAGACTTTCATACTGTCTAGTTGCACAGGCATGAGCAGACACTGTCCTATTGCACTGGCTTATTACAAACATGATGTGCACACAGCCCTTGTAGTGCTCAAAATTTGGCTGGGTATAACCGATCACATGCAATAATTTTTTTAAGAGTTGATTATTGTAATAAATTACAATAATAGCTCTATTGTTCTAGCTGACAGTTCTTTGTTACTTATCATTGACAATACAGGAGCTTCATAAGTTACATGTGTGTGATATTACATTTGGTTAGTCTTCATGTATGGTATAATGCCCATTGCAGCTCAAGCTTTTGGCAAACAAGCCCCCAGAGGATTTTGTTTTCACAGAATCAGGCTATCAGGCCCTACAAAATTTAACAAGTGATGTAAGTGTTAACTTTGTTTTTTTAAACAGGGGAGAATTAACAGTACTTTATAAATTAATCTTTGTGTGTCTTGGTTGTAAAATTTAAAATTTTGTATATTGTCAGTAAAAAATCCCCAGTGGGAGATATGTTGTATTTAAAAAGGCAGGTTGTAAGGAGTAAGAAAATTGTTGTGATTTCTTATTGTACTGAATAATAACAATAAGTTTATTTATTTGTATTGTTTGTTCAAAGATTTCTAACCGGACATGTGTTGAAATTACTGCTGTTTCCCCAAAACAGGCCTGTTTAGGAGGTAAATATGCCTGATTCATATTTTCATCAGATTTAATTGGTTTTGTCAGAACTCTACTGCTTTGATTATTTAAGGCAAGTCACATGAGTTAGTTTCATATTCTATTTTTGATATGTTTTTGTGATAAAGTGAGATAATGGTGGGCTAGATAAATATTTTGACTCAGTCATTGCATTGCTTTTCTTAAACTTTTTGGCTGGCTTTCTAATCACTTGTAGTAACAAGTGGCATCATTGTGGTTTCACTGATTAGCTTAAAACAAATCAAAATAAAAACATTGTCTGAAATGTTTACAACTATTTTGTTTCACCATTATCCAGGAAAACTTTTTGTTTCAGGGTCTTTTTATTTTCAAGTTCTTTTTTTATGGAAATTTTTATGAATATGTTTCATAAATTTCTGTGCAATTTATGCAGAGCACAACACTGTTACAATGTATGGGCGTGGCTTTGAGAAGTTTGATTCTGCAGAGTCTCATTCTGTGAGGTGTGGCTTCAATTTTAATGCCACCTATCGTCAAGGTATGTTGAACAATGTTATGATGTGAAACTGTGAAATGATGAAAAGGTTATAGATATGGAGGAGCAAAAACTTTTGAAAAAGAGGTGATATTTGGGTTTTGTTGTGGTGCTTTTGTTCACTATTTTAGACCTTGACTGGGAACAAAAATAAGAGTATTGAATTAGTATGAAGCAGTGATTGTCACCAGTCAGTAAATGAGTGTTTGATTGCTTTAAGAATGTGTATAACCAGTAGGCTGTGGGCAAAAAACGCCTTAACTAAAGATCACCTGGACATGTTTAAATGCCTCACCCAAGGTCACTTAATTTTTGACAAGTTTTTACTATGGTATCTTGGAATAATGCCTCCATTTCTTCCAGGGAGTACAACTGAACCTCCCCCAGTGTAAGGTCGGTCGTACAGATCATAGGTTACAAATCTAGGTGGATAAGTCCTCCTTTGACCAAGTGAACTATTGCAGGGTTGGTTCTCATCCCTGTTCGAAGTAATGATAACTCTTGATTTTAACTGCTTATTAATTTGTCTGTTTTTTCATGGCATGCAATTACCTGTGTTTTTTCTTCTTCTTTTGTCATGAACAGTAACAAAAGCCATCCTAGTTGAGGAGAACCACTTAGTGTGTCCTGTTCCTGTATTGAATGACATTGAAAGGTAAATTTGACAACTTAAAAATGTAACTGGGCAGTCCACAACAATTTGGCCAGTTGTTAGGATGGAGTCTTCACATTTAAGCGATTGTATGACAAGAATGCTGAATAAATTAATGAGTTTTTGGTGAAGTTTCCATTTGCTTGTGTGCTTAAGAACTAGTTCAATCAGTAGTAATGTGATATACATCTATTTTTATTCTGTTTTCAGCGTTCTTTTGCTTCAAGTTTCATTAAACAATGGAAACACATTTGTCTCCAGTAATGTCAATATCTCAGCCAAAAACTGCACAAACACAACAAAGCCAGGAAAAGAAAATGAAGAAGATGAAGGGATTCCACCAGAGGTGAGTTAATAATTCATTTTTGATGATGATTTTCTTAATTCTCATAAACTGTTTCCTTGTGACATGTTCACTCATAACCCTTTCACTGCCAAGATCTCACTAGTAATTCTCTTTACTGTCTGGCATATAATTCTTATGAGGGTAGCTCAGAGAATTTGTTATTGAATCCCCTCATTATTTCTGCATGTTATCCAAGGTTGTAGCAATATTCAGGGTTCGTAAGGGTCCTGAAAGACCTGAAAGGTCCTGGAATTTTTCTTTTAACATTTTCTGGGACTGGAAATTCCTGAAAAAGGGTACAGGTCCTAGAAAGTCCTGGAGATCTGCTAAACTTAAGCAATAAAGTTTTCAGAATTTACTTTATAAGAAATGTATTCAGACCATAAGGAGAATTATTGATTTTGAAATCTTGGGAATGAAAGGGTTTGAGGTGAAATTTGGAGTCGTGGAAAAATAATCTGAGTCCTAGAAAAGTCCCTGAGATTTGTTTCTGAAAAAGGGAAAGAAACCTGGATATTAGAAGGAGAAATTCTGCCTTGGTCAGTCCTGGGAGTTAATGCGGGATAATGATATTCTCCCTTGTTTTAATTGGCCGTTGCTTGCCGTAGTTTTTTTATAACATGGTTTCATCTTTTTTACAACTGAGTAAGTCACTAAACGAGTCTTTCACATAATATACCTCTTCTGTCAAATCACTTGTCTCGTTATTTTAACAGACTGGAAAGAGAAGTAACGTTGCTTTAGCGTTGGTGCTGTTATTTCTGTTTGCTTTGCTCATTTTACTGGCTGTGTGGTGGTGTTGGCCTCGCATCAGGAGAAAGGTGAAAGGTTTTCCTGGTTAAATAATTGCGTTATTAGATCCATTTTGAAATCACTGGTGATCCTTGCAATCTAATTGGCTCTCGTTGCTGCGATTTATTCACGAATCGCACTATTTTTTTGTACTAAATCACATCTTTTTCTTAGCCAATAAAAATCTTTATCAAAACACAACAACCACTCAGATTTGAACGCTTGTTTAAAGTAACCAATCAAATTACAGAGAAATAAAAGACAACTTTTGTAACTTTTTACAAACCAACTCAGCACTAGATCAATAAAATTGTTTTACAGACTAAACAATCCTATATTTCAGCGACTGAATTTTGCGATTTCAAAATAGATGTAATTAATTGGTAATCGAAGTTGGTGTCGTGTAATTTTGGTTTGAAATCATCCTTGTGATTTCAAATCAAACTCGCGCTACGCGCTCGTTAGATTTTGAAATCACGCGTATTAATTTAGACCAAAGTGTATTCCATTCAGTTCAATTACCATTATTAATAGCGTGATTGTGCGGGACGCAGTGGTATGGTGGTTAGTTCCGATAGCTTCGGACCCAGAGCCTGTCGGTCAATAGAGACAATTGAAAACCACGGGTGACTAAAAAACGGTCGGGGATTGGGAAAGAAAATTGTGGAAGAACCCCATGGGAACTTTCTAGTATACGGGCTGTTGGTTTGCCTCGGAATTGGTTAATTTTGACGGATGGCATCGACCAGGGGCGGATCCAAGGATTTTTGATGAGGGTTTGTTGGGGTGGGAGGTGGGGGGATCTAAAATTTGATTTAAAATACACCGATTATTATTATTATTATTATTATTATTATTATTATTATTATTATTATTATTATTATTATTACTATGATCATGATGATTATTATTATTTGTTTATTTTTTTTCTAACACCAGAGCCTTAATGAGCTAAGAAATATTTTGATGTAAGCAAGTTCTAAATACTCCAAGTTGAGGAAGAATATGCAGGACTGTGGTTAGAAATATGTGCGTTTTAGACAAGAAAAATATTTACAAGTATGATGGGGGAATCTGGACTCCCATGCCTTACCCTTGGATTTACCACTGTTGATGCCTCGCATCAGCGTCAATTACATTGCTTCACACGTTGCACTCAAATGGCGGTCAGCTTCGCTTTTGGTTGATATTTGTAAACATTAAGGGGAAGATCGTGCGTCTGTTTTATGTGCTTGATGTAATTTATCTTTGCCTTGTTGTGTTCAGCAACCTCGAGATTATAAACCAGCTGGCGTATTAGAACCGAAGGAACCTCCTCTCAGGCCCCCGCCACCAGTGAGACCCCCACCACCAATGGAGAAAACGGTCAGTAAAGGCGGATGCGCCATACACACTTTGGAAGAATATAAAACACGAATGGGCGTATCTTATTGGTTATAAGGAAGAGGATAATAAGAATTTGATACGAGCATTGCACTAGTAAAGAACAAGACATATGCAGGCGAATGCTTCTTGCATCTTCGAAGATTTTACGAATGCTATGCGCTCACTTGAAATTCACGCCCCACGTTAATTTTAAAACACTCCACTCCACTTCACTTAATTTACGCCTGTTTTCCTCATCAGCCGGGTGGCAGGACAAAATGGCCGACAGTTAACGCGTCATTATACGGCGGAGGAACTGCGGGAGGAATCGTTCCTGTCAGGGTGAGTGTTAGGCTCCCGTCAGGGTGAATCATTTTTTGTCAGTCATTTGCTAACAGCCGGAAAAAATAAAGAAGCTTCGTATATATTAGTAAGTTTGTGAGACACGAATCAAATTATTGTTCGGGCTCCGTTAGAGTCAGAACTGAAAAATGAGACCGCAGACTTCGTGGACGTCGCCTATTCATATTTGCCATTGAGTAGCAGGTGTAATGAGGTGTACTGGATCTGAAAAAACCAGCACTGAAGAGGAAAATTATAACTTTATACAGGTGGACTGGGGCGACAAAGGCTCTACAGAAGCTGGATCAAAACTAGCACAAGCAAAGGTACCATAAATATTTCTTGCATATTTAATACCTCTTTCGTTTATTTTTTTGAAGATTGGAGAATTTTTATTTTGATACAATACCAAACATTTCCGCTTCGATAACTCTGCTTTCATTGTTTTGTATTGAAATCTTAGTTTTCCAATTTACTCTTTTGGACACATCTTTGTTTCTTTAAACAACTCGGGTACTTTTCCGTTTCCTCTCGTTTAGCCTTGGGCAAGCCATAACACCTCGTTGTCCATACTTATCATGCAATCGTTATCGGAACTCTGCTCATTGTCAGTGAGCTTGAAGCTTGGCTGTGGGTGAATCATACCAGCCGTGAGTTTGTTAATAGACCGCTGATAACTTCAGCTGTCAATAGACAAGGCACTAAGGCTTGTCAGAGAAGCGAGTGACCACTTGCAGAGTTTATTTCTTACTGGAAAGAAACCTTCCGTTTCGCAGATAAAAGGATGCTGTGTAGTATGTCAACCAGTGCACTTTTATCTCAAAAAAAAAAAAAAATAAATAAAAACCATGACGTTTTTTTACCAACAGCCCTTTTACTGTTATGTTTAAAAAGATATGTCATAATAGTTTACTGTTGACGCAGTTCTTTGGCTCGTGACGCAGTCTGAAAGAATGTCTATCATCATGCAAACTTCATCGAGTGGCGTTTTTGCTGTAGAAGGCAATAAGGTCAGCTGCCATAGCAATCAAAGTATCGATCAGCTCAATGATCTAATTATAAGGGGACTTACGAAGGGCTAACGCTCAAAACGTCAGCTCAAGAAACTCTTTTCAGTGGCCAATTTCCATTATCAACTCAGTTGATAAAAACCAAATGATCTCGTACTACCCCCACCGACGCAGCATCACAGTTTCTTTAGAGACTTACCCCCCGTAACTCAATGATCTGTTTGTTTGGTGATAGGGAGCAATCATTAAAGATACTGACGACGATGACACAGAAAACCAAACATACGTGCCAAAGGGTTCCTCTACTCCAGGTTGTTGGACGGCAGCTAAGGTAAATAATTACTCTGACGCTTGAAATGTCAGCTTTTAAACTCTTTGCGGTGGCCAGTTTACATTATCAACTTAGGTGATAAAACCAAATTATCTTGTTATACTCTCCACTGATGCAGCACCACAGTTTCTTTAGAAACTTACCTCCTTGTTTGTTTGTCTGAGCTTACGTGTCTATTTTTCAGTTTGTTTGCTATCGTAATGTCAATATAAAAGAAAGAAATTGATAAACTGTTTTCAACCAACTGAATAAAAGTGTAATGTTTCTGTTTTGGATACAAATGACATGGAGAACTCAGCGAAGCTGACGCCGTTTCTGTTGTCCACCTCCATTCTCCTCTTGGCCCTTGCAGCTTCACTTTTCCGTGGTATCGTCTTCTCCAATATACAAGAATACAAGCCCGCGTAATTCCAGCAGTTGTGCTGGCTAAAATATCATATAGCTTGAAGTGGAAGATGTCATTCAGTGAATGACACAGGCATACTCGAGTGTTCCCAATAGGAGTCAAACCTACGACCTTCCGACTGGTACACGGGATGCTTTATCACTCAGTTGTAAGATTAAAAAAAGAAAATGTAAAAAAGAAATCATCATTGGATGTTTTTGGCAAAGCAAGAACTTCATATTTTTTTCACTGTACGTTTGATTTCAGGTTAAGGTTATGGCTGGTGTGGCTGCAGTTTCCGTTGGTTATCGTCGAGTCGCTTCACACAGGCCACAACCCGGAGGAAATGTAAGTTGCGTTGACGTTTTTTTTTTCCATTGTAAATCTTGTTTAACACGAGTGTTGTTTACCAAATTGAGAAAACTTATAAAATAAATGATCAACTTTAGCCAGGGTCCCATAAAATTTTGGGGTAAGGCAAAAACTGATCTTAAGGAATACATATAAAGGGTGAATCTGAGGTTTTTTTTTGGAGTTCGTGATAAATACAATGTATGGAAGACTATCAACAAAAGCAATTTAATCTTCCTCTTAGTACACATCTCAGGTACACATAATTTTCTCTGCTATGTTCGATATCATCGTTACATTAACTTCAGAAGCTCGGGTAACAGAGTAAAACAAACAAACAAACAAAAAACTAAAAAAAAAACACAAAATGCTTCCAAATTCTGGGCTCTAATGAGAACCTGCTTGTAGGTTGTCCGACTCTCGGGTTCTGTCGTCGTTAACAGCACATTCCTTTTCAGGACTTCCCTCACCCATAAGATCACACAGCAAGACCGTCTGGAAGTCATGGTTTCAAAACATTTACTGAAATACGTTTTTGGTCACCGAAATGCTTTTTTCAATCCAGTGAAGATGATCTTTTCAAATAATTTCTAACTGGGTTTTCGTTGTTCTTTCCGCTGGAAGATGTTCAATTAAAAAACTAGAAATATTGCCGGAGCAAACGCATGAAAACTGAACACTTTCTTCGGAAGTGTTCTTGTTAAGAATTTAAGTCCAATAATTACAAGATATTTTATGTTAATCTGGCCCCGTGACTGCGCTTTACCTGGTAAAGTGCTCAGTGATATAAGAGATGCCATCAGTCTCTTCCACACCTCCCTCTTCTTCAACACAGCTGTTAAATCTGAACGGGCTTCACACTGGAACAAAGCAACCATGGTTATTATCTCTGAGAGAACCATTCAGTCCTGCCGCAGACTCATGTCTAGGCTTTCTCTTCGCGAGTAGTTTACTGGCGTCGCTGACAAAAGTGTCGAGGGCCCCTCCGAGGTAGCGCTTGTTGCGAGACCTCCTCTTTGCAACTGAAAGTTCGCAACCACAAAAACGTTTGACGCGCTGGGAATGAGGTTTACCAGTGTGGATGTAATCTTCTGACAGTGGTATACCCTCAAATATTGCAACGAAGAACAGCTAGCTACAAACCTTCCAAGGGCACAGTTTGTGACTTCGCTACTGTAGCTCAAATCTAAGACTTGAAGTGAACGGTAGCGACACTCAGTCATTGCGTGAAGTACCTCATCGGTGATTGCGTGGCCATAACCACAGCAGCACAACCGCACGAATCGCAGGAGGTGGCAACGAGTCAGTATCGATTTAAGACCAACTTTGCTCAGATGCCGACACCACGACAGATCTACTTCGGTTATCATCGAATTCTCCCAGGAAACCGCCTGAACTTCATTGTCGGAGACGCTCGTACCGTCGAGTACTAACGATGTCAGCGACGAGCAGCAATCGATTAACTTCGACAGACTTTCTCCTCGAATATTGTGGCATCTCCGGAGACACAGTGATCGAAGATTCGGACAATTTTCCGCGATAAACTGGACTATTGTATCTGTCAGTGAATTACAGTAACTAAACTCTAATATTCTAACTTCCTTCAAAGAAGCGAAGAATCTTCGTTTCTCGCCTTCAGTATCGATAACTCCAAAAATAGAATCGCTGAGGCCTAGGCACTGCACTTGCTGCACGTTCTGGGTGATAACTTTGAATGCAGTTGGATGTCCCGAGCTGTGCCGAATATCCAGCTTTGTTAAATTCCCTGGAAAGGACTCGTCGCTGACCGTGAAATCTTCTTCAAAGGACACAGATCCTAAACATAGCACTCTTAGTTGTTTGCAGTGCATGGCCAGAACTTGGAAAACTCTCGGAGACAGAGTGAAACCTCCAAGATTGATCTTGAAGAGCATCGGTACCATTCGACTTCGAATGAGCTTGATCAGGCTGAATTCGTTAAGCTTGTGGAAACGTTTAAGATTTACACATCTCCACAAAGAGCTGTCGTAAGCAATTACTCTCCAACCCCTGCACGTCCGCGCGACTCGACACAAGTCTGCCTCGCAGAGAAAGCTGAATATTACAAGCAGTGTTGTATCAGGAAAATCATGAATGTGCATTGTTCATTTCTTTTTTGGTTATTCAAAAGAGGCCATGATTGTGAATTGCAGTGTGACTTAAGCGTTTGTTTCCTCTCCCGTTATATTTTCACAGTTTAATCACGTCATAATAGAACTGTTTTAAATGGAAGGCATCGTCACAAATTAAGAATTCTTAATTTAAAATTAGTCTGGGAAAAGCGATTGTCAATTTTTCTGCGAGAGCCACATTCATAGGAAAAATTTAGTTCGCTACTGTCGTCGATGCCTTTGCTTAACATTCACTACTATCATTGTAATTTTGTTTTGTTTGCTCCAGTTTTTTTTGCATGCTTTTGTCCATCAACATGAGCCCGCTTGGTAACACAGCGGTCAAACGTAGGGCATGCGCAAGGGGATCAACTTTGGTCGGCCGCGCGCCGACTTGGTTCTTACAGACTGAAAGCACGTCATTACAACGTTTGCGCATTTTGCATGTGAAAACGTTTGACCGCTTTGTTTCGTTTGGTATTAAGTATTAACACAAATGGAACTTTTTTTTTTATAAATTCTGATCTATTTGTATTCGCATTCTTTATCAATTATGAGAACCCCTTGTTTGTGTGTTATGGTTTCAAGAGAGTATTAGATCCACAATAACAGTTTTGTCTTCTTTGCTTCTGCAGTGGCTGTACTCCTCCAACCCAGCTGTGTGATTGACATGGACGAAGAATTGTTTGTAGTGTTGTAATACTACATAAGCATTTAACAATCTAGAGCGTTTCGATGAGGTTAACCGTTAGTCGTTAAACATCAATTTTTAAACCTTTCATGGTGGGGTTCACACAAAAGCTCCGAGTCAGACGACACATATGCCCACACTTTCTCATCGACGTATTTTGATTTTAATACTATACAATACCTGGCTCTAAATTGTCTCAAACAGCCTCAGTTGTCTTTTAGACACAAAACATTGACGGCTGCCTATACATGCACGTAGAGATCGATTGTTGTGCTCTAAAGTGTCCTTAATTGTCGTGTCAACATCATGTACCTCGTGTGAACACCATTCCGCTTAAGCACTTCTCCCATGAATTCAGTTCAATTTGCATTCTAAACACAATCATATCTTACATTTTGCCACACCAGCTTAAAATCAAACGAACGCATATATCGAGAGAACATTTTAATTTAGCGTGGCTTTATATTCAATTTGAAAAATAATTGATAATCTTCAAGAACCGTAAAATTTCTTTAGACTGCAAGATCACATTTGGCTGATCGCCACTCAGCCAAAAATCTGCGAGTATTTATTTTTCAAGCCTTTTCTGGTCAAGTTCGCTTATTTCCCGTAATAGATAATCGATAAAGTGGTGAGGCCACTAATTCCTATATTCAAAGGTTGAGAAGTCTATATCTAACTCGTAATATTTGTAGCAGTTGTGTGGCGTACTTCAAAGTAGAATGTGTTATTTTATTCCCGTGCTATTTAGTGCGCATGACATCTATTGTTCAATTGCGATTAGAAGACCTTCAGGGAGAAGGGTTGGCGAAATACAAACGAAAGATCACTGGATGAGAAAATTGACTTAAAAATTAAATTAAAAGAAAATTTAATTTTTCTCATCTATATTTTCCACTTCTCCAAGTGTGGAGTTTGACTCAGTATCAAACCCTTTCTCACCAAAGTTGAGGAAAATTTTAATTAGTGTACAGCTAGGTTTCATAGGGAACAAACACTAAATTTATTTACAGTAACACAACTGAACAAACTTGTTCTTCTTGGAAGCGAATAGAGGTTCTACTCATTTTCGAACCAAATTATATACTCATGCGATGGTTTTGATAGATATTGAACTTAATCAGAGGCAGCCTTCTTAGCAAGAGTAGAAAAAGGATATTGTGCGTGCTCATTATTTTATTGCTTTTGTCGACATTTACTTCTCGAGTTTGTTTTCATCTGTCGAGTAGGGGTTAAGGGACGTGTTCAGACAAATCCAGGTACCCACCCGATTCGACAAAGACAAAGAGCGTTCTATATATAATATAATAAAATTTAGAGAAAGCGTTCGAATTGTTTTTGTGAGGTCCTTCTTCCGTTCCTCGGCAAAACCATTCTACGTAGCACGTGCTCAAGTTTTTGGTCCTCGTACAATTTCTCACTCGTCCTCTTTTCCTTCTCAAGTGTTCCCTTGTGAATTTCCTTTGCGTTCCTGATGCGTTCTTTATTGCGTTTTCAAGTGTTACCCGTGCGTTCCTTTTCTTTATCTTCCCTACCTCCGCGTGTTTCAGGTGCTTCCAACACGAGACCTCCAAAGAAAAATTCCGTTTATTTTCCTAAGTGTTCCTCAATGAACTCCTTGCTTGATCCCTTTTGTATCTCTGAATTCATTCTCTGTGTATGCAAGTTCTCTTCCGTTGGTCGCCCTAATCACGCAGCCGTAAGAAAATACACTCTAGTGTAATTTCAAACTGCAATCCAAAAAATTCGGGGACTCATTCGGATATTTCGAGAGCCTTACGCGTTCGTTTCGCTAAACAAGAGTTATGCAGACGCTCTGAGAGCAGGATTGGCATGCACCGTTAGGACGCCTACGTAAGGCCCGCCTCCGAACCTCCAACTCCTACCACTTTTTCCTTCCGCCACCAGCAGATAACACTGCATGATAATACATGCACTGAACTACTCCTCACTGCCTATCTTACCGGCGGCTGTGAAACATACCATTCACTATCAGGTTTGAAAATCAAGTGCTTAATAAGTGGAACATAAAACATTGCAACATAATTTTATGAAATCTGCGCTGTTTATTGACAGAAATTAAACGCCAATTATAACGAAAGAATATCCTTATCTCGCAACCAAAATTAATCTATGCATACAATGTTCATCCTCTGTAAGCTAGGTACATGTAACTTGACTATGTATATAAACGTATAATGCTACTATAAGCCCGCAATAAAGCGCATGTGGACAGAGTAGTTTCCAAGTGGCCATCTACACTGAGTTATCCTCTGTATTCTAACAGCGAGGTCACATGATCATCAGATAGGAAAAACATCTGTTTCAACATCGCACACGACATAAAGGCAAACCGACAGGAAGTTTACCCAACCGCATTTGTTTCGCTCCTCGTTTCAACTGACAAACAACCGCCTCCACTATAACCCCTTTTAACCTATCAGAGACTATCGTCTAGTTTCTCCACATATTATCACCCAATGTTTGGATGGAAAGGTTAAGACGCAAGTCCTAACTAATGAGAGAACAAACCTACCATGCCTTTTTCCACCGTTAAATCACACGCCTGTTTCTGGCAACTAAACGTCTCGGTCGTTAGTCCTTCTGCACTTTCCCTCCTGCCCCTCCCCTCCCCCTTGAGCTGACCTGGACACTTGTAGACTACACTGTGTTAACACCTTATTATTTAAAACTACTCCAAACGGAATTCATCTCTAATATGAACAAAAAAAAAACAAACAAACAAAAAAAAAATAATAATAACATGCTCTTTTCTAACTAAAAAAAAATAAAATAAATACAACCTAATTTGGCTAACACTTGAAAAAAAACAGCTACTGCAATGTGTATCTTGGAAAAAAAATTATCTCAGACTTTTTCAAGCTTTTTTTTTTCATTCGTTCTAGAGGTAAGTTAATCTTACTTTCTTGCAACTCTAAAGTATTTCTCCGCCATAAAAGACTATTCTTAACAGGTTTCCATCAATCGAAAAGCAAAGTGTGTTTGATGACGCAAACACGAATCCAAATGGCACGAAGAAAGTATTTAGTGCAATCTTACACAAATGTCTACTTTTCCCTCCTTGCAATCATATTGCTCGATTTTCATTAACAAACCTCCAGACAGAAAGCAACTTAAACGGCGATTTGCAATGAACAATGTGAAGCGTTTCGAAAATTACAATTTCAGCTAAAGCACTAAAGGTTTCTTCCATAATGCATGCTAACACAATCAGCTTCTTTCTTTAACTAGGACGAAATAAAGCTATATCTATTAAACTCAAAATTAAGTATTTATGAACCTTTTTTGAATACTAAATTACAAGTACTACCTCAGGATATAACCCATATTTTCTCTTGTATAATATCTTCAGTATTTCTATTTCATTGGTCGCAGGACCTTCTCTCTTCGGTGTAATGATTTCCCATATCAAGAAGTGCACAACTCCCTTAACTGACCCTACCCATCGGAATTCACAATCAAACTGGTCCTACCAGTCAAAATAACTGTTATTGATCCACTTAGAATGCGCACGTACAATATTTAAAGTACATGAACATGCACACTTTTTATCAAAATTTTATAGAACTGCACGAATTGTTCATTAGTGTTCTAAATTCACGTTGTCGATGGCAACAACGCACCACATCATTCGACGTTTTCTGGCTGTGGTATTACCAGTCAAATATCTAATCCATCCACTAATCAGGATTAGTATTCATCTCCTCTTATCATCTGTCTGATTCTAGAAAAAGAAAAGGCAGCAAAGAGAAAAGGATTCAATTTTCTTAGTTTATAAGAGAACAAATGACGGCCTTGTACACGGTGCGAATTATTACCAAATCACATAGAAACAATATCATTCAGAAGGCTGCACCCTTCACGGCCCATGTTTCAACAAAGTTGTTTCGCGTTTCTTCTTCGCTTCAAATGATCTGGCAATTTATAGCATCATTTTTAGCAACAGTCCTTCAAAACTAATACTAAAGATTAGAAACTTTGGTGCTTCGTCAGTGGGATGTATAACAAGATAATCTGATTTTATCAACTGAGTTGATGATGTAACTTGCCAAAACTGATGTCTTAAGCGTTAGCTCTTCGTCAGAGCGAAAGAAAGTCCCTAAAAACAGCTGCAAGTCATTGTATTAAATAGGAATATTTTTTCCAACTAAGCTGTGTGCATACAAATTCCGGTGGTTAGCGGAATGTTTGTTATAAAAAGAAATTTCATTTCCCTAGGTACGCTGATTGTCCCAGAGCTCTCGTGTCAAAGCATTTGAGGTGACCAAAACGCCAAAAGACAGCCTTGTGTTGTGAAAACAAGGGACACAAACAGATAACGTTGACGCAATTCCAACTAAACCCTATTACATAAACTAAAACATTTCATCTTTAAATTAACCTTTAGTTACTTCTGGGCCGGAGTTATTCCTAGAGCAGTTATATTTATAAGCGTCTGTTGCGCTGATTTACAGAAAAATTATGGTATTTCTTTTTACTCCTGTTGCTTAGTTTTCCTGACATTTAACACAAGTCATACACTACAAACCGAGTGCCAACGGTACGAGAGTAAGTTTATGTTTATTTATCATTTCTTACCGCTCATTTTAATTCACTAACCTTGAGCCTAAAGTTCCACCTCCTGTCTGTACTTCTCGTTTTTTACGTTTCGCTTTCTTTTTGGAACTTTCTATTCCTAAAATTTACGATTATACATTTTACAGTAAAGCACAATGTACCGTTGCCACTCTTAAAGATTTTGACAGAATGTCACGACAGTTTTGACGGCATTTTTCCCCCAAAAGTGATTAGCAAATGATAGAGCTTTAATGTCAAGCGATTTCTCCATCTCTTTGGCTTTTGATTAGGTTCGTGATATGAAACCCAACGTAATGATGTCAAAACTTCCCAGTTAAGAATGACTTGATGTATTTCGTGTCACAGGAATAGAGGAGCTATTAAATAGCCTGGCTTTATGTGACTTTACGGAACTTTGTCAATTTTGTTTATTACTTCTTTAGCCACTTCTTACAGAAAAAATTGGTTAAATTTAATCTTAGTTTACTGTTTTTATGAGTTTCATTACTTATAAGCTTATCTATCGTGCGTCACGCTTCAACATAAATAAATTTAGCAGAGCCAGTCTCAAGGAGAGATTTTGGTTTTTAAACTTAAGACTTTTATGATCACAATGCAGCGCATTTTAATAAAGTGCACTAAAATTTTTGTTTGCCTCACGTCAAATTGACCAACAAATGAAAATTGTGTTATCCTGAATTATGGACATTACCACACAACTTTTGACCGTTGTCAAAAAAGAGCAAGACGTTCCTTTTGCGTCACTTGTCCTGCAGCATCTAGACACTTTGTTTTCCAGAGTATTAGCATGTTCCTTGCATTAAGACAGTATAACTTAGCGAAATGTAAACGAATGGCGTAGCGAAAACGAGGGAGGTTTGGAACGGTTACGACCCGACCCGACCCGATCCGACCCAAACCTCACCCGTTTTTTCACTCCTCCGCTACTAAAGCCCTGTTTACTATCGCGCTCAAAGAAGGTAACATTACCTGATGAAATACTAGAACTGGATGATGAAGCGTTGATCTCCCCATTTCCCTCCACAACTGGTGGAGTGTCGTTTGTGTTATTGTAAGAAATTACTTCCTGGTAAATTGTTCCTGCAATCAAACAGATTAAAAGCTTAATTCTCCATACAATAGGAACGCATTGTCTGGCAAATGTAATAATGAAGATTGTGCAAGAGAGGTTTGACTACAATGAAGCTGTAGATATCGGTTTATTTTCAGACAAACATGAAGATAAACACTATGTTGTGTCAAAAAACCAGCTGGAAAAAACGTTGCAAGTTCAATATCTTAAATACATCACATGTTTTACATGGTGTACTATTAAAAAACTGAGAAAAAAAAAAACATTTACTGATTTACTGAGAGACAAGACAGCCAACTGATATACAGACGGACCGATAGAATGCCGACAGACGGACAGACCGTATGACAAACACACTGATTGGCATGGACCCGAGTACATTAAACCAAAAGACAGCCAAACAAGTTGGCAGATAACCTAACAGATTTCGACAGGCGAATTTTATCAAAAGAGTTAAATTAAATCATCTCAACAATTCTCGAAGTTTCAAGTGACAGTCAGAATAGTGCCTGCAGGGTCAAAGGTTACCATACCATGACTACGTATTTAACTCACGTTTCCAGTCTTCAACTGTTAGTTCCTTCTCATCCACCGAATGATCATATTTATTGGGTATTGTCTGTTGGAAAATAGGATGACAGTAGGGTAAGTTTCTCAGGAAACTGTGGTGCTACGTCGGTGGAAGGTACCACATACCCCGCTTTGTCAGAGCCCTTCGTCTGTTATCCCAGATTTGCCACAACACCTCACCCTTTAAAATCACTAGTTGACATTTCATTCTTTCAATTAACTTCCAAACATGTCTTTGTTGACTAGTCTTGAAAATTTAATGTCACATCAAGACAATATCCCCCAATTGATTAATATATTTTATTGATAATGTCCTTCATTCTAACATGATGGTCATCCTAAACTGCTCCCTCATAAAACATGATATCTACACTGCTGTTTAGTACTAACCGATTCCACTTCACTTCTCTCGTACCAAACATGAATATAAGGATGGTGCAAGGCTTCAATGACTGATATCCGCTTTGACCTGTCAACTACAAGCATCTTTGACAAAAGATCGCGACATTCATCGGCTGAAATATCAACAGGCCAGAAAAACAAAATCAATGAGTAGAAAACGAGAGGAATCCAATTGGTTTTTTCATTAAGTTTTTCGACAATCCAAATGGGAAACACAGCCTTTTCTGTTAGGCTTTCCTGTTAGAGCACTTTTCAATGAATAATAATAATAGTAATAGTAAATAAAAATAATAATAAAAATAATAATTATAATAATAAAATGATAATATTAAATAGTAATAATAATTATAATAATAATTTTAATACTGTTTATGTGCATATATTCATTTACATATGCCAATATGTACACAAACTAAAAGCAACCCAATAAAATTCTGACAAAAAAAAAAGAAGAAAAATAAGTAGTAACATTATATGGTATAACCAATACTATTGATAACATGTTTCTTGACAAAGATAATGGTGCTGTAAAACCAAAGTAAAAACTGTGGCCAGTCAGAAGAAAGAAAATAGCATGTTCAACGGAATATTGTTTAGAATTCACCTTTAGTCTTGTTCCCAGGTGGAAACAAATCATCTGGGAAAAGATCATCAAAACTGAATCCTGGCTGCTTAGGACGACTTGAACAGTACATTCTCACCTAACAAAAAACAAGGTGGAGTCAGAGCTCAATGCATCAGTCTAAGCCAGTTTCTACTAAAACCTAATTAAATGTATAAGCTATGTTATCCAGTTCTAATATGATTCTTCTCGAGGTGTCCTGGTTTTCCTCCCTCACCAGGTTTTGTATCAAAAAGGTTGTGGCTGTGAGAAACTATGAATGATGACCAAGCTCATACACATACACTGTGGATAGGCCATGTTGCTCAAATCAAATTTCCTAGTGACCATTTACTCTGATGAAGAATACATGGTGTAACAGCCACACCAATCATTTGAATGAGTTTTTGCCGAGGCAAGAGGATAAAGGTTTGGGGAACTGATTAGAAGTCACCGATTTGGTGACCACTGTTCAGCAAATATGTCGCAGGCTGTTGTGTTCCTTTGAATGTGTTCACAAGAAAAGCACAGGAGACACTTGGAACTAGTAATGGAAACAAGATATGCTGAATCTAAACATTCTATGTAATGACAAACTATTGAACTTATAAACATTTTATTGGGAAAAAGATGTTTTTTGTCTTGGCACAAGTGAGAAGTTCCCCATGCTCTACCACTGCCACTGAGCCACAGAGACTCTATGGTGAGAAAAATCCTTACAAAGTTCATGCGTAACGCACATCCTGTATACTGCTAGAATCAGCAATGTCGATAGTGTCATGTTTTGAATATAGCATTAGAAAGATAGTAAGTTTTAAGCTTGGTAAGAAATAGAAAATAAGAAATAAAAACATCTTTGTTTACATCTTTACTGAGCTTAAAACTTACCATCTTTCTAATTATATATACAAAACAAGTCATTGTTTACTCAGATTTCTTACTGATGGTTGTAGCTGGCTGAGGAAGGACTCTGACGGTGTGCCAAGAAGCTCAGTGACCTTGTTCCACTGATCAATGTCTAAACCAGCTGGTAAAGGAGTCTAACACAATTTATGATGTTAATTTACATAGCACATGTATACTGTAAGTTGTCAACTACTTAAACCAATGGTATGGAATCTAAAAAGTGCTGGGAGGACAGAAAACATTGCAATCTAAATGTATCTCAGATCTCTTGGACTTGAAGCAGGATATGAGGAGATGGGGGGAAATTCAGTATTAATCTACCTGAGGTAGATAGGAAGGTCAAGTCTATGCTCAAGCCAAGAGGTGCACCCAGCCACAGCTTATCCAAGTTTCCATAGCACAAAGTGACTAGGAGTGTTGCTTCATCCCCCTGGATGGGATGTTTGTCCCTTGCAAGGTAACCTCCCTGACAATTTCCTAGTACCCATTTTTACTCCTGGGTGGAGAGGGACAGTGAGAGTGATTGGAAAGTAATTTGCCTGAGAACACCCTACCTTAAGAACTACAAAAATATCAAAGTTAAATTCAAAACTATTCTTTACCATGGCCTGAAAACTCAGTTCATTGTACAATTCAAGTAAACACAACCCCAAATGGTATTGTGCCATTGAGGGTAGAAATTTAATGTGTAATGTTCAAAAGTTCACAATTATTAACTAAACTCTCTTCTAGGGCAAAAATTTCACCCTACTTTAGCTCAAGTTTGTGTACAAAAAAAATATATTGGCTTTGAGCCAAATTAAAAAAATATCTTAACGGACCACTGCATCATCTTCCACTTAAAAATTTTACATTTACACAGTAGTGCTCAATGTATTCGATGATTCTTTGAAGTGTTGAAAAGATAAAATACTAACCTAGTTACACAAAATATAGTTATCATGAAAAAGATACGATCAGTTCCAGGAAACATAACACTTCCACGGATCATCTCACCCAGTATACAGCCAACAGACCACACATCCACATTCTCACTGTAACCCATGCCTAAGATAACTTCTGGAGCCCTGTAGTACCGTGTCACTACATATGGCGTCATCATGAATGCTGCACCAGCAGTACGTGCCAGTCCAAAGTCAAGTATCTGATTAATATTTAAGACATTTAACATTGGGAATTTTTCCATAATATTACAAACTTATGCACATGTACAATAAATTAGGGTAATTTGGTATTTTTTACTGAAATGATAAAATAATCTGGCCAAAGCTGACACTTCAATTGTTAGCCCTTCATCATAGCAAATGGCTCTGACAAGGGGATAATGCTGGGAAATGTCAGCTTTAAAGACTCTTTACAGTGGCCAATTCGCATTACATTATAACTTATCAACTCAGTTGATAATACCAAATTACCCTGTTATACTCTCCCATGGATGTAGTACCACAGTTTCTTTAAAAACTTATCACCTTTGTACAATAGATTAGTTCACTAAAACCATTTCCACCCAGAGGTTATAAACATACTTTTGCTAGTCATCAACTGTACCTTCAGTGAACAATCTGACTTAACGACAATGTTACTTGGCTTGAGGTCCTGCAAATGTGAGAAGTCTCACTTCAATGTTGATTTTAAAAAGGCATTTATTTATTATCATTCAAGTTCAGTTATTATTTACGACAAATAATTTCCTTGCTGTTAATTAGATATCATTATTGATATAGTCATGTGATTTTTTAGTTGGCATTGAACATTTGATTAAGTCACTAGGTTTTGCTTCTTTTCTTTTTTCTTTTTTTTTTCTTTTATTAACAGCAACATGCTATCAAAGAACATACCCTGTGAATGATGCCTGCATCATGTAGGTGCTAAAAGAAAAGAAATAAAAGGCACTGTGTGATCACTCTTGAGACTTCAATGTACTTTGTACTCCACAAAACATTTTTACTTGGGTTTTACCACACAAACATTTAAACAAACTTTGGCGTAGTATGCAAATTCTAAGTGAATATATCAGTTAGTGATTTTCTCAGTCACTCCTCATTACACATGAAACTCTAGGAGTGACCAGTATCTAATTTCTCCTTACAGTAACACTGCTGAATAATTCATTAACACATGAGAACAAGAGAAATGATCAGCAAGCTAAAAACCTTTGATTACTGAACAAATTCTCCTTTTCTGTACCAAGGAAAATGTATTGAAAAGAGTATAAAGAATATGGATACTGATCATAGGGTGCAAAAGGGTTCATTGCAATGGCGGCACCTAGGTATCGACAACTTAAGACTCTGACTTGTATGTATGAGTAAGCTAAAAGAGTTTAAAAAAAAGGGTGACTCAAGTATGTATCAGATACAGAACCACCCACCACAACAAAGTGCCAAGGAACTGGGGCATGATAAATACTCATAAAAAATATTTCATATTGCTAGGCTTCTAATCAGTAATATGACAAATATTTCACAAAGTAATACACTGAGAACAAGAAAGTATCACACAAGCTACAAGTGAGTGTGACAGTGACATCTTTACATCTCCTGAGATCTCTAGCTGTACTGTTTTGTTCTTTTATGATTTGTGTGACATTCTGAACAGGAGAGGAAGGTATTGTTTCAATGGCCACTTTGGTAGGTGGCAAAACTCCAGGAGTAAGCTGTGAAGGGATTTGCAAGGGCCATTACATCATATGATGTTGAAAGCTCATAGACATTTGCACACATATTGTGCTGCTTTCGCTTTAAGACCTCATGGTTTTGAGTAAATGCAAGGTTGCTTGGCAAATGTGTTTTGATCAGATGTGTAAGGGATCAAACAACAGGAAAACACAGAATTCAGGATTCATACCAGATTCTTTTGTTTTCCATGAACAAATGAAAATGCAAGTGTTTCTCTTTTGTTTTTGTAAAATTTGGGGTAATTTGAAGGACAAATTAGTGCTTAGCAAGTTCCTGTGAAGTAGATGGCAACTTTTTGCTGATATTTGTCAATAACATTTTTCAAAAATAATTGCTGGATAGTAGTGTAGTGTAGTATGTGAATCTCACCTTTACGCCACACAGCATCTGGTACATAAGATATGAAAGCCTTTCATGATCCAAATCCATTTGAATGACTTGGACAAGACTGGCATCCATCAATTCTGTCACTAAATATCTGGTGACCAAATTAGAGGAGACAATTTTTCCACAAAAAGTAGCCAGGTATTCTCTATTTCAATTAAAAATTAATTATCATTTCTTCCAGAGCTGAATTTCGATGAAAAATCTTCTTTTCTTCAAGTTACAATTAACTTTATTATGATGATTACTATTATGAAATATCACTGTTATAGTAGCAACTAGAATTTGCATTTCTATTTATTGTCAACAACTGTGAAATAATTTTACATCCTATTCAGTTGTTTATCTTTCTATTGTACTTCTATCCTAACGTTGTGTTTCTACCCAATTAAGTTAGCGTTTTTGCGTGGGGCTATGTAAGAATTAGGTAATGTCAGTAGCAACCTATTTCTTGCCAGTATGCATGATGTTTGTTAATGACAATTATAATTTCAAGTAGACCAATGTCGTACAGTGCTTGTAATATTTGAAAAGCACATGTTTACTCACAGGTCCTGAAACTCTTCATATGATCTGTCTGGGGTGAAAACATTCAGGAGACCAATAATCTGCCCACAAAAACACACCAACTGATCAGTGAATTGAAGCAGTGAAATGAACCTGTCACAGTAAAGGCAACAACCCTTCCTTCCTTGTTGGCATGGTGACTGATTTATTAAATCATATTATGTTGTAAGATCAAAGGAAATGTGATACAATTTATTTAAAAAATTGGAATCCAATGTATTAAAAATGAAATTATGATTATTAATAGTGGAATAATGACTCCTTTCATCGCTGATTTGACATCTAATACAGCTGCACATTTTACTCACTGCTTGTACTTTCCATGGCCATATGGAGCTCAGAGAAGTATGATGCAACTTGCAAAATATTACATGTTGAACCATCAAATAAGGTGCCAATGTACTAAACTTTGTGTGACACTGGACTTAAGTTCAAAATGTAAGTTCTTAATCAAACTTACATTCTTGTGGTTGACCATCTTCAACAGCACCAGTTCTCGAAAAGCTCTCTTGGCATGTGTGACATTTTGAAATGGTCGGCTCAGTTTTTTTATAGCAACCTTCTCTCCTGTGGTAGAGTCTAACGCTGAGCTGAAACATATTGAGTAAAAACACGTGAAGCATGTCAGGAAGATGTTGCTATGAGATGTGTTGAGCTAAGCACCCCAAAAGAGTTGGCACAGGTTTCTTTAAAAGTCTTAAATACATCAAGGAGATAAAGAGACCAACCTGTTTGTGTGCAAGTCATATAAAATGCTATAGATTTCAGCCCAAACACACAGGTTTCACAGAGAAACTAATTAAATTAAAGTGGACATGACTATGTTATGTTACAAATCATTTCATGTCTTCTGCAAGACAGTCTCAAGTTTGTATAATAATAAATTTGATGTACATGATTCAAGAACATGAATAATGTTGAATCTTTGAAATATGTAAAACCTGAACTTAGCTTAGAGTTAAATTTTTTCTTCATACTCATAAAAAACCAGGCAAATTCATTGGACATCTGAGGAGTTCACCAGACAAAACCTATATTTGACTAACCATTATTTCCAGCTCTGTCAAAATGAAAACCTCTATACAATGGCCACTTCCTTGATATAGTTTGTACTGTCCCTATGTTAACCATATGAAAGGATTTTCTTGAAATTTTTTCATGTTACTAGAGTGAAGAAAAATTTTCTTGCTTGATGTCCATGATGAATACCAGCTGCTTAAAATGTTTCACTTAATCCTTTAACTCGTATGATCTGATTGTTAACCCTTTAACTCCCACATCAAATTTGTATTTCTCCTTTCTGTCAACCATACAATTCTTTTTCTTAATTTTTCATCAGTTATCTGGTTGATATTGTAGGGATATTGTAAGGAGAAATTTGTTTGTGGGGATCAAGATAACAAAGCTGCTAAACCTGATGAGTTTAAGGATTTGGTCATCAAGATAACCTTTTTCTACCTGATGAGTTTAAGTTTTCTCATTACCCTTTTGCAGGATAATGTGTGGATACTATAGGGGAAAGTTACATGTTAATCACTTCTGTGAGTTTAAGGGTTAAGTAAGAATCTCCACAGGATATTAACACACCACTAATGTTTTCATCACTTTTTAATGTGTATTGCATTATTTGGAAAAGAAAACAAAGCCACAAATTTATAAGAAGGTTACCCTTGTAAAAAATATTTCCAAAGACCTCATCAGTAATTCTCTTTACTGTCTTCCATACAGTTCTTTAATTTTAGTTTGGAGACTTTGCTATTGGATCAAACAATAATCCCCTGATTGATCTTTTTCTTTATTCTCATCACTTGTCTGCTTGATACTGTATTTTATCATGTAAACTCATAATGGTGCTATGCAAGGATTTCCGGCCCTTAGAAAAACTGTAACAACAAAGTGAAAAAATTCAATTATTTTTCAAATGTGTTTTATATTGCCAATCACCTGAAAATTCGCTCAAAACTTACCATCTCTCTTATTTCTATCTACAAACATTATGCTATCAACATTGCTGATCCTAACAGTATGCAGGACACATGTCATATGAACTTTGTAATAGACCTCACTCACTGTGGAGTCACTATGGCTCAGTGGTAGAGCATTGGAGTGCAGAATCCGAAGGTCTGAGATTTGATTCCTCATTGGGACTCACAATTTTTTCTTTGTCCCACACTCATGACATAACAGAAAAAAAATATTTCTCCACCTGCAAACGCGTCACTTGCTTTTGCGCCACTATATCACATGGATGAATGAATGGCAAAACCTTCACCATTCTCAGTCCAAGGTCATTTGTCTAAATTTTCTCCAATTATGGCTGCTAAAACACTGAAAAGTTTGTATGCTTATTAACAGTGATGTACAAAATTTCTTAGAAGGGGAATAAAATCTAAATACGAAAAGAAAAAATGAGAGTTCTGCATTCAGTGGCTTCAGTATAGGCATTTCTCGTGGCTGAGAGTGTAAAATCGACAACTAGAAGTTTTGCCACAGGCCGAGTTTGGGGGTGTACCTGAAAATATTTCTTCTGTGGGTAAGGAAAAACTCAACAACTGAGAATTCTTGTAAATTGAAAATTGTGCCCATTGATTGTTTTTAAAAAGATTAAATGCAATTTTTTTTATCTTGAACCCTATTGCCAATGCACTTTCTGACTTTTTTGTGGGGATTATGGATCTTAATTTTTTCCTTCGTTAAGAAAGTTGACTTTTCTTCTCAGTAAAGGGCTGCTGTGTTTATATAATAAACCAGATAATAAATGGTTGCTGGTAAATGTGGAATTTCTCTTCTCACATTCAACTCAACATCTCACTTGTTCACCACACTCTGAGAGAAATTCCATATCTATGCATTCTCAAGTATTATTCTCTACAATATTGTGAAAAGAAATTCTATCTTGGTCACTAATGGAAGTTTAAGGGATAACTTAGGATCTCACATTAAAATCCAAACTCCGCGAAACACACCAGAGCCGTTCATCATATTTTCGAGTGCATTGCAATATTTGCAAAAGACAACAAAGCCATAAATTTATAAGAAAAGGTTAAGCGTTTCAAAAACAGCGTTAAGTAACTAGATTGGTTAATATGACCTGATAAATTCCAAAACAATACGACAACCAGAACCAGAGTATTCTAAGATTTTTCATATAAAACGAGTGCAATTCTAAAAACTTCGTTACAGTCCTTCACGTGAATTCCTTCTTCGCTCAAAATCATAACCATTCTGCCCTTAACCACAACTCAAGGCTTCAAATGAAAACGATGATTTGGCGAAATCAACGAGATTGTTTAGGATTTCCGGTATAGACAATAAGGGGGAATCTACCCGAGTAGGTCAAGGTTTCGTAAGAGCCGGGTAAATCCCCGAAAGTGCAACGATTTCACATCTACTTTCGAGCACCGGTTTCGATAACACAAATGAAACTTTGGGACCAAATCTTCTACAAAGAAATTGGAAATCGTCACCATCGAAGAAATATTTTACATTCAAGAATAAATTATTAAGACAGTGTCCACAATAAATAACATATCCAATTATCTGCCGGGTTGTTCATGTAAGCTTGTTAAAACCTGCGACCACGAATTCATCTGTCGACCTAAAGTATTTTTAGTACAATAAAAACTGAAAAAATCTAGGAAATACCTCTTGGAACCTGGATACGTCTCATGGAAGAATAAGGGTCAGATTAGGAATGTTTAGACAACTTACCACACCATTCCTTGCGCTCCAGAACCAATAATCTGAAGATTGCGGTACCGTTTCAACACAGTAAAAACGGTATCACCGACTTGCACGGAATAATACATGTCCGCAGATAGATTAAGAATGTCTCTCAATCCACCATCACTTTTCTCTCCCACGACAACCTTATCTAAAGTTTTCCAAAGTAAAGGAACGACTCCACAACACTTAAACATTAGCGATCATCTGGCGGCCATAATTGAAATGTGGAAGTGAAAATTGAGCATGCGCCAAATAGCATGAGAACGTTTGTTTTCTTGCGAGAACTGGGATCTAGGGTGGGTCTCGTAAGATGATTCGAAAGAGGAAATTTTTCCAAACATGCGCTTACTTATCGTTTTTGACTGGAATTCGCTCCATTCAAATCTTTGAATTTCCTTTAAAACAGGAAATTCTGGATTACTTAACACATAGATCAGAAATATCGCAAGGAAGTTGGAGTTTCGAAGGTTTTCCACCAACGAAAGAGGAACAAGTAAAATAGTTGAGACCACCTTATACGCAGTCTCTCTTTTTTTTTTCCATGATAAAACGGGGGTTTCCATGAGTAACGGTTACCAGCGGTCTAACGCCGCCTATAAGACCTCTTACCAGCAGACGTTTCAGGCTCGGGAAGGGACAACCTCCACTGGAACATGAACACCAAGTGAATAAAATTTAAAATTTCCCCCAAGGTGTTTTTCAAGCAATCAGAACACTTCTGTGGCAATAAATTTTCATTCAGCTACAGGGGCGATAGATTGTAAATTGCTTGACTATAAAATAATTTTGGCGAAGTTTAACCCAGAACAATTTCATGGCCAACGGGAGGGCATAAATCCGTTTATTTTAATACCGTATAACAAGGATGAAGGGGAGCTAGACTTGAAACATGTAAATCAAGAGAAACTTCCCACGAGTGACTTTCACTTACTTTCATGCTTCACAATAATCCCGAATATAAGTCTTGAGTGTGAAATCCTGTATACAAACCGAAGTTCCATTTTCAAGGCCAACCAGGTTCGGCGAGTATTTACAAAGACCAGAATACTGAAAATCGATAACAGTATATTCATTTTACGTGTCTCAATTGTCTTATCGGAACTTCTTGAGAGTTCGGTGAAGAGATGTGATGTAATTGTGATATCTGTCACGTCGATAGCAAATCCGGCTAAATTTAGAAATTACTGGACGTCACGAGCTGGAGGTGAGTGACTTGCAAATTTTTTTCGCGTGTGCGCTATCTGTTCTGTTCAATAGCTTTTTTGTTTAGCCACGTCCTCGTTACCGTTGTCGTCGTAGTTTGCTTAAGGTCAGTATTTAATGACAACAAAAACGGACCATTTTGAGAACCAAATATCCATTCTCCCCCCCCTTGCATTCTCCCTCCATTCAAAGCACGGCACGGCATTTCACCTTACTTTCTCATGATCGAGACAAGTTGGATTGGTCTTTATTCAAAACTAAGTATTAGCAATCACTCTGAGTTAACTTTTGAACTCACGATTAGAACTAGTGCTTATGTAAAGAGTCCATGTAGTTGTGGCACTTCCGGACCATCCAAATCCAGCCCATGGCCCACTGTGTATAGACATCCTCTCATGGGCTTTCATCTCATTATTACAGCTGCTATTCACATGTCTTTTCGCGCAATAAACTTACTTTGCTGGGTTTCGTATACAGCTAAGTCATCAATATCTCTCAAATCTTGAATGTGATCCCACTGCCAAGACGTCTCAAATTTTCCTTAAATCTGGATCGATCTTCCATTACTTTTTTGCTGCAGAAGCTTTTCATTTTTCCCCGCCGGAGATGTGGAATAGTGCCCTATGAGAAAAAGTTCTATAGGTTGGAAGATTGATAGCAAGACTAAGTAGGAAGTGACAGATGCTGACAAAGAAATTGTGGTTCAAAAAGGAGCCCAACGTCAAGTTTTTCGGTTTGTTTTTCAAACGTTTGATATTATTTAAATTGTTGATATTTCCTAAAAGTATATAGTTCAATAGAAGATTTTAATTTTAAAACCATCCAATTTCAGAAGTTTAATAATTTTCAACTCAAACCTACGCAGTTTTCTAGCCGTTAATTCTAGTAAACAACGATTCAAGCATGCTGAATCTACAACATGGTCTCGCATATGCAAGAAATTCGTTCGTTTTTCGCTTCTGAGCAGAAAAGTTACATTACTTGTAATGAAAATTTGTTCACAAAATATTTCTTGGTCGTTTTTGCCTTGTCATTTATTCATAGTTTTCGAGTAGAAAACGATTACCTGGCAGACCTGACACAGCTAGTGTCTGCATGCTCTGTCTGGGCGTGTACGAGTTATGAATGCACTTGGGAAGTTTGGAGAGCACTCAAGAAGCTAGAGTTGCGCGAGGCTCCTCAGCCTTGTGCTCTCCAAATATCCCGCGTTCATCCATAACTCGATATCCGCACGTTAAGCATGGACCAATTCTCTATTGATTTATAACTTGCAATCATGCAAATCCTGCTTTGGAATCCACGAATTTGTGTTTTTAACTTTAGCTGATGAAGGGCCAAGACCCTAACACTTGGGAACGATCCAATTCAGGGTTTATTTTAAGTTCATTGCACGAAAGCAATATGCCGCAATTTCTATCCGTTTACCGGCGTAATGTTGGGAACACCAGGAATGTTTGAAAATCACGTGCCTCCGGCCCGTGATTCACAAACTTTTCTCGTGTTCTCTCATCCCAAGTGGGGTATGATGCTGGTTAACCAATAAAAATTGCGGTCTATTGCTTCAATAAGAGCAGCTGGTGGGGTGTATTTGTGCACGGTCAAAACATCCATCTACATTCACTGTGACCATACTACGAGAAATAGACCAATTAAAATCTTTGATCTAGATTTCTATGATAAGCTGAATCCTACACGCATTTTGATTGGTTCTTATCAATGATTTACTAGAGGACAGACGCGTATATGACGTCATCACTTAAAACTTTTTGCTTTTTTGTCATAAAAAACAAATAAATTCCACGTTGCGGTTGGTCTGTACGGCAATAGATCACAGAGGACGTCAAAATGTGGTAAGAAAATCAGTAACACACTCAGCTGCGCCTCTTGTGCCACTTACTTGTTCTTACCGCATTTTGACGTCATCTGTGATCTATTACTGAACAGACGAGAGGCAACATAGAGAGGAATTGTCAAATTATTTATGTGCCACAGGAGTTTGGAATTTTGAAAAATCAAAATAGCTGTATATTTCTCATCCAAAACCACGTATGGCGGGTTCTCATTCGCTGAGAATTCCCTTGTAACAGCCTTATGTTCATTTGTCTCGTGAAAAAGGCGTCAGATCACTTTGCTAAACATATTTCTTGTTTCCTTTCGCAACATTATAATCTCATCCGAGTTCGTCATTTGGTGTCGCGAAAATTGCTAGTTTGGGACAAAATCACTTCTTTAGGTCTGTTTTAAACTCACATTTATTATTACAACTGATTTATTTCAAAACACTTTTTCAAATTTGTAAAATAATCTCCAAATAATCAATTTCGAGTTCAGACGATATTTTTTGTATTACATGATAGAGTGAAAAACTTTGAGCCTTTTTTACAACTTGAAGATCAGATCATTTTTCTCAAAAAATTCAGCATGTACCATCATAATTTAATATCTACACACAAAAATTCATTGTGTTACCTTTTTATGTTAAAGAACTGATAAATGTGATTGTAACAAACCATTTCAAGATATTTACTAATTCTGCTACAGAAACAAACTATTCAAATAAAAGATGAAGGCAAAATGGCGGAGCAAACAGCAGATTTCATAGCGCTTTTGGTGGCAAACTATGCCTCTCTGAAGTGAAAATTAGGAACGTCAAAAAATGTCTCAATGTCAAAGTTTATAGTCACATAAATTTGAATGAATTTTGTTCCCACAACAAATTCTGGTCTAAATGTCTCAATGGTTTTTGTTTGCTCAAACGAGCTTTCTTTTCAGTGAAAAATGTATTTAAAAAATTTTACCAAAACCCCAAGACAGCTTTTGGCTTCACCGCTTTTTTAAAGTGTATCTTCTCCTAGCTTCTACCAAATTACTAGTTCCTTTCCAGGAACAAGATTACATATGTTTATTTATCTTGCTTTCTCTTGATCATTGTTCTCAAAAAAATTGCTTAGATTTGGTAGTTTTAGTGTCATTAACAAATGTATTGTTCTTTATAGTGAATGTACAACGTTGAAGCGAACGTAGAGAAATTAGTTTCTCTAGCGGTATTTTGCAGAAATATATATATTTGAAAGGAGCAGGTCTCTGACTCTTTTCTTTTAATTGAAAACTTCTAACTAATTATGTTTTAGTGCTTTTCTTGCTTGCTCTTATTTTTGGCAGTCTTAACAGTTGACATCATCTTACTTAACAGTTGAAGGAGTTAATTTCATCCTCTCTATTGATTAAAAACAGAGATTCATTCAATAACTCCCCTATGATGTTTTTGAGTAAAACTAAATGTAGTCTTTACAAACCTTTGAACATTTCTTCTCCAAACATTTTGCATCTTTTACTGATCAAAAGCATTTGTGTAGGTATCAGAACTCCATGCATTGTAAATCAGATGTAAAAATTGCTTCCACAGTTCTTATCATTGAACAAAGAACTGTACCTCACAGAACTCCTTCAAGCCAAAAGTGTCTTCCTCTCTTCAATCTGGCTTGAAAACAAGGGGAGCTATTTGCTAGCAATAGCAATAATGCTAGCATCAAACAGCAAACCCTTTCATAACTTGACTTTCATAGCATTGTACCCTTACACTTGGCATTGTTTTGTATCCCCTCAGTAAGCATTGGGTACCACAGGACACCAGTCTCTCTCTTCACCCTTTCCTTGTGTGGCTGCACCGTTTTCATATTTGGATTACATCACATGAGCAAAATGATAACAAGTATCTCACCAAATCCACAACAGTCAGTGTGTGGTTTCAGACATCCAGTAGGTCAGCCACATGCTCATAGCACATTCTTTAATCTTGCTATCATTCCATTCCTGTCAAAGACATTTCAGATCGTACACTCATCTTCCTTGTGTAAGCTAGACTCATTGCTAATCATCTCCTGTACAGTCTCTCATGTGATTTTCAAGCAGATCATGAGGAAAAAGTTTTCTACAGTTGGGACACTGTAACTGACTTCCTTGGCTGGTAAAACGTCGCATTGCATCCTTCGGCGGAGAAGTTGGGCAGTCTGTCACATCCGGCCCAGGTCCATCAGCCTTCACTTCCATTCCAAAAGCTCTAGCTCTCATAGGACTTTGCTATGAATTGACAAACAAAGTCATGTTAATCAATAATTAAAAACAAAGCAAAACAAGAAAATAAGCAAACTGAAACAACCAAAAAACACATGCAACAATCTGCATATGGGGCTGTTTCAAGGGAGGCCTCTCAATTTTCATTAGAATCTCTATTACAGCCAAAAAAAAAAGATCTATACACTTATGCCATGAAAAAAACTCTTTTTTCAAGGAAATCTGTGAGCTTTGTATTGTTTACATCAAGTTGATTAGAACAAATTTTATTATTCTTACATGTACTTGTTGCCATGGTTCCTGAACTTGAGCTGCACATGGGCGGCTTGGAGTTGGAAGTCTGTTTTGACCTTGAGCATGCTGCAAACAATGCAAAGAATGATTTTATTAGTACAGAGTTATGCCAACATACCTGTAACTATGTCCAGCTCATTTTCATTCCCTAAAATCTTGTTTAACTCTTAAACCCCTTGGAGTGATAAGCATCTAATTTCTCCTTACCATATCACTTCTGAATCAAACAATAAGGTCATAAGAATAAAGGAAATGATCACCAACTAAAGAAGCTCTTGATTGTTCAACAAATTGTCCTTGTTGAACAGTTACTGAAACACAACTGCCATACTGAAATAGCTCATTTCTCTTTAAACAAGTTTATGGCTCTCACCTGTCTCTGAGCTTCTGAGTACATTCGCTCAATGTTTTGTCTCAAGCCAATGTGTTCCTGCTTTAGTTGTTCGAAACGTTGCTTGAATTGATCCCTTTCACGTGACACCTGCTCACGATCTGACAAGGCCTTGACCTTCTCTTGTCTTTCCATCTTAAAATCATTTTCATAGCCTTCAAGCTGTAAAGGAAATAAGTTTTAATTAACATCACTTTCACATAACTTTCTTGAAAATTTACAAGTATGAGTAACATATCAGACATCTAAGAATTTACTTCTGAGCATAAACCCCTGGACTAATTGTTTGCAAAAAGTATATCAACCATTCACTTACTGCATTTCGCATGAGTTCTTGTTCCATCTCATTATCTTTAAGTTGTATATCTTTTTCTGCACGATCTCTCTTCACTTCTGTTAGTTCATCACTCAATGCATGTAGCTGTCGTAACATCTGTGCTTGCCCTTCTTCAAACTTAAAAATAAAGATGAAAGAAAGATAGGTTTCAGTAACAGTCTCAATAGATGTAGAGATACAATTCATTTTTTAGGTCAAAGTGGTCGCTGAGAAACACATTGTATAATTGTCTAATTTGTCTCTATAGTTCAATTGCCTGCATGCATGTTATTTACAAGGACCATGGTGATCAACCATAAACTTTAAGTCTTTTTCTATTTTGTCAAATTTCATTCCTTTACAACATAACTTTGTCAGGTTATTTTGATCGCCATTAAGTTGTGTGCACATAACAAATACACTATGTAACTCTGTTAGTGTCTTGGATATCAAACCTGATTTAAGTGTGAATATAACATATCACATGAAAGCAATTGATGCTAAGTAAATTCAGTGCTTGAAAAACTTTTTCAAGGCTTCAAACTCATATTAACTTCACCATAGATAACTTTTATAAACTTAACTTACAGATTTAAGCTGAGCAGTGTGGAGATCGTTTGATTGGGTCTGTTCTTCCTTCATTCTGTTCAATTCTAGAGCCTTAGCCTCTAATTCCCTGGTTAATTTTGAAACCTCCTCTTTGAGCGTGGTAAGCTCTTCTGAAGAAGCATATTCCTGTAATGTAGATATGAAAAGAAAGTTAACCAAAAATATGATCTAGTTAACTTTTATATCATTTGTGTCATTAAATTCTAAATTCATAAGAGTCTCCAAGCAACAAATTACAGAAACCATGGCTACCAGTCCCTAACATTTTTGTGTTTACTAATGTGTTCTCTTGTTCATTATTCCACTATAATGTATCTTTGTTTGAAAAAAATATAGAGCTCCTAAAGAAATACTTGTTTGTTACAAGTAAATCAATTAAAAAGTAATCAATTTTCATCTTCAGACAAACACAAAGGAACTAGAAAATAGTACAAAACAAAGAAAGGATGATAAAGACTACTTGGGTTTGGTTATTTACCTCTGGGTCTCCATCTGGAGTATCATACACCTGGTTCAAAATTCTACGGACATCTGGCTGTGTTGACAGTTGGCCCAGTCCTCTCTTTAGATCTCTCACTCTAGTTACCCTATCATCCCTAAGAGACTGTAATTCATTCTTCAATGAATCATTCTCTGTCACCACAGTTTCACAAAACACTTGTTTCGCATTGAGGTTTCTCTCAAGCTTTGTGACCAATGCAGTGAGGCGCAGCACTTGACCTTTCATTAATTCAATGTTGCCTTCATGGGCAGCACTTAGAGCTGTTTTTAATTCTTTTACTTCGTTGCTTTTCATGTTCTTTTCATCTCTAAGGTTCATGATTATTTCATGTAGTTCCTTATTCTCCTGGAGAAACAAAAAATGATTGAAAATTGATTAACAAAATGATATACAATTCAAAAGCCTTTTTGCTAAAAAGAAGTAAAGAAATAGTAAAAAAAAAACCTTAAGCTGAAAAGCAGCTAAAAAAGATGAAAAAGACACCTTACTTAATACTGAGGACAGACCCAGCACTTGTCATTTCAAACCAGGGTTATGTCTCAGATGTGATTTATTTTTGTTTTGAGACTTTCGTTTGACCTGAATGTAATGAAGTTCATTGTTGGTAAATAATAATAAAAAAATTGTTGAACTCTTCCAAATACAAAATGAAAATATTGAAGATTCTGAGAGGGTTCTCTCAAGAACTACTCAATTGCTGCTTAAGCACGTTCAGGACCCTGTTATCTAACTCATTGTTATCTAAAAGCTGAGTAAGATAATTTAGTTTCTTCACTCAGATTTGCTTCTCAAGCATTTATTAAAAAATTAATAACAAATTTTTGAAGGATAATGATGAAAGTGCAGAAACCGAAACAAGTATAAACCTGTTCGAGCACCATATCAGGTAATTATTGGGCCATCTACTTGAAAACGACCAATCGGAGAACGCAAGAATAAACGGGGAATCCCCTACTTATGAACAATCCTTCCTTATTCAAATTACCTTACTTTCGGTTTCTTGATGAAAAAAAAAAATGCATATATCATCATAGGGAAACCACAACGAAAAACCAAATTTCAAACCCTTCCCCTCGTTAAAGCATTTGCTGTTACTCTGAAATATCCCGAAAGAACAATCTAACCTCACCATCATTGAAGACGAGCGAATACGTGCAGAAAAAAAGCGCTTAGCAAAGCAGATTTTTTCGCGAATGCGTGGCGCCCTTCCCGTTGTTTGTTTCAGGTTTGGGAAAATTCCCTACCATTAATAGAGAACTTACGCTGAAAGGAAACTGATATATCAAGCTCAGTATTTTGCTGAATACTTGCTGAAGGAATACTTATCCATTCTCGTACTCCTATCTTGAGACTTTCTGTGAAATGTTAAGAGTCGAACCGAATAAGAAAAACACACGCACGCACGGCACAAACAACATATGATTACCTAACGATTAAAATTTGTGATTCGCTAGCTCCTCCCTTTGCAAAAGAAAGAAATACCTTCACTTACCACTGCCAAGTCAACTCCGGCTGGTCCTCTGTTGGTTAAGTGGTCCAGAGCTTGTTTTAGTCTTGTATTATCGCGAGTTAATGCTTCTAAAACCTTCTTTGAAACTCCTGGCGTAACAATGGCGGTTTGGCCGCTCAAATGTTGGCCGTTGCCCGCTTGAAGACTTAACTGAGTTATTCTGTTCTCTGCTCTCGCCAGAGAACCTTCTATCCGTTCAATTTTTTCTCTAAGATTACTATTCTCTATTTCTTTCTTCTGCAGTTGTTGTCCAAGGTTCTGAACGCCCGTTAATTTGGACGCCATTTTCTGTCTATCTGTGACCATCACGAACAACGTGTGTCGTAGACGGATGTTTTCGGCTTTCATAGCGTCGCAATCCACTTCTGCGGCCATTTCAAAACACGAGGTAAATTTGGCTCCTGGCTTTCCCAGAGAATTTTGTGTAGTCCAGAAGACTCGTTTGTTCAACCAAAAGTTATCAAGGTTACTGACATGCGTCTTAAGTAGCTCAGCGTTTCGTAAAATAAAAGGGAAATTTCCCGACAAACGTAATGAAAAGACCCTTACGGCATCAAAACGAGAATAGCCCGTACGGGGAAATAATGTTATGCAACAGTGCATGCGCGCACCTATTCCCTCTCTCATCGACCCCCTCTCCCATCAACCATTGCTATACACCTACATTCTTATTCGTTTTATTTTCATTGAAAAAAATCTTTTCAACAACAGCTTAGGATCGAAAATATTGAAATTTTATCTTTGGAAGCGGAGGGAAAAAGTGATTAAGGTATGCGCCTCGGACGTGGAAGAACACAATACAGAAAAAAAAAACCGCTCAAAGAGTCCATTATCATCTTACCATAAATTGCGATGTGTTCCCCGAATCAATAACAATGGACTCATAAAAAAATGTCGGGCTTAAGTTTATATGCAGGGAAAACATTTCAGAAGATGAAGATTACAACTATACGTACCAATTATGTCCCTTTGAAATGACACGTTCCTACCCGTGACTCACTGATGCTAACGTACTCGCACATACCAGTCTAAGCCATACGGCATGAAAGAATTATGATTCGAGACAACGACTCCTATACTGGCCCTTACTCGACAGTATACCGGGACACTGATAATATTATAAATGGCATTGAATCACGGTGATCTGGCATAAGAAATGCTATCTGTAAGATCTAATTTTAGTGGAAAGTGATTAAATGAATAGAAAGCCAAAAAGAAAAGGAAACTAAAGAACTTAAGAGATAGAAAATGAGGAAAATATAAATCGCCAAAAAATAATAGCAGAAATATTTGCAGTCTAGGCAATAATCTGATATATTTCACAAGTTATTGCGCCATTGCGGCAAACCCCCTTCATAAATTATTGTAATGCGTAGTCTAAAAATAAATGTTAAGAATTCACATTCATGTAGAAGTCTCAGAAGTAATGGTCCCTCTATACATTAGTGTTTCTGAGAAAAACGTCCTGTGCATCCGTTTCCTGCCCTGCGCTTCTATGGCTAGCAAAAATGACCCGGCAAAAGATCTGATTACTTCTGTTTCAAAGTTGTCGATATAATCAACTTATAGCGGGAGATTGCCAGTTGGAGAAAAGGATGGGTAGCTCGGTGTATCATCCGGAGAGGTAAAAAAAAGATTTTAAAATAAGTTGTTATTATTTCACAACAACTGAAATAGAATCGGTGATTTAGATAAACGGGTTCGATCGTTTGCGTGCTTTCCAAAAGAAAGGAAACCGAAACTCAAAAGCTTCGACTATAATAATATGACTTTGGCATGCTTGACGTACATATGTCATTTGAAAACGCAACTCCTTACAACGAAAGATATGCACAAGCGAGTTCACATGGCGAAAGCGAAAACTTTTGGCGACGCAGTTTGCCCAAAATAGCTCTGCACTTCCGTTACATGCTTTGTGCACGTGCTCAGATCACGATTTTGTCACTTACCCCTACAGTTTAAAACCCGCGTGTTCCCCCTGGGAAAACAATGAACGGGTCATTCCATCCATCTGCATGTTACTCACATGCAAAAGACTTGATACTGAAGGTCGAAACTCGTGATCTGTCGACGAGTGGTCGAACTCCACTTAAGTATCGTGGATCAGGCTATTTCCAGCTCAATCCATTTTTTGCAGTCAAGTACAGCTTCGATCTCTTAAGTGTATTTGCTTTATTCTCATTTCTTCCGTATGACGAGAAGTTGTGACAGTAGATATCTATTTCTTACAGTATTATACCTGTCTAATTTAGGGATTTTTTGTTTTATCTGTTATGTAAACGTTTCAAGGTTGCCCTTTCGAATTCAAACACCAGTTGGTATAGGTAATCGTCGGATGTCAGGTAAAGCTAAGCTTTATGTTACGCGTGGTATAAAAAGTTGCACACATCAATTGAATGATGTTTTAATTTTGTGCAACATCACCAAAGCGATGAAACCATCACTGCTAAGAAACATTCGCCATCGATGAAATTATAATACTTTTAGGCAAACTTAAGCCTTTTTTTAAGTTTTCCATTCCAAGTAATTGTTCCAGGGGATTTACCAAAATATATACATATGAAAAATGTCCTTTGTCTCAGCCAATCTACATTTAGTAATTTTGTCCTCGAGGTTTTATAATTTATAAGGGACTTCTTCAATTTTTCTAAATTTGAAAAGTAGACTCAGCGCAACTCCACCAGTCACACAATAACTATGATGTCACTGTAATTGTACCAGACTCTGAAAAAATCAACAGAATACCCAAAAATATCAAAAAGTGAGACGATGACCGAGGAGCTTCGTTCCTTTCGGCCGAAAGGGGCACTGGTTTGCGGATTATCCTAATCAGTAGAGATTTCATGCGTTGGGGTATGGAACGGATATTTCCATAGGATGTTAAAAAAAACGTGTATAAAAGTTCCAGTAGAAAAAACTTAGTTTAGGTCATTCAAAGGCCCTCTTAGTTATCATATCGTTTTAGTTTTTTCCTCATATGCTCTTTTTCTTCTTCTTCCTCAGTTCTCTTGTTCGTCAGCAGGGCACAACCTGCGTTTGATGTCTAGCCTTTCATTCATTTAGTCCGGAGTAGTCTTGCAAACATTTTTGTGCTTCTGTATCATGACAAACAACAAGGACAGACCGAAGAAAAAAAGAAATATCTGATATTAGCTGTGAATCTGTATTCTGATAGATCATTAAGCATTTTCTATCGGTTTACAGGCATAAAACCCCGCTTGGGTGTTTGGAGAACACAAGAAAAATCAGTTGTAAATCCTACGCCTTCGGCTCGTGATTTACAATCTTTTCTTCTCGTTCACAGCGTGCGTGATATTTACTTCAATTCAAGCAGCACCACAGTTCTGAAAAGAGTTTCCTGTGAGGTCCAAAGCAGCCTCAAAATCACCTGACCAAAGGACTGATGTCGATTAAAGCCTTCGTAATTTCATCATCTACCAGTTATGAACACGCTTATCGCAGTTTCCGCGGAAAATAATTTTTCTTTCTACAAAATATATATCATGCTGCAGTTCGTCTGTACTTGACAAATAGTGACACACTCAGCTGCGCCTCGTGTGCCACTTTTTTGTTCTTTCCACATTTTGAAGTCATCTGTGATATATTACTGAACAGACGCACGGCAACTTGGAGTCTATTTGTTTTCTATAATAAAGAATTAAAAAAAGTTTTAATGATGACGTCATCTATACGTTTATCCTCCAATAGATCATAAGTGAGAACCAATCAGAATGCGTGCATAACTGAGCTTATTATATCACTTATTATATCACTGATTACGTCAAGAAGCGGGAAGAACAAAACAAAGGGGTACGATCGATGTCCGCAGCCGAGTGTGTCACTGATATTCTCAAATCACAAGTTACAACTAATTTATCAAAATACGCGTATAATTCAGCTATTATATGAAATATCTGCTGAATTGCTGAAAGGTTTTGATAACTTTTAGCCCACATTCTTAATTGTTGTTGCTATTATTATCATCATTATTTATTATGAAATTCTAGATTGTAAGGACTAAATCGGACACGATTATCAAACTGCTCGATTGAAACGGACACGATTATCAAACTGCTCGATTGAAACGTTACAAAAGTGGTTCATTGATTAAAATGTAAACTAAGAATCAGAAGCAAATTCTTGCGGTCTCTTTTCAAATGCCACGCGCTTGACTTTATCAAATTTTAAGCTGGATAACCTGTAGCGTTTGTTTATGCGACAAACTGGACTAGTCCACCATTTCCATGATTACAAGAGCATACAGATAACGCTGTTAAAGTGGCCATAGTTCACCAGCTTTTTGTCTTGCGTCCCATCCATCGGTCGCACAAGTTGGTGTTGGTTCAAACTTATTTCCTTACGTATGAGTAAGCTCCGCTGCTGCGCTTTATGCGTTATACTCCTGTGGTTGTTTTAATATCTTTACTGTTGTGAGTATTTTTTTCTTTTTCAAAAATCTTTGCCTAGTTTGTGCAACTACTTTGCTTCATGTCTATCGTTTTTGAAAGTTGAAAGAATTCAAACAATAAACAACTAAGAAATGTTCCTTAGTATGGTTGCGTGACTAATTGTCACGCAATATAATACAACGCGCCATTCAGGATTTTATTCGCTCCACATCTTTGAAGACTTCATGAAAGCTGCCAGTTGTGTGGGTTGAACACCTTTTGAACTCTTACTCAACTACCAGCAGCTGGTGATTATTTTCCTAATTTCCTGTTTTTGTTCTTCGGTTACATGATCCTTTGTTTTATGCGGTATTTATTGACAGCTTTGTTCAATCGAGCGAGGCGGGCGCTCTTACGGACCTTGAACAAACTCATTTGAATTTTTCAAAACTTTCGTTTGAAAGTTATGCCAGAATTTCTTCCACTCGACTGAGCATAGATCGTATTACGTCCAAGGGCTGACGTTTAATAATTGTGATAGCTGTACCACAACAACTGGCTGTATTTGGCGTCCGATCGTAAATTTCGCTGATCGCATTTTGGTGTTGATGACTTGAGAATCAAACCGTTGAGAACATCGCGCCTTTTCAATTACGAGATGTAATGGCATTACATCGGAAGTTATCTGGATCGCCAGTAGAGGTATGTCAAAATTGTTATCGTGATATTATTGAGCTATAAAAACACTCGAATTATTTCTAGATAAGTAAGAACGCTACATTGTCTTCTTGCGCGCAAAGGTTGTATACAAGACAGCATAATGCGAAAAAATTATTTCCATATTGCCGGGAGCGATCTAGCGATCTAGCATTAAGAGTTAACAATTAAGTATTAGTTTCCGTGGTGAAACACATCTTACGAAGAGAAGAATTTAATTATTTGGCATCATATAGCTATATAACCCCTTCAAGAAGGTTCGATTAATCCGGTTGAAATTGATAAGCTGACATCATGTGAAACTCAGGCGAAGTAGTGACATTTTCAAAATCGTTCTGCCTTTTAAGGAAACAGAAGCTGTTATGATCCGAGAAAGGATTAACATTGCTGAATGTATGAAAAATATGAATAGCAAGGCAACTATTACAATTACACCCCCGGCCTCAGATAAAAACAATTCATCAGATACGGACGTTAAGCTTAAAATTAAATAATTTACAGAAGAAGCAATGCAGAATTAACGTATTAGCATACAACCTATTTATATTTAGGATTACTAGTAGCATCCGCACTACTTTCATTGGCGCCCATTTATGAACTCTGTAAAATGAACAATATTGAAGTTATAAATTTTATTTTCTTACAATCTGGTGCTGTCAAAACACTTCCATTGATTTCTTGCAGAGCTAAGTAAAAACATTCAACGTGTCTATCAATACTCAAATTTCTATTAATGAAAACAACTCACAAAAATTTTCAGGTGTCGTAAAGACTCTCGTTAAGGTGAGGGAAGGGGAGGGAGGGTGTAGAAATACTGACTGCACTGTTTTTAGTAATTTAGGAGAGCATTAACCTCAAACACTTATTAGAGTCTAGCAACTTAGACTCTGAGCTTGTTCTTTCATCCTTAATCTCTATTATGACCTCCCACCCTCAATACAACCATTTTGATCCTTTACACCCTAACATCAATATCCATATTCTCTATACTGTCCTCTATGCATTTCCTAGGGTGCTCACAAGGAGAAGTTGTTTAACAATCAAGAGCTTCATCAGTTTGTGTCATATTTTCTTTATTCTCAGTACACAAATGTTTTTTTTCAGGGATGATATTGTAGGGAGAATTTAGATGCTGGTCAGTCTAGGAAGTCAAAGGGTTAAACAGTTTCACTTTAAAGACACTTAGCTGAGCTTCTGTGTGGATTTATACGTACTAATAGTGACATTAAAATATCATAATTTATGACTCTCTTGTAGGTATATAAGGCCTGGGTGAATTGCTGTTTAGCTGATGTTGGTGATAACAGAAGAGTTACTGACCTAGCAGATGACTTAAAGGATGGTGTCATACTGAGTCAGTTGATTAAGTCAACCACAGGATATGAACTTAGTCAAGGCCAACAGGTTACACTATAATTTTCAACTCATCTTTGATCAAAGAGAGTGATAACCTCCTCTTGCAAAGTAACCTTTTTGAGATCTTAATTTTCATTTGCAGTTTATTACTTTGATAATTGAAGATCTTTACTTAACCATATTTACACCACTGATATCACACATTCTTTAAAACACAGATACAGGCCAGGAAATTGCCACAGTCATACCAAACAGTGCAGCTTGTGATAGATTACATGAAGGTCAAAGGAATTGTCATCTGCTGTCAAGTGGAAGGTGATGAAGTTAATTTTTCACTAAAACAATTCAAAATGGTATCGCCTTTGATGAATGTCCTTTTTTCTGATTGTAATAGGCTATTTTGTTGTAGTCAGCTGAGGTTAAATTATGGTTGTTGTAGCTCATCATATTTTTCTCCATTATTTTGAATTCAGATATTGCAAGTGGGAAACTCAAATCTATCTTGGACATTTTGTGGCTTATTATCTTGCATTTTGAAATACACAGTGCCAGTGAGTAACATACATTGTGTACAGAGATAAAATTATAAATAATAATTATTATCTTATCATAATAATATTAATTATATTTTTCTAACCCTGCCCTTCTATGGAAACTTGCAGCTGGGCTCTAAGCTGTGACCATTTTGGTTGCAATGGCAAGTGAAAATTATATTTGGCCACTAAAATTTTGAAAAAAGTTGTCAATTGGTGACCAACAGATCAATTAAAAAAAGGGAGATTTGAAAAAAATTTTGGGAGTAAAAGTGGGGGCGGGGGAGGGTTTATGGGGTGAGTGGAAATTTTTTGTGGCGAACATTTTTTCAATTGAAAGTCACTGAAAGGTAACTTTTTGAAAAAATGAACTTGGAGCCCTGTGCACGGTCATTTGAGCTGTAAAATGAGCCTAGGAGATGGCCCTCAGGACATGCATTCCTCTGTGGAAATAAGAATTTGAGACAAGTCAGGAGAGATTTGCTAGGGTTCTGCAACTTAAGTCTTCTAGACTCCTGGAAGACCTCGCAAGTTGCTTTAAAGGCCTCATGCTTTCCTTAGGGCAAAGAAATGGTTGTGCCAAAGCCCTAGTAATGAGGGCATGCCCACAGGCTTCTGCATAATTATGAAATTTATTAACATTGGACTTATGTCTTCTTTTGTGGAAGACCTCTGTTTGATTGTCAAAAATTAAAAGTTTGCATAGCAGGATCATTTACAGCTACTGAAAGATGTAACATGGAGTATACTTGGAATGATTCAAATTCCCTGTTTTGTCTTCTTGTATTTATTATGATTGTTGCTCCAAGAATTTGGTGTCAAATCAAACAATATCCCTCAGTTGATATTATTGTTTCTTTGTTCTTGTCACCTTTCTGCCGGAAAAATAATGTGAAGAGGAATTCCTCTCTGGTCACTCTTGGCAGTGAAAGGGTGTGCTAACCACAGCTGAATAGTTATCCATTAGAATTAAATTGTTGAGTGTCCTTGAAAATAAGTTTGTACCAAGATACCCCTAATTAGTCTATACTCACTGTGTGTTTCCTTCCCCCCTCCCCTGCTTTAACTCTGAGATAAAAATTGTAATTCTCCTTACTGTCAACCATACAATTCTTATATTGTTAGTTCAGAGAATTTAGAATTGGATCAACCAATTAGCCCCAAATTGATATTTTTCTTTATTCTCATCAGTTATCAGTTGATATTGTAAGGAGAAATTCTGTCTTGTCTCATAGGAGTTAAAGGGTTAAGATTTGAGATGAGAAGGAGCGAGGTTTGCCAGGGGTCACTGCTTGACCCAGCCAGTCAAAGGCTTGTGCTAAGTAGATCATAATGAGGCCTTGTTTGTAGGCTAACTGTGACTGTACTTTAATCCTTCTGTGTTTATACTCTCATTGAAAAGGAAAGCATATTGTGTCGTAAATATAGCCAGTAATTATTGTATTTTGTAGTGTTTTAGACTGATGTAATATCTGTCTCCATATGGAATTGTTGTTTTTTTACTTAATAGATCGTGCTGCTTATCAGCGAACAGTGAATCTAGGAAAGAGGTTTCTTCTGGAATGGTGTTGCACTGAAATACCAAACAGTGCAATTGACCCCAGAGGACCATTTTTAGATTTGTAAGTAATCAACTGCCTATTTTGTGAGGACCAAAATTTGTGTTCATGTGATGGAGATGTCTCTGAAGAGAGGTTCCACTGTATCATTTTAAAATATGGTGGCTATAATTTAATTTGATTTTTTCCTTGTTTACAGTCTTCAGGATGGTTTTCTGCTCACCAAGCTAATTACCAAGTACTGTCCAGTTGATGGAATCAACATAAGTGATTTACAGGTCAGCAATATGTATGGAATAATTATTTATTGATTTCATGTGGTTGTTGTCATAATGGATGAAATGGACTTTCTGTTTAGTCGCTGTTTTTTTGTTGATTTTTGTATTTGACCAAAATTTAATCGTTGTTTGATTCTAAAGGTGATAAACAAAGATGCGTTTGTTACTGTTTTGGAAACTGCTGAGGACTGCCTTGGAATTCCTTGCAAAATCCTCAGGTAACAGGAGTTTTCAGACATAAAGGTTGATTTACTTGTCATTTTATGATAGTTTTTATTTTTTTTTCTTTACCTTTCTGTCTGTGTGTCTGCCTTTCTGTCCATCTGTATGTCTGTCTGTCTGTCTGCCTGTTTTTCTGTCTATCTATCTGTCTATCTGCCTGTTTGTCTATCTTTCTCTCACTTGTCTGTTTGATGTTCTGTCCTTCTGTCTGTCTTTTTCTCTTTATGTTTGCCTGTCTGCTTGTCTGTTTGTTTGTCTGTCTTTTTTTCTGTCAGTATTTACACTGTCTGTGCTTTTCAGTCTGTTTGTCTAGCTCTCTACCTGTCTGCTTGTTTGTCTGTTTCTATCTTTGTCTGTAGCTACTGTTCCTTTTGTTAGGGAAGTCATTTACTGCAGCAGTATAATAAATAGTACTTTTCTTTGCATTCAATTTGATAGCTCATCAGGAATTTTGGATGCAAACACGTTTGATGAATATGCAGTTATCATTTACATGGCTGTACTAAGACGAAAGGTTAGTTAGAAGTAAAATCACTGTTAGGTATTGATTCGATTAAGCGCACAACCGCGAGTAAGCCCTTTACACCCCTCCCCCCCTCCCCCCCGAAAAAAAAAAGAAAAAAAAACTCTTGAATACATTATATCGTTGATTTTGAGAGGGAGTTGAATAGTACGCCGTGGAAATACAGGCAACTAAATAGATCGTTTCTGAACATTTAAAGTTTTTCGCACGGTAAGAAATTCACGCATCTTGTTGGCTGATGTGAGTGGGTCAATGACTAGCGTACGGTTTGTTGTGTTAGATACTTAAATCCTACTTTCCTATGTAACTCACCTTTTAACGGTAAATTCACCGCAACTGTTCTATATATTCGAATTTGATTTCGATTTTTCTACGCCAACTTTGGGGCGCTTGATATACGTAATATTTGTTGCCGTTTTTGCTTTATTTTTTAATGGTTATCCTTTCACAAGTCGTTTTTTATAAATGGGAAATACTGAACACTGCGATTCAACATTAAAAGGCCTGAAGACTTCTACAGTCATCTCTACGCTAAATGACACTTACGTAAGCGGACAGATCTACCTTTGACAGGGTAACAGAATAGTGGGGATCGGTTTTGTGGTATCTTTCTTTGTCTGTGGGGAAGCAAGCTCTCCGTTTGGCATTTGCAAGAGTCTGACATAACACTCTCCCGTAAGCGGACATCCACCTTAATTTTCTTTGGTGTCCGCTGATGGGAATAATTCCCGTACGCAGACGGCTCTACTAAAGGACACTTTTTCCAATTCCTGAGGGGTTTCGCTAACGAGAGAGTTGACTGTACTTCTAATTAGGTGTTTCATCAAAAGCTGGTTAGCGTCCGTGTACCGCCGCCTATGAGATCTCTCACCACTGTCAGTTTAGCTTGCGAGCAGGCTTTGTGTTGGGATTCCGCCTTACGACCTCTTTTGTAAGGCACAGCTGCCTTTAACACCATCGGCAGCTGCTTATGGAAAAAGCTATAATTAAAACCCTGCTTCTTTATTTTATTCAACGGCGTATCAACCAGTCAACGGGCTACTCAGTTGATATTGAGTCCTGACGTGAGACTTAACTGAAAGAAACTTATGCTTTCTAGGTGTGCTATAAGGAAATTAGATATTGAATGACACTTCTCTTAATCCGAATGACTGACCTGATTTAAATGAAAGCGGCTTTCTTTGAGCTGTCATTGGCTGTCACTGTACTGGCACTATCGATAACATCAAGTTCATGCAGTTATTTGACCAATTTTAACAGACAATATGCGTGGGACAATTCATGCCATAAATTTGCTTTCATATCGCGGGAAAACCGCAAATTACAGGATATGGGAGGCAGAAAGGAAAAAGCAGCCATACACAATAAGGAAGTACCTAGTATTGTTTCCATGTTCCACGCTACTGCTTAAACGGCTTCAAAATTTACCCTCCGTAGACTTCATTTTATCTCCACACAGCACAGTTTTGAAGCGATCCTAGCAGACCGCAGGACGCTTATCACATATCAATTTAGAAAATGGTTAAGCAACGACGAGCTGTCTGTAATAGCTACCGTTGTTTGTCTTTTCTAGTAACCGATTGCGTAATCGTAAGCTCTCCCCTAGCGGATTCGTCCCACGCATCGGCAGGCTATTACTCTCCAGTCACGTTATTTCCTGTTCATGCACACCTTCCCCTCCCCCACAAAGGTAACAATACGTGCGCTCTATGCCGATCTCGTTAATACTACTTAAAAGAGGCTTAAAAATTCTCAAGGCTTAATGAACAACCTAAAATCGTTTGCAATTTTTAAATGATGAAGAGATTTCTATTCTAAACTACTGAGAGAGGTTTGCCCCTCGAGTACCATCTGGCGTCATTTTCGAAAATGTCTTGCATCACTATTGTATTTGTCTTCTTCGCATGGAAAGAGTGTCCTCATATACCTGTTACCGACTGAAATGTTTTCATCATCTTAAATTCTTATGTAGATTTGTGCCCTGAAAGGCGAAGAACCAATTAAGGGAGGAGTAAAAACAGAACCTTCTCCATCCAAACAGAGGAATCACCTAAATGGAGACGGTTCGTTCAACTATTCCCCGAGCAAATTTCCACATAACAAGACCTCGCCGATGGACTCTTCTTGTAAGTGTAACTTTTATTGTTTATGTATATGTATAATACAATATAATAACTATATTATACTACTCTATTTTTAACTTGCTAGAGTAAAAATTGATTGCATCGTTTGATTGTGAGGTTGAGAGAAATTCTGAGATGGACTGTCAGTCGGTGACTCTTACTGTCGTTTTGAAAACCTTTGAGGAGGTCATCCTAGAGGAGTTGTGGGTCAGTCGAGTGCTTTAATTCTAGCTTGGTCATTTGTTGTGTTAGAGAAATTTTCGATTGAGTGTTAAAGTAATCCGGGATTAGATAAATTTTTCCGTATTTCGCTCTGTGATTGGTTCAGAAAACTCGCGCCACTCCCAACCAATCAGATGCAAAACTAAAACCAATCACGACCTGGTCGCCTGCGTTTTCCCGCGCTTTAGGCAGTTTTCTTGTTTTGCTTCCTTCTGATTGGACATTGTGATTACTTTAGTTTTGGTTTTACGGCTCTCAATCGAAAAGCGCTCTAAGTGGATGACCAGGTAGTTGAGTGCAGTATCTTCTAAGCCAGTAAACCAGCTTTGCAGAGCCAGTTGTTGAAAGAATTTCGCACTGAAATTTGGACATTGACGAAAGTCCCATTTTATAATGTAGCTCTTCAAGTGGTGTACATAGTTATTGTTTATTTTGCGCCTTTCATGTTTAGTGTCTCCCACATCACTGAGGAATCTTGTTGATCAGCATACAAAGTCTCATGCAGCAATTCATGTGAGTTGTTTCATAATAAATGTATTTTACATCTGGAAACTTGGCATGTCTTCAAAGCCGGAAAGAATATTTATTATATATAATATGCAGTAGACCGCACTTTCTCTCAGGGTACTGGCGTAATAACCCACGCGGGATATTGGGAGAACTCGAGAGAAAGTTTGCAAGTCACGAGCGAGGTAAGTGGTTTGAAAACTTTCCTCGTGTTCTCACAACATCCCAAGTGGGTTAATGTGCCGGTAAATCGATAAAAAGTGTGTTTTATTGTTATAAAATAAGCTTGTTTCAGTATTTCAATTGGTTATGCGCTGCAACAAACTATAGGTTTTTGACTAGTCAAGGTGCTCCTAATGTCTCAGTCTTTTTAACAAACTGAATCGAGAAGTTCAGCTAGTCAACCCTCGAAGGCTTCCAAACGTTGGTGCATTGTTAAGTGCTGCAGGGAATAATGATTAACAATTTTAAGGGTATATAGTTCAAGATAGTTTGATATGACTTAAGGGAAAATGTTTTCTCAGAATTCACTGAGGTTGCGTCGAAAAAAGTGGACGGACTTTTTTCAAGTGTTCTCGAACTTAATCGGGTTTAATAAATTTTTATTTATTTCATCGTATAGCTTTTTGGTTTCCGCCGTTGTCTGCGTCCAAGGCACTCTATGAAATACCTCTTACTAACGAAGTTCGAGTTCCCCTCTATAAGTTGAGGACCGAGTTTTTTCCGCTCAGAGTTTGCGCGAGCTATAAATCTGAGCGGAAAAAACAAGGTTCCGTAGCAGTACAGACCGAGAGAACTGTGTTCAAATAGAAGGGGGAGATTTCAATTCAAACAAAGTTTTAAAGTTAGCCCGAGTACAGTGAAATAAGGCCTGCCAAATTGACCAATCATAGCGCACGCACTAACTGGAAGATATAATAACACTTAGATACACGTGCGTAGAGAGCAAAGTCTGAAATAAATGGGCTTGGCTAAGCTGAGTGCCTGCTGGTTCCCGTATTATGTTTGAATCCTTTACCATTTACATTTCAAGCTGTTAATCTGTTTTTTTGTTTGTGGGCTTAATTTGTAATTAGTTGGTCACGATTGCAGTTGGTAGTGACCGTTGAAGTGTGTCAAATGTCTTCTTGCTTTAGGTAGCACCTTAGTTAAATTTTGGAACTCGTGATCATTTGATTATTGAAAGATTCACAGGAGTTCAATAACTTTTTCCCTAAGCGGCTACCAATGGTACAATAGACGACTGTGCCCGGATAACCCTTCAACCCCTAAGAGTGACCAGCATCCAATTTCTCCTCACAATATCATCCCTAAATCACACATCAAGGTCATGAGAATAAAGGAAATGATCATCAACTGAAAAAAGCTGTTGATTGTGACACAAATTCTCTTTGTCAGCACCTCTGGAAATGTATAAGAAACAGTATGGAGAATATGCATGCTGATGTAAGGTGTAAAGGGTTAGGGGGCCGAAAGGCGAAACCCAAATTAAACACGAGAGCCAGCTTGCTGGCGAAACAGACGGCGGTAAGAGGTCTTACGGTCAGCGACAGACCGACAGTAACTGGCTTTTGTTGAAACCGCTAGTTTCGTCGTTTGTCCTGAGAGTCTCTGGTCATGCTTTGTAATGATACTTATATATTGTGGCCAATTCTTGGCATTTTTGAGGAGAGAAACAATTACGGAAATATGGGCCGGCTAAGTAGAATAAGATAATTACTTGTGTAAGAGTGTTCGGTTATTGAAAATACTTTCCGATAAGAGACGTTTTATTTAAAATTGGCCGCTAAGATTAAGAAGGAAACATTTCGTTGCTGCTAAATCTCTTCTGTAGATACAAGTTTAGATATAAGCTTTTGTTGAAGATGATAACAGTTTATTTTAGGCGCCGAAACAATAACTTACGCCTTGTTAAGCTTCAGTAGGCCTCTGTCCTTAGACTGTGGTCAGAGGCTACGAATTATTAACACAAATGAGCGGCAAACTTTTAGGCCAGCTAAATATTTGGGCTCTTTTGCACTAAAAAATCTTTAGTGATGAAGATCTAGGGCTAAAAACCAGTTATGTTCTCAAATAGTTTCCATGTGAAAATGCTTTGAAAAGATTCTGCTCCAAAGGATATTTGAATATATGAACAAGAATACTTACCCACTCTGTGGTTTTGAGGTATTGTCATGTGTGAGTATTTCTTTGGTCACGTTGTGTCCGCTATCATTGCTTCTCAAAATAGACCACTCCCTCAGGGCACAGGTCTTTCAAGAAGTCGTATGCAAAACAGCGTTGCAATTCTGTACCTTTTTTTATGCATACTTCAAGCTGTTTTAATTCCTTAGTGGACGAAATGTTTGCACGTAGCTTTTTGAAGGATGTTTGGGAAGAAAATTCGTCCCGTAATTTCTTTAAAAATTGTTAGAAGAATTTGTTTGGCTTAGTAAGTCACGTTTTTTGCCGTCAGTGTGCAGTATAGTCATAATGGTAATGGAGCTCTCGAAACAAATGCGTTTCTCTGTTCAGCATCCGTGACGCTTGATTATTAAAGTCGTTTCCATTGAATTTTAAGCCGTCCATTCTTCACTGGCTGTGATGTTTGTGTCGTTGCTCTGATGCACTTCTGGAGTGTTTCGTTCTTTCTAGAAAGAAATGTCAATCAGAGTGAAGCGATTCTATTCATTTACCAACTTGTAATTTGTCGTAAATCAGGTGAGGGATACTTGGATGGATGGATAGGGCCTCTACGAAGCCTTCTTGTCTTAAACAAGCATAATACGAAACGTATTTAGCTGCATTTTTATGCAAAAATCACTTCGTGGAATTAGTTTTCCAGAATATACCAGTAGCTCTCGTGATTTAGCACGATCTCAGTGTGAGAGTTACACTAGAGACGAACTTATTGTCTATATTGAGAAAATGAGATTACTTTCACGTGCATAGATATCAGTTTTGAACATATTTGTTCACCGACAGTGTTGGGGGTTTATTCGGTTCACCACCTATATTAAGATTTTCAATTTTGTTGAGATATTCGCCTTCACATTTCACATCGCTTATGAAAAGCACGCGATGGGAAAAAAATTTTCGGGCTGACGATCGTAAAATTCCTGCTTCTTCTAGAAAACTTTGGAACATAAGCTTCTTGGTCCCCCAGGAGCTTTACGATAAACTTTGTATGACTTCAGTAAATATCTACTCAATTCTCGTTACTTCAACAATGAACGCACCGTGAAAAATTTCATGACATAGAGCAGTCGTAACTCTATATCAGCGGGAACTATATGTTACTTGACAACAGAAGTAATTTTCAAATCAATATAACAGTGAGTTCAATGCGTATGTTCATTGTTTTGCTCAATTTAGTTGATCCGATGCGGATGTGATTTTTGATTTACCTTCTCTTTCCATTTCATTAAGGCTTTACAGGAGCGTATTCAATCAGTCACCCATCTGGCTTCTACTCCAAAACTACAGAAGGTAGGGCGTTTTTAAACTCTTTTTTTTTCTGACTTTTCTTTCAAAATTCTTCGAGTGCTTCAGGTTAAGACACAAATGATTCTAACCCTAAAATTATAATGTCCTAATTTTCTTTCTGTCTTTCAAAGTAACTTTTCTTGTCCAAATTTTGCTTCACCGTAGCAAAATTTCTGTACCAGTCGCGTGTTTTAATCGTTAATTGTCGTGAACTGAGGCATTTTCGCTTGAAGCCATTTTTATGACATTTTGATTTAGGATCCCGATTCCAGAAGTGTATTTTCTTAATATAAAACGGCATGACGACTGTAACACGTTTTTAAAAGACTGATAAAGTTATTTTCTAACTTTATTAAATTAATGTCGTCCATTCAAACCATTTATAATTATAAGAATATTTTGACAAAATCATTGTTTTAATTTCTTAATTTCCTTCTTTACGTGTGCTGGAAAAGTCTTTAATGTTCCACACAGCCGTCGAAGAAGATTTATTAGATTTGGGGTGTAAACCTCTTACGGCTACCGACAGGAGATTAAAGCGTATTGAAAAGTCCATTATAATCAGAGCTGTAGTCCTATATATTTAATTCACTATCCGTTTGAATTTGAAAGGGCGTAATTGCATTTTACTTACATGTGAGACTTTTAACCTTTATCGTACGCAAGTCTACTGTAGAACTCTTGTTAACTTCATTGTTGTAGCTCACTGTTTCGTAAATTCTTTTAACTAACTTATCAAAAATTAATTACCACTGTTTTAACGTGATATTGTTCTTAAACTCTCAGTCTACGTAAACAGCTTAGTCTCTTTTATCTGGAAAATTGAGCGATTTTTTTCAGCCAGAACGTGTGCGTGTTTCTTTCTTTTTTTTTGTGGTGAAGTTCACTTCAGAACATTACAAGCTTTGTGAAAACCAGCTCTTAACAGAAATATGTTGGTTTGATTTCAGAAACTACCCGAGTCCCGGTTTATTAAAAGCATGTCACCAACTCCCATCGAGGGGATATCGTTGACGTCCTCCTCAGAGGATGTTACCACCAAAGAAAAAGACAGTTTCCCTATACAAGTTATTCCAGCGGATCAAAACGACAATGTTTTGGAAGTGAATGGCGAGGAGCCTTTTGGCTCTCTTTTGCCGGAGTCTGACGGGTCCACTTCAGAACCTCTTTACACAAGTGTGGATAAACAATTTCTTGAGCTGATGTTGGATGCTGTTCAAAAGGGATTTATGCCTCCTGAATTGGCAGCAGCGAAGACGTGGCTGAACACTGATGGAACAGACATAGATTCACGAACTACAAATGGGGTTAGTGAAGAGGAGCATCTAATAATCGATGAAAACAGTAGTATGAAGGAAGAAGAGATGAATGGAATAGATAATGAAGCGTCGCTAACAGCCACGAGTGTTGAACCATCGCATCTATCGGACGGAACAGCATCAGATATTGTTGAATCAACATTGGCAAGCGTTGAACCAATGCAGGTTGTGGATGGACCTCCACACCCAAGCGAAGGGCCAACGATGGCAAGCGATGAGACGATGCAATTTGAAGATAACCACTCTGTGCCCGACACAGGGGAGTCCGAAGCCTCCACACCGAGTAAAAAAGTGCAATTTCTCGGACTCGACACCATTTTTGGCCACAACTCAAACTCTGCAGATGAGTCCCCGAATAAGTCAATTTCCCCAGCTCACGTTCAACTCAAACAGCCTGATATCCAGTTGAAGGACTCTGATTATACTTTTGATTCTTCTCCGAAAACCACAGTCACGTGGGCAACATTAGATTCACCGGCGAATGGAACTGGAATTGACAAATCTCAGACTTACGCTATGTCCAGTCCATGGGAGGACCTCCACAGGTATGAGAGAGCACTATATGGCAAAGGCGCTGGTAATACGGCAGAGGGAGATTCGGACGATCCTTTCATGATGTACTTGAACTCCATAGAGCAGACAGCTCTCAAGTTCAAGTTACAGGTTGAACAGGCGAAGGTAGATACTTTGGAAGCTTTAAAAGTCAAGCTGGAGAAAGCGTACGAAGGAACGCCTTTGGAAGATATCCCGCTGAAATTTAGGGAAAAACTCCAAGAAACAATCGCTCAGATCGCTTCTGACGAAGTGTTGAAGAAATACGAGGCACTTGTTACCCAAGATGAAGAAATGAGCGATGAGGAAAATCAGATTTTAGAATGCATGCGAAGTGAACTCGACTCAGTCGCGTGCGAAAACTTTGAGCTTCATCAACAACTTGAATTGTTGAAAGACTATGAGAGGAAATATTTTGATCTAAAGGAGAAGTTTGATAGTCTAGACGATGGAATGTCTTCGATCAGAAATGAGTACGAGAGAAAAAACGGTGAGAGTGAATTTCTCGCAGAAAGAGTTGAGTCGCTCGAGAAAAACATTGTTAACTTGCGGGTGGAATATAACAACGAAATCACGGATTTGCAAAATGAGAATCTTCAGTTGCAGAAGACATGTTTGGAGCTGGAAAACAGGAATAAGATTTTAGAGGAAGAAATAACTGCTGGCGACGAGACATCGATTGTACGTCGAGCGAAGAACGATAGAGGAAACAAAACAGAGAGATTCGTTGCCGATCAAGAATATGAAATAATACAGTTACGCCTCGAGGAATCAGAGAGACAAAATAAAGCCTTGAGAGCAGCGGCAAAGGCCGACCAAGCGATGATTCGATGCATGGAAGACAAAAGAAATGACCTCGAGAAAGCACTCATTAAAGCACAGGACGACCATAGCAATATTTTGCTAGAGCTCCACGAAGCACAACGACAAATCTCGTCGGATAAAGTTAAGCTGTCTAGCTACCAGGAAGAGACCGATGCCTTAGGTCGCGAAAACAAACTGTTGAAGTCCCGTTTGGAGATTGCCCAGAATGAGATAGAGTATAATCTCGAGAAGCAAGGAGAGAGAAGCGAGCCGTGGAAGAGTAACAAGAGAATGATATGGAGAGAAATTCGTGAGTTAGAGAAGATACTAAAAGACGTTCACCGTGAAAAAAGGACTCTAGAAAAGAAATACGTCAGCTTTAAGCAGGAAAGTGATCAACTCACGAGCTCAATGTCTCTACACAGCTTTTCATCGACCGAAAATACGCCGGACAAGGAGCGAGTGAATGAAACTGCGGTGAAACTGAGAAGTAAATCGTGGCACAGTAGAACTGAAATGGAAAAAAATAGAGCTGCTGTCACTGATTATTCTGGTGATGATGATAGCTTTTCCTCTCCGCCTCGTAAAGTCAAAAGCTGGTTGGAAGGTATTGACAGTACGAAGACTGGGACAAAGGATGATGGCCAACCCATCCTGAATTCAAAAGAAGGGACACCACCTCACTCCTACAGGTACGATAAACGTAAATTCCTTTTCTCTATTGATCTATGAGCACCTGTTTGTCAAACATTGTCTTAGAAAAGTGAAAAAAAGGGAAAACAAGAAGAAAAACGTTTAAAAGTTTTATTATAATTTAGTTCCCTAATTTGCCCCGTCTTTCAGATCTCAAAGCAATGGGCCGATGAGCAGATCAGCTGCCGACATTGGGAGCCCGAAGAAAGAGGAAAATGGACTTGTTAATGAGGTAAGAAATGATTTACCTCTTATGTTTCTTTATTGTTTGTTATTGTTAATCGCTATATTTTTAAGAGACAGGGTATGATCAGAAGTAATTATTTTCACGATGCGCACAGAATAAACCAAAACACTGTAATTTTTTTAATCCCAGCAAAGCCTGAGAAAGCCGGACGATCGGGACTTTTATGCAAAAACGGTACTTCCCCTCCCCCAATCCTTGCTACAACAGCTTCACAAGCTTTCCTTGCATTAAAGGTTCCTGACATTTGTTGACGTCAATGTTAAGTTAGGGGGGGGGGAAGCGGTATTTTACTTACATACGTGCGAATTTCGTTCTAAAATAAGTTAACAGAGTCATAGCCAACGAATGGTGACCAGAAGCAAACAAGAAATCCCTCTGTTTCGTAGATTTGGAACATTTTAAATACGTAATCATACCAAGAAGCGTGTAAAAATGTATTTTAGCCCTTGACCATAGTGGTGCCATAGTCAATCTATCCTCTGAATCTCGCTAGGGTTCATTAAGTAATTTACAAAAAACATGTAGGTCTTCCTGTAGATCGATTTCTTAACCTTTACACCCAACCTTCAGTATCCATATTCTCAACACTCTCCTCTTTACATTTCTATGATACTGACAAGGAGAATTCATCATACAATCAAAGCTTCTTAGCTGGCAATCATTTCCTTTATTCTTTTAATGAATGATTCGGGAGTATAACTGTAACGATATGCTGGTCACTCTCGGGGTTTAGAGGGTTAAAATGGTTTACTTGCTGGCTCATGAATCTAAATAATAAAGCGAAAAAGTGACTGGCAACAAAGCCATCCCCCAAGTAGAGTAGGCACGTAAATCCAACGAAACAGAATTAATGGAAAAACAATTTTTTTTTTCAGCTCGAAGAACTTCGTCATCACGTGGGAAGCCTAGAGGCCGAGAAGGCTGCTATTGTGAAAGAACTCAGCTCGCTTCGTTTCAGCAGAATCACCAGATAACAAGGAGGAATACCAGATTACCTTCTGAGAAAATATTCCTGTTGCAGCTCTGGACAACAGTGTTTTCGTGAACTTGTGACCGATACTTTTTTGAAACCAGTCCTTTCCTTAATTTGCATTGGTGTGTTGACAGTGATCCAGTATTTTAATGGATTTTACACGATCGCTCAATGATTGGCTTATAAGTGTGGTACTACCCATCTGATCAATTTGATCTAGCAGTTGTTAAATAAAAAAAAATCTCTGATAGGTCGAGCGCATTTCTCAGTCATAAAAGCCGTCTTCCGGTGTTTTCTCTGAGGTTTCATGGATATTTCCAAATTAGAATCGTAGTTTTACGGCAAGTGTTTTTTAATAACATCGTCGAGATTACAATGGAGTATGTTTAATCTATTATTTTAATGAAACTTCGATATCACGTCTCCGGGGGAAGGGAGGGAGGGGATAGAAAAATCACAGAAAAAGCTAAATACTTTCTTATATTTATTCTTGTCGATGAAAGAGCCTCTTGGTCATCATCATGTGTATAGGAAAAACTATGTCCATGTACAGAAAGCAAAGAAAGAATAGATGAATTTGAGAAGATTCCTTTGTCAAGGTTCAGGTTGTAGGCCTATTTCCAAGGCAGCCGAAATGACTTTGAGCTCGAGATTGGAACAACAGCCCACCGATAGACACGAGAACCTTGGGGGGAGGAGGAGGGGAAGGAAAGGCTTCCCTGTTTGTATATCGTTTAGGTTGGTTCTAAACTTGTTTCTGGTCATCAAAGGTATCTTAGTATTCTGTAAATAGTTTTGTACATCATTTGTATTATAGCTTTGCCATTTTACACCTTATGATACTGATGAATTTACATTTGCATCTTTGGGTTTTATTCAATTTAATAAAGTTGTTTCTTTTAATGATACCAATGTAAAATGATAATTAAAACAATTTTAAAGGATAAAAAAAAAGTTCAAATGTGCTCTCAGTTTAAAGGGTCAATAATGTATCGAGCTTCAACATGCCCCACCTCCTTCCGGGCATTTTAACGTTTGAGAATTGGTTTGTTCAAATACCGCCCCACGGAGCAAAAATTGTGTTCAAATGCCCCACCCATTTTTTTGGTTAAAAGGCGAAGTCAACGACCTCGCCTTTCTAAACATTGGCCTAGTAGACCTTTTTTTCTGGGCCATTGGCTCACGAAAGTGAACTATTTACCTCAAGCAGATTTGTATTTAAAGACATACCACTGGTATTGCGCTGGAAAGACTTGACTTTTCTGGTTCCAGCCAGGCAAGGTTCAAATTCCCCACTCCCCGGGCACGGACGATGATCAAATGCCCGTGGATTTCCAGGGTGGGGGATTATAGTTTCGAATAAATTGGCGCATAATAAGAGGGAAAAAGGGAATGGGTATTAATAAACTTAGCGAGGGTAACTAATTTCTATCATGGGTAAATTGTTAAAAGAGTCTCAGTGCCCTACCTGTAGCGGCGAGAGGGGAAATGGAAAAAACAGCCGAAGCTGATTGTGATGAGAAAATCAAAATGGAAACCTGCTCGATGGAGAGCCCAGTGTGTGAGGCAATATCGTATTGCTCTGATGCATACGATCGTCGGTTCACCAACGAAACGGGACAAACTAAAGTGAAGAGCATCTGTGATCGTTACAAACACAGCAAACCATCGACGTGCGCTGAGTCAGGGTGTAAGGCGTTTATTAGTTGAGCTGTATTCGTGTCCCTCGGGTACCTTCTCGTTATTCTTTCGCTTTTATCTATTTGGGTTTTCGTACAATGTTAAAGGGATAGACGTCCGTCTTCATTCCTTTTTTGGAATCATTTTTTAGATATGTGAATTGTCTCAGAATAACAATGGAAATTCACCTTTGCCCGATTCAGGCGTATTTAATTATATATAGTGAAACTTACTCCATGAGCGAGATTAAGCAAAGTGCTTAAATGCTCTGTCTCTTTTTTTCAAGGAGCCTGGATTTTCAAGATTCTTACTGATTGCTTATCAATGTAAAAGGAAAAACAAATTTGTGCCTGATCAGCCAGGAAATGCAGCTATCAAGGATGACTAGTTTTTTCCCTTTTTTTTAGCTTTTGTTTTCCTCTTTTAGCGCTTTTGTGTCGTTATCGTCGTAGTTTTTAACCTCTTTTGATATTGGTCCAATTTGAAGTTTGTTGGCGGTTATTTATATTCTCAATTGATCATAACCATTACAATTTCCTCAAATGTGATTGGTGCAGTAGCTGCTTTATTTTTCACAAATCATTATGTAGAGTTGTAATCGGACAGTTGGCTGTAATCAGACACCTATAATCGGACAGTTGAAGCAGCCAATCATACTGAATCCTTTCAGTCAAATTCATCAATCTCAAAATTGATTACAATAACCATGGCAACAACCACTTATTCTAAAAAAGTTGAAGAATTTTTTTACTTAAAAATTGTCTTTACTGCACATATTTGTCCTAAATGTATTTGTTGTTTTCGGAAATTGTAATAGTTATAATTAATTGGTAACAGGAATTTGTATCGTCCAATTCTGTCTGTAATCATACTCGTGATTGACGAATCGGACTCCCGCTTCGCGGTCATCTGATTTTGTTGATCACTCGTATGATTACAGGCCGAATTAGACTCCACTCGGTCCTATTACCATTATGAGTAAAACGAGTAACTTAAAGCGTTTCATTCTATTTCGTTGTGTTTATTTCGCGCCAGTTTTCTTTCTTCTGTGTGATCAATTTTGTAGATAAGTATGTTTCCAATAACGAAAGCAAGTTGCCAGTCCATTCTAGTAAATTTAAAGTCAAGTTGACTTCAGTTATGAAATTAAATTTTCGGTTAAAATTGCTTTGTTGTTCACCGCACTTAAAGGAGTCTTTTTTGTCTTCCTTCAACCCTGCAAATTCCTAAAGGTGTGATCATTTTTTTAAATAACACAAACATTCAATTTCTTTTCAGACTGTTTAAAGGCGATTATACCTTTTGAATTTAGAAGTTTCATTGTTTGCTCTGACGCTGTGCCGGGAACGAGTTGAATATAATTGGTTTCAAGAAAAGATTTCAATTTGGTTCAATTCTCGTCAGGAAAGTAGCAAGCAAACTTGTTTTCTTCTTTTCATTTCAGCTGACTCTTTACTTTACTAAAACAAGAGATCTAGAGGTATGATTAAGTGGACGCTTTAATGAGCCTTACATATAAATTTTTAGCCTATTCCTAAAAACCATTTGACTAAAACAATGTTGACTAATTTTCGATCGATTTTTTTCGGTTTCGGTGTACACATGGAATTTTGGTTTTTCTTTCGGGGAAAATATCATTGCAAAAGCAAGACACAAACAAAGTTAAACTCATACACAGCCTTTAAAGAAAACATTTAACAAAAATTACAAGGTCTATTCTTTACTTAAGCCACATACACCGGGGAATAATGTTCTAAGTTTCCGGTAAAACATATTTTGCCGCTTTGGTTCAGTTGACAACCGCGTGGAATTTGATAAGGTTAATACTCTACCTTGGCGAATTTTAAAGAGCCAACGTAGTTGAGTCGCATTCCTTCGCTTTAAACATGCCATCAGTCTTTGCATAGGAGCTGAAAATTATGCAGTCGGGGTTTAAAAGCCGTCTGCTACGCCCTAGGATTGAAACAGCCATACACCAGAAATGTAAAGCAAATCACGTATTTCAACTTCTAGAATAGCCCCGTCAAGTTATTCAATGCGGACCCCCCTGTTACCAAGCCATTCCTCGCCCGCCTTTTTTCTTGTCATCTTTTCACGTAATCCTTTAAGACTTAAGGCAATTTCTCTAACAAACTTGTTGAAAAGCTTTTGAAACTTCAAAATCTGAACGTCTCCAGGGCATTGCCTTAAGTTTGTTAAACCATTTTATCAAACTTGAAATCTATCAATTCTCATTGCTAATTAAAAGTTACAAGCCACGCTTCCTTTCGACTCGGAGTCTCGGCTCGCACTTATCACAGTTCTTGAATGTTTATCTTCGTCCTCCTTCTAACAAAATGAGATGCTGAATTATTTTTTATTGAACACCAGCGCTCCTGCGTAATAGGTGGTAATTCACTATAGTTAACTTTCCCAATTTGCGTTTTGCCCACCGACGCGGAGCAAAGTATTCCAGCGGGAACTTTTGCCTTTGAAGCTTTTGTTTTTGCCATTGCAAGACGCCATCCATTTCTTGGCTATTATCGTGCATTTTTTTGTTCTCACTGATAAAGGAAATAGTTTCATTGTTTGCTCGGACGCTGTGCCAGGAATAAGTTAAATATAATTGGTCTCCGAGAAAGTTCCATTCCCCACATCAGTCTTGAAGTAACTACAGCAAGAGATCTTGAGGTATGATTGAGACGCTTTGGTGAGCCATGTATGTAAATTTGTTTGCTTACTCATAAAATCCATTTTCTCTGAATACTAAATGTTTTCGAATCGGTATTTAAATAACGTGCAACATGGTTCAAGTGCATGTAGACTTGATACGATCTCTTTCTCTCTTACGTTTTTATTAACTTAGCATACATGCCGTAAAAGTTCAGCTAAAATAATCACCCACTGGAAATTTAATGAAAATTTTACTGAAGTGAACAACAAAAATGCGCAAGATCGTGTACAGCTTGTCGTTTTTTTCCATGTAGAATACATTTATTGAGGCCTGCAATGGAAAACCCGAGAATGCGTACTTGTTTTGTTACAAACAAAAATGTAAAGTTTTCGGTTTATCCCAACCTTTACAAGTTTCTTGCTACCTCTTTTCTACATTTACCGAAAGGAATTGTGGCAAAATGATGAAGATAATGACGATGATGATGTTATTACAATTGGTGACTTTTGCTCTCGCTGCCCACTCTTCCCTACCAAAAGATGGTGAAGAACCTCCTGCGAGTAAGTACTGATTCACGTATAGTTTTTTTAAAAACGAATAAGTACTTCTTCCAACATCTTGTCCGAATCGAAAAGTTTGTAAATAACTCGCCTCTGGCTCCTGTGTTGCGAAGTTTTCTCTTGTTTTCTCAATATCCTGTGCCAAGGATTATTGCCTTAGGAAACCGATAAAAATTGCGGTCTATTACTTCAAAGAACGAAAAAATAATTCGTCTGACGAAGTTGAAAGATATAATACTCCTTCGAAGTCAATCTTATGCACGACATTATGGACAAAAAAAAATCTTTCTCAAGCCTCTTTCGCCCTAACTTCATAAATCCGTTTTTTTTTAATGGTTTTTCTTGTGGGTTTTCTTTTAATTGCTGTGTCTTGGGAATACTTTCCAATCAAACTTTATCTGTTTGCAACTTGATTGGGGGGTGAAACTAGGTTTTCCGAAAGTCAGTTTTGGCACCGAGCCGATATGTAAAAACAACTTCAAATTCATAAGCTATGGATCCTGTGTCCTGTGAACCCTTTCCATGTGGTTTAATCTAATACAGATGCCTGATCAGCTGGTTCCACCAACAAATCCACCAACGTGATTGCTCTTTTACTATCACCAGATAGTACAGCACAAAGTCGCATGATGCAAAATGTTTTGCTACCTTCATTATTTTAACTACATACATTCAACTATTACATTGACACTGGTAAATATCATCAGTTTTAATGCTACTTGTCAACTTGTTTTGTTTGAAGGAATTCAATGCCCCACATGTGAAGGAGAGACGGAAGATGATTGTAATAGCAAAACTGAGATGGTAGCTTGTCCCATAGAGGCGCCGATATGTGCGGTGTACACAAGTATCTCTCCTGAGCTCATTTGCAAGTGTGTCGACCACGCGGAATTTCACACGGTCTTGAACGAGTGCAAGAACAATGATTATTGTAAGATGGCGAAGTACGGTAAGTCAAAGAGTGCAGCTTACGTAAAAACTAGCACTGATCTATCAATCGGTTATTCTCCTTATGGGAATTAACAATTTGGCAAACATTAGCTTCTATACACCTTTATCACGCACCGCCATCTTGGATTCCGTGGCGCACCAAATCGAGGCTAGACGGGCACATGGTACAGAAATTATTAACGCGCGATGATCGATCGTGGGCCATGCTTGGTTGTAATCTTCACTCAAAACACTGCATTGTTCCGCAACCTATACCTATGCCCGTCCAGCTTCGATTTGGTGCGCCACGCAATCCAAGATGGCGCTACGTGATAAAGGTGTATCATTTAAATTCCAAAACTAACAGGAACAAAGCAAAAAGTCCATGCTACCTCCTTAAACAGTGTTCTTGTCTAGTCCAAGAGAAAACAATGTGATTACCAGTTAACGATGTACAAGCAAAAATACAAAGAGAGATGTTTTTCGTCTTGTCACGAGCGTGGGACAAAGAAAAAAAATCTGAGTCCCCATGAAGAATCGAACCTCAGACCTCCGGATTCCGCGCTCCGATGCTCTACCACTGAGCCACATAGACTCCACGGTGAGAGAGGTCTATTATGAAGTTCATATGATGATACGCGTCCTGCATACTGCTAGGATCAGCAATGTCGATAGCGTCATGTTTGTAGATAGAAATAAGAGAGATGGTAAATTCGAAGGTCTGAGGTTCGATTCCTCATAGGGACTCAGATTTTTCTCTTTGTACTACGCTCGTGACAAGACGAAAAAACATCTTCCTTTATTTCTTTACCGAGCTCAAGATTTACCATCACTCTTATTTCTATCTACAAGCAAAATATGTTTATGTTTTCCTTTTCAGTTGTCCTTATTTTGTTTCATGGCTCACCAGTTCGGACGCTAATTGCTTGCCTTTGCCTTGTTACCGGACAAGTGGGGCCTTTTTTCTGTAGAATAATAATCTCTCTAGAATAATTGAGCGTTTGTATTCTTCCTCTGTGAGGCATCGGTCGACAGCAGCAGAAAGAATACAAACAGAGTACAAACGCTCAATCAATTTAATTTCAACTTTCTGCATGAAAGCTGTGCACGTGTATTATTAGTGTGAAAACAACGCCGAATAGAGAATGAAATGCAAGGCAAGGGACTAAACAGTTTTTTGAAACCACTTGCCCTTTATCAGCATTTTCCCAATGGTGGGAAGTAATGAAGTTTCCTAATTTCGCTATCCATGAATAATAAACACAATTGTTTGTTTTACTGCGGTGTCGTCAACAGCGGATATAGTGTACTGCTAACGTTACTTACAATCGACTTTTTCGGCTGTTAGAAAGAATCCAGTGCCCTCTTTGTAGAGCCAGGGGAGGAGATGAAGCCACAGCCAAAGCTAATTGTGATAAGAATGCTACGATAGCAACCTGTCCAGTAGGTAGAACACTATGTGTGGATTACTTCTCACCTAGTAAGAGATATTTCCGTCGTGGATGCACAACCCCAAAGCTTTACAACAAGTTCGTGCACAAATGCCAACAGGTTGGATGTAGATTAAAAAACTGCACTCATCCACGGTGTGTGGCTGGAGAAGGACCAGGTATGAATTTTTTTTCAGCCCTTCTGTACCTCCGTTACACCCGTTAACTCGGTGGGTAAAAAGACAAGTTCACTATGCCCAACTTGATCCGTCAAAAACTCGGTGGGGTAACAAGTCGATTTGTTCACGACGTTGACTGCCTATTTCCGAATTATCTTCGGCTTCATTTTTAAAGCGAGTCCCGGTCCTCATCCTTTTATACGATTACAAGTTTTTATTCACATACAAATTAAACTCATTTTCATACGAATGGTTGAGCACCAGGCCTCATCTTGAAATAAAGCCCAAAGGTGCCTCAGAAATGGCCGACTATCAAAAAGGAAACAACTACCGATTGATCTACGTCTAATAATTTGCTGTCGGAGCAGGGCCAGTATAGGGTGGGTAAGGCTAACTTGAAAACAGTTGAATTTCACCAAAAGATTTTGTGTAGGTAGTGTTCTTTTCACTTGATAATGATACAAAAGAATTGGTTTTGTAAAAATATTTCCCCCCAACTATTCTTTTATTTTCAGAAGATATCTCAGCAGAAAGCAATGAAAAATTTTCTGCTTTCTCATCTGACATCAGCTAATAAACAAAACAAAGAATGCAGTGCATTACGTTATACATCTGCGAAGTAATCGAGAAATTGGCCTTGGCACGGAGCCAATTTTTAAATAAATTCAATGAGGAGCAATGCTCTCTTCTTTGATATTTTCAGCTGTAATACAGTTTTCAAACTCAGCAAAGTATCAATTGTAACATGGAAAAAGCAGGCGCCCTTGAGTCACTGTGCCTTCTTCATGGTTATTAATAATTGCTTAAGAACGTTTTTCTGGGTAAAGTACGGCGGAAAAAAAATCGACATTGAACGAGGAAAAGAAAGAAGAGGAACTTAGCACATACTCAACATATTTGGTGCCAATTTATTATTTTTTATTATTCCCAATCTCTTTCCTTCTCCTGCAGTTCTCGGTAGTAAAGTATCGGTCGTGTTCCTGGAAGGGAGTGGTTTTTTACATGGGAAATCAGGCATATTTGACTTGATACAAAGTTTTACGAAGAAATTGATCTGCAAATACTTTTTTTTAAGGACCGAATAGCACCAAAAAAGCTTTGATTGGTTGGAAGGGTTGATATATCATTTATTATCCAAATGATGATCATTAATTACTCCACCGTTTGTGGACAACGAAACTCGAACTCGTTAAGGGTGACTGATGCATTCAATTATCTTTTTCCTGTTCTAAGAGTTCCAGTGCCCTTCCTGTCACGGCCGGAAAGGAAAGGAAAAAACAGCCCAAGCCGATTGTGATGGGAAAATCAAAATGAAAACCTGCAAGATGGAGAACCCAATGTGTGAGGCAGTTTCGTATGAGCATGGTACATTCCTTCGTCAGTGCACTAACGAAACGTATCATAGTATGCTGGAGAACAACTGTGAATATTATGGAAACTGCAAAACGTCGAAGTGTACTAAGCCAAGCTGTATGGCTTAGCTGAGCTATAGTCTTGTGTGCCAGGTACTGGCCCGTTATTAATTTGAGATGTTAGGGGAAAATTATGTGTTTTAGTTTTCGGTATTTTACGGCCGCGCAGTTCAAATTTATTTTACCGGTTTCAACCTAGTTTCTGTGTTCTGTTCGTTCTTTGACCCGACCGGTTGAGTGGTAAGGAATGATGAACGAGTTGTTCTATTCAAATTGTTGTTATTATTGTAAAAGTTATAACCAGAAAAAGTGAATTGTTGATATATATCACAAAATATTATATTTAGGGTTTTCGTGGGTTTTTGGGCAAACATCTTCAATATATATTCATATACTTTCGCATTTGAAATATTCGGTTATTCGGGGTTTTTCTTTTTAGTAGTTAAATAAAATGTATAAAAACCACAGTGGCTTTTAGAATAGATTTTGCTTGATGATTTTAGATATATGAAAATTCATATATTTGCACTGCGGTGGAGATGAAATTAAGAGATTCTCGCAGCTAAGAACATTACTGAAACGAGTAGTTGTAAATAGGACCTGAAATGGATTTGAACCCATGACCTCTGCGATACAGGTGCAGCGCTCTACCAATTGAGCTAACAAGCCAACTGGGGTCTGGTCAATGAATTGGGTCCAAATAAACATCCAAGTGAATGATGATTTTAGATATATGAAAATTCATATATTTGCACTATATATCTATTCGCTTCCACCATGCACCTGCATGTCGGTATTTTTGTTGTTCGTAGGTAAATATAAGTGTTATTGGTCTTTTTGGCAAAAAATTATTTCTCATGGTAGTTTGCAGCTGAGTTTATACTCGAAACTTCAATTTCCTCTCGTACGATCAGACTTAACACCAACCTTACATAGATTAGCAGGAACTTTTAATTACTTTTCCGCTCTTATTTCCTAAGCTGCGCAACTGCAATTAAGAAAAGTACATTTTCCATACCAGAGCTGTGAATTCTTACCTAAGTTTCCTAATTTTAATGGCCTCGAGTTTATCGTATCCGTCCTTTTAATTTGTAATTCTTCCTTGGTACAAACAGTTGGGAATATTTAAGTAGTTTTCGTTATGTTTCAAAGAGATCTAAACCGCTTCTTTATTCTGCCGTTTAAATATGGTCGATTTGGATAACAATAGCACTTCACACCAGTTAGTTGAAAAAGCAGCTACCTTGTACAGTTTAGTTGATTGCAATTTGTGTACGCTAGAGGTCATGTCGCTTGTTGGCCTGACTTAGAACAAAGCTTACTGTGGAACCAAAGATTTTCTTATCCTTGACGTCCGTATAAGCTCGCTCGAAGTAGATCTCCGTGTACCAGGGAATCGTGACGAGTTTCCATTCTCGCTGCCAAATGGTCTCTACCGAGCTAATTTCCCCCCCGTTTGTACGTTTTCCGAAAAATCCAGTTTAGAGTGCGCCAAAACCTATCGTCACAGAGATTAATCTAATATTTACTTATATTAGATTAGATTAAATCTCATAAATACTATTTTTTTCTTACTTTTCAAGGTTATTTATATTTCTTAATTGATTTGAAATCCTTTTGTTCTCATGTATTTCAGACTAGTCATTCTCCCTTGAATGCTCTGGAGATGAGGAAACTTCATGAAGAGAAATGTGAAACTCAATGCTTTCCATTTCAGTTCATTTTTTTTTATACATATTTATTTTTTGTGTGATTAACTTGGTCAATGAGTGTATTTCTAATAAAGAGTAATAGCCTTAATCAATTTTCATAAATGTGAAGTTTTGGGTGGAAAGAACCATGATCTCAGATTAAGTGTACAGATTCCCTTTTTGAGAGCGATAAAATTGTCAGGCGTGACTTTAAATGATAAGTTTGATAAAGATAAATCAGATGATAAGTTTGACTACCACATTGCACCTATGGCCAAGAATATCTTACCCTATAGATCGGAAGAAGCCCTCTGATTGCGCTGTCATTCGACCACATTTTTATTATTGTTAGTTTGGGGAGAAATACCAAGAAACTGGAAATTATAAAGAAGCACCTTATAAGTTATGCGTGTAAAGATGAGAAAGCAACTCTTCATGAGTTATTAGATTCGGATTGGTTAAGGCGTTGGGTTGGAAAGTTGAAGATTTTATGATAACACAACTGGGAAACCACGCGCTCTGATTGGTTAAAACTTTTTCGACTATTATCCCGGTAAATCGATAGAAAACTGAAACAATATTCTGGTTTGAGAAATGGCACCCCACGGAACGAATTTCCAGATTGTTATTGAAGGCCTTTGGTTTGGTGGAAACAAAGAGGACACTTTGATCGCCGAAAACAAAACGAGAAAGTTTTTTGTTTTTCGAACATTTATCATATTTTCCATTCAAAACGCAGTATAACTTAATATTCGCGCTCTTCTACGCCTTAATTTTTCACAGCGCGGTAAAAGTGAAAGAACTTTAGAAAGTATCGACGAGATTTCCCAAACTGTTTGCTGATAGAGAGTAATTAAACACTTGTGGAATTAAATCTTTTAAAGGTGTCATGCCAAATAGTTTTTTTTTTCTTTTTTAAAGCAAGAATTCTTATTTTTTGGAGATTTGCAAGCGATTTGAGGAAAATATACTTTCGGTCCATTTATGACAAAATATAGAAGCTGCAACTTTTCTTTTTACTTTGTTTGCAGTGGAAACAATACTTGATGGGAAATGATTGCTCGGAACTGATTGCGCTTGACAGTACCACCATTGCTGGGTTTTTATGCAACACTCCTCCTGTCATTTTCTCTTTAACTTTGACTTTGAATTAACTCGTAAAGAGAAACTATCCAGATACTAAGATAAAGAAAAATGTAACTTCTGACGTTTGAGTGACAGGGGAACGAATTGGTCAAAAATCAATTTTCTGGTAACCGAAGTCGCGCGTAAACATGAGTCGGGAAATGCATATTAAAGAGCGGAAACTGATAACTAAACTCTTTACCATAATGGTGCATAGCTTTACAGGAAAAAAATCGAAAACGACGATGCTGCCTTTAACAAGTGGATACAAACACTGACCGCAGGACTAAATTTATACAAAAACCTTACAATGTACTCCACATAATTACGTAACATAACGCAACGGCACAAACATCAACCTCAAGTACACAAGATAACTAACGAAACGTACCAACACTCACAGGTAATTAACACGAAAATGCAATGCATACAGGAAACGGTATGACAACAAGTTTCGCAATAGCAATTCTGATGGTACGTTAAAGAAGTTTGCGTGGCATCGTGGAAGTTTCGGCTTATTTAAGCGTTTCGCGGAAAAATTAAATAATTCTAGGTTGGTCTGTCTTATGATTGACAATTTTTTCTTTGTTTGTTGAAATTTTTCTTTTCTAACCCCTGTAAAATATCATTAGAATCATTGATTTTTTCTTTTTGATTAGTGGTGTAACCAGGTTAGTTTACCCTTTCTAGGGGTATTGGGCAGCCGCATTAATTAGATGAGTAATAAGTCTCCACATCGCACAATTTTTGGCCACACCTTAAGATTGGCTCGTAGTGACTATTTGTATCTGGCGTAGCACAGGTTTTTTTTCGTAGAACCCTTTATTTCATAGTATACATGTAAAGATTGTATCAGGGTGCGAATACTACTAGACTGACAGACTCATCCTTAACAAAATGTTCACATCGAATGTCTCGTGTGAGTGTAGTCACATTGATAAGTAAACAGTTGGCAGTTAAACATCACATTTGTCGAAACTGGTACTGACTCTACTTTCTTTATTAGAAACACAGAAGCTAATCACAAAAAAAGGAAAATAATCAAATTGAACTAAAATGGCACACATTGAGTTCCGCGTTTTTTTCCATGAAATCTCCTCATCTCTATCGTGCTCAAGGGAGGATAACACGCAAGTCTGCAATACATGAAAATAAAAGGATTTGAAAGTTAATTAAGAAATATTATCTACCGAAAAGAAACTCTAAATTGAATTAGTAGCAGAAGAAATTAAAGATATCAACGACAACAACACAGAGGAGTATTATTTTCTATTGTGGCATCCCAAAGAGAATGACGACTCGGTACCTGAAACACAAGAAAATAACTCGGCTAAGCCATACAACGGGGCTCAGTGCACTTTGACGCTTTGCAGTCTTGGAAAAAGTTACAGTCGTTCCTCGTGATACTGTGATCCATTTCGTTGGTGCAATTACGAGTGAATGTACCCAAATTATCCGAAACTGCCTCACAAATAGGGTGCTTTTGGGTGCAGGTTTCCATCTTGATTTTTTCATTACAATCGGCTTCAGCAGTTTTGCCATTTCCTTCCATGCCGCTACAGGAAGGGCACTGAAACTCTGTAAAAGGCAAAAAAAAAAAAGACAACATTTGGCACCCTTTAGAGCCCCGTTAAAATGGTCATGATGGTTGATGAAAGTTGACGATAGTTCAAACTTTCAGTCACTATCATAGACTCTCATGTTTGCGTTCAAACGGTTCATGATAGGTTGGCGATGGTTGCCAAAATCACGCAGTGAGACTACGTTATTATTAACAAATAAGGCACGCGCTGAGTTCAGCAATTTTGGTGGGATTTAAAATTTTACCCAGGAAGTTGCGATTTAAAGCGGATACTGAAGCCTCCCAGGAGATAATGAGAATGAAGAACGAGACATTCTAGGAAATTTTGACTCACGTCTACTTTAGTTAGTAATTAGTTTTATTTGCTTTTCGATTTGAGCCCGTTTTGGCAAAACTGTTGACCGAAAAACCTGTCGTTTACTAAGATCATCCGCTCGTTCAAACATCAAAAACCATCATCAACCATCATGTCGAATTTAAACATGTCCAAACTACATGATAGTTGATGATAGTCGATGATAGCGCATGATAGTTCGTGTTCAAACGCGCGTGATAGTTGAAAAACCATCCACTGTGGATGGTAGTTTCAACTATCACGCGCGTATAGTGACTATTAGGGTTGTTTGAAAGGGGCTTAAAATTTTATTTTCCCAATCGGTGGAATTTTATACAATAAAACTACGCAATCAGTGAACCATACCACTGTATCACGTATACCGTCAAGAAACTTATTTATTTTCGGGAAAAATGACTCCCAGAGCCTTAAAAAAAGTATTTCAGTATAGTGATGTCACAACTTCATTTTCAAGGCAAACGGTCATCTGAAGCGCGTACAGAAAAGACATAAAAATGTTTCAAAATAGTTCAGTCACGTCCGGCCCTTAATGAAAGAAAATACAACTGAATGCTCTGGAATGCACTGTTCAGAATATTTCAATCTCCGCCCTCGCTTTCGACAACATATCTTCGCCTTCGTTAAGATTTATCGTTCAAATAGCTTTACAAGCCTTCTAAACATCTGAAAATACACGAAGTAATCAGAAATACTGCTGCCAATAAAGAATTGGTCCATGCTTAGCGTGCGTATATCGAGTTGCGGAAGTACGCGGGAAATTTGGAGAGTACGAGAGAAACTTCTTGAGTATCCTCCAGTTTCTGTTGTAACAGCAATTAAACTGCTCGATTGTTTACATCTGATGTTCCTGGAAGCTGATTTAAACTTGGTTATTTAATAGCGAACGAATCTATTGACGAGCACTAATAAGCTAACTAGCACTTAACAAAATTTAAACTTTCGGTAATTGTTGAGACTATCAGATTTTTTGGCGGGTGTCTGCTAAGCATACATGAAAGTTCTACCGGTGGTGGTTTCCACTTAGCGATTTAAGCTTTATATACGACCGGCAAACTGATTATTCCTCAGTTGTGCCCTTCAAGGTAACCAGGTGGTAAGTCAAAAACAGCCTCTTTAGCTTTCCGATGCGAATTTTTTTTCTTATATTAAATGTAAGTTTGAATGTATTCCAGTTTGTTAACCGGCTTGCCCCTTTCAGCACAATCTCACCATTTTTCTAAAACTCAAGTTGTTTGTTGAGTCTATTCTCTCTGGCTGTTAATCGGCCCTCGTCGTTTTCATGCGCTCGAACTTTCAAAAAGCGAAAAGAACCACCGCGGAACTTGTCTGACTTTTTTTTGCTCTTTCTAATATGCATAATCCATAATCGACCCGTGGACATTACCGCCATATAATTCCCTGCTCTGATCCCGTTCTTAGTCAATCAGAGCGCTCGTTATATCGCACGGCAACAAGCTTTTTAAAAGCCATGCAGTAAAAAGGAATAATTTGCTTCAATAAGTGTTGATAATTGATCAATATCTACTTGAGACACGCTCTACGACTTACCGTACTTTCTTATGGTACAATCGCCGTGTTCCTCGCACTTGTTCAATAAAGTTTCATATTCCGCTTGGTTGACGCAACCACGATTGAAATGACCCTTATCGCTTGTGTACACTGCACATGTCGGCGTCTCTTTTGGACAAATCTCCATCTTAATTTGGCTATCGCAGTCATTTTCGTCCTTGCCTTCACAAGAAGGGCATTGAATTCCTTCAAATACTGAGGAAAAGAAGAAATGCTGGGAAACCTATCGTGAATTCAACTTTGGTAATCGGCTCCGTGATAAAAAAAAAAAAAACAAAAACCGATTGATTTTCCCGTTCTTTCCTTGACGAATTATAGGTTGAGAAAGTGGATTCTCAGCTGAACGTTTAGTGAACAAGCGTATTTAATTTATTCTACAAAATAGGCTTTTTCACCTAAAATATCAATGTCCATTCATTCCCCATCCAGTTCTGTTTATAACGAACGTAGGTTGAAAAAAGGGAAGAAAAACTGATTAAGCAATGATTAAGCTTAAGCTTTGTTCGTGATGGGCATTAAAATTCAAATAACAAACTAAGAATATTACGAAATAAAATCCAAAGAGGATGAACTGCTCATAACATTTGCTTCAAAAAAAATCGGTCTTCTATTTGGCCTTATTCACTCTTTACCAGTCCAACTCCGAAGAAGATGGTTTGTGAGAAAATAAATCGGTGATTAATTTTTTTGTTATCCCCTCAGTGCATCGAACAATTATCCCACGCACCGATATTCGAAGGATTGATTTAGGTATGGACAAGTACTCGCAGCTTACCGTTCTTATTCCACGTTAACTCAAGTGTAAATTTTGTTTTTAGAATTCCTTTGGTACAAAAGGGTAACACATTCATACCTGGCATCTCTCCTCCCATGCATCCCGGCTGAGTGCATTTTTCGGCTTTGCACCCCTTGCTTTGGCATTTGTCCACGGTTTTGTCGTAAAGAATTTGGTTCATGCAATGACGAGCGAATTTTCTCAACTCAGGAATGTAATATACCGCACACACTGGCGTCTTCCTGCTACAGGTTTTCTTCTTTATATTGATATCACAATTAGCTTTGGCTGTGGCTTCATCTTTTCCCTCGCCGATACATGTTGGGCACTGAAACACTTTAAACAAGGAAGAAAAAAATCGTTATTAAGTAGAGTTAAATATGATATCCCCTCAGTCTTGACGACTTCCATGGGCGATGCTGTATGGACATTACTCATCTCTCTTTCCTGAAATTTCATTCCGTATCAAGTGTTATTTTCCCACTAATGACATTTTTTGAACCAAAAGAAAAAGAGAGAAAGTCAAATGGAAGAAAAGGAGCAGAACTCTGATTAAGGAGGTGGTAGGAGATTCTCGTTAGCTATGAAATTCAAATAATTGGAGTCTACTGAAAATTTTGCCAAATAACAAGTGTGAATAACAGATCAATACTAAGCGGTTGTACGTAAGCCGCGCCCTTTCACTTACCGTACTTCAACATTGAACAATCGCGGTATCTCTCGCACTCGCTCGCGATGTGGTTATATTCCGCCTGGCTGACGCAGTGACGACTGAATTCATCATAGATACTTTTGTACACTGTACATATTGGCGCTTCTTTGGGACAAGCTACCATCGTGATTTTGCTGTTACAATCAACTTCGTTATCTCCTTGACAAGTAGGACATTGATTTTCTTCAAATAGGAAAATAAAACCGTTGATAAGTAGCGTTAAAATCGACGATATCTTTTATTGATGATATGACAGTTACATTTGTATGGTATGAAACAAAGAAGGCAGCGAGGGGGGGGGGACCGTGGAGATCTGTACGAGATAAATCGAACTCTTTTTAAAAGTCGGCTTCTTTCCAAAATAAGCTTTATAAATGTTCCCGTTGAAATACTCAGTTTCACCCCCAAGCCTCACTTTCAAAGTATGGATTAACCAAATTTAACTCGGAATATTTCCCAAGACAAATTGAAAAAAGCCATCGCACAAAAACAAAGAGGGAGCGGCAAAGGTTCATGAAAATATCAGTGCAAACGAAGGGGGCGAGTTTCAGTATGCGACATCATCGTGCGTAAGATCTATTTTGCTTTGTCAGATGATGAACACAGCACACTTTCTGTGAATTCTGCTAAGATATATTTTAATTACAAAGCAGTCTTAAGCGTGAGGCTCCGGTCAACATAATAAACAGAAATCATATAGTTCACCACTGATATGTTACTTACAGGTTCCTTCTGTTGCTCACAAAAAAAAAACGTTGCCTGAAATTAGTGGGCTATACTTGAACTTTTGACAGCTGGCTATTCAAATGCTAAAGCCTGAAAGGATCGTTTGCGCCCGCGCTTCTGTCGGAGACTAATTTGATGCCAAAATCTCTTAGCATGTCACGTCATTGCAACCTTCAACGTAATTACAAACTGCAATTTTTTCTGCTCGGGATTGGATCATCCAAAGTGTTTAGCTGCTCGATTTCTTAGAAAACGCTGCAAACATCCAGCCCCTACAAAATCTGTCGTCTACCTAAGGTTCATCTATGGCATCTTCCCGTTGTGGACTACAAGTGAAAGCAAGATCCAAATTTTTTTTTTGTTTTCACTACAACCTCCACGCGACTATTAATCTCACTCTCTTATATAGTGTGACTATGAAAGAGTTTATTTGGAGCTGTTTTCCTTTTTATTGAAGTTAAGGTGAGTGAGACATTGGCATCTTATCTGAGACAACGTGTGTCTCTTGTAGGATGGTCAGATCGCTTAAAATATTTCTTTTCAGAGCGAAAATATTTTTAATAACAATATAAAAATGATTTGGAGTTTTTCATCATATAGTAGGTGGCAGTATTTTCATAAGTTGAAACGGGCAAAAGTTTGTCTGAAGATCTTTTAAAGCGTAAATAATTCTTCGTGACTCTGTTAATAATTTACAACCGTGTGAACGGTTTCCAACGGCTACTGAAAGAGCCCCCATCGCGAAAAATTTTTTTGCGGTCGACAAGACCGGCTAAGGTATGACAACTGATGCATGATGAATTTGTGAATAAATATACAAGTGCGCGGGTTATCACGATGGGAGTTGTTTGTTTGACAGGTGCATTGTTATTCATGTCTGGGCTCGAGACAATGGCTAGCTAGCTCGAAACGCGCCAATTTTGAACTCAACTTCGACGAGCAACTTTCAAATTGAAATGAATAAAGGTTCCCCTGGACCATTTTTCAGTTTAAAACAGATTCTCCTTCAGAGAAAAGATTATGTACCATTTTCCGCGCTTGAAAATAGCTATTTAAAATAGCTTTCACTCTAAAAACCGAATTTTTGATTAATTTCTATTTTCATATGCAAAAAGATAGTTCTTCTATTTCCTAGATCTCCCTTATCACTGGTGTAGATTAAAGATACATCATTAATCTTAAAAGAATCCGTGTGAGAAAGGTGAACTTTCCATAGTTAAACTCACGAAAGCAAGTGAAACTTTTCAAAAACACCTAGTTGATCCAGTCTACAGCGAACGCATCGAAGGCAAACGTAATTATCTCGCCGGAGTAGAAGAAAGTTGTTATTAGTCATTACTAAGTATTTACCTGCGGGAGTTTTTTCATCATCCATTGGTGAAAACGAGTGATCAGCGAGAACAAGACTCACCAACTGCCATAACATCATCATCATCATCATTACCTTCAACATTTTGGCAAAGTTCCTGTTGGTAAATGTAAAAAAAGGGGTAGAGAAAAACTTGCCAGTATTTTAGATATTCTAACAAAACAAGTGTGTAGATTTATCTCGGGTTTTTCTTTACTGGCTTCAATAAATGCTGTCCCATAGCGCTGGGATTCCTTGAGAGGTAGCTGGTTCTCAAAGCGCCACGAGATTTCTTTTTGATATGTGCGCGGTATAAATACTGGTTATTATTATTATAAGGTACCGTATCAAAGGCAAGCGTAGTATTTGGAAAAAGTCATTGGGAAAAGCGAACAATTCATAAAAAGGGGTAATCAAATGTTTCTTTTTCTTACCTCTAGATCTCTTGCTGTAATAACGAGTTAGCTGTTGATAAAATACGTTGCTTACCGCTCTCCTGACGTGAACTTCAAACAAGGTCCTTAAATTCTTCTGGGGGGATTAGTGCTCTCAACCATGAGTCCATTACTGACTCAACTTATTCTTGGTAAAGCGACAATGAAAAAAATCGGATGACTTCTTGTCAGGGCAAAACAAAAGCTACAAAGACAAAAGTTTCCTGAAGTGAACTTTGAAAAAGTCCTTAAAGACTGATAGGGGGGATTAGTGCTCTCAACCATGAGTCCATTATACTCAACTTATTCTTGCTCAGGCGGCATAGCGGGCAATAAAAGGAATTGGGCGGCTTCTTGTCATGGCAAAAACAAAAGTTTCAAAGACTAAAGTTCCCGCTGAAAAATTTTCTTCCATGTTGGTGGGAAAAAACACGATCTGAGACAGTTTATCAAAGATAATTAAACCCGACTTTGCACTTTAAAGCTGATTTAAAATGAAAATAAACCAATGTTTTATTTTTAATATTAAAAATAAACTTGATTTACTTTAAGCAATCCCCTAGAGGCTTCCTTCTTTGAAAATGCATAAAGTTTTCAGCAAAATGTGGCGGTGAAATACATTACAGTTATGAAAAAAACAAAAACAAAAAAACAAAAAAAAAAAACAAAAAAACAAAAAACAGGCGGGAGAAGAATGGAATGGTTACTGTGAATTAGCGTAGCGTAACATCAAAAACTGTCCTAAAAAGAGCGAAAACGTGTTTCAACTTTTACTTCTTAAATCAAGCTGTTCCAGCCCTTGGGAAGTACAAAAGGCTTTCAGCATGTGATCGCTGAGTTGAGCTTCTACATAAAACAGCCTATCTACTGAAGCAAGTTATTCCATGTTAAGCTTAGAGCCAAGAGTTAAGCCAAGAGCTTAGAGTTTAGCCACGAGCTTAGAGTTCCATTCTAAATAATGGCGCACGCTACTTTTTAAGTTCATTCAAGGGATAAATCTTAAACACAAACAAAACAAAACAAGGAAGACTTAATATAATCTGTAATGTTTTTATAATGTTTCATGTTGGTGAGCAGAGACAAATAGATTCGCGCCGTCTGCTCTATATCATGTCTTGATCCGTCGAACAGACTTTCTTTTTCTTTAAATCTGGATCCACGTACTTTTTTATCCTTCCTGTGATAAAATTTTATTCTAAATGGGTATACATGTGTTCACATTTAACTTATCTATTCTCTAGGAAGGACTATACATACATACATCTCAAACTATGGCGGATATCTAAACTGAATAAACAATTTTAACATTATCTTGTTATACGAGTGCAAAATTAGCAAAAAATAGCGCGCGCGGGCTTTCAAAATGTCGACTGTCCGAACTCTCTGTGATGTTTTTTCACGTAAATTATTAACAAGTAATAAGATGATTTCGAGTGCAATTTGGCGTATTGAGCACTTGTAAACTTTTCCAAGACTACAAATTGCACTTGCCGCTAAGATGTAACTATTTTTCTTACCAACAAATGTACTAACTTGACTAAGGTTACCATGACCAGTAAACTGGCTAGGCTTAAGTTTATCTTATCAACAGCTATATCAATTCTTTTTAAAATTTAAGGTGGCTCGGCACCTACAGTACAGAATATTTTAAAACTTGAAGGTGAGATCAACCCCGATAATTTGCTTATAATTCAGGAATAAGAAGACGAGACAGAAATCGAAGATTTTTTAGTTTTTTTTTTTGCCATGGTAGCCTTATATATGAAAATAAAGAGTCCCACTTGTTAAGAATTAGGAGGGGTCATAGCTTACAGAGACTTCAGCTGAGTAGGGCACTTGAAAATGTTCGAAGGCAGCTCCTCTAAGCGGTTGTCCTGCAACTACCTAAAACAAATTTCGATGAAATTATCCTCCGCTGTTATTGATACTAAATGTTATGCCATTTTACCTTATAGTGGAGTGACAAAATGCCGCACAGAACGATCTAAAGGTCTCTCTTGGGGCTTGAGCTTTGAAATAACTAACTTTGAGCGTGAGATTTTTTGCTGGTCATAAACACCTAAATGGTTTGCTTTGTGTTGTTTCGTCTTTTACACCCGCCCTATGCGATCGATACGATGCATAGGTAAAAATGGGAGGATACATTTTGAAAATTAGACGCCGTCAGAAGACGAAATAATAGTAGAATGATAAATCCCTTTTCAATGGTTATAGATGTAACACGTGCCGACATTTTGCCCAACCAATCCGGTCTCTATCTGGAAAATTATATTCATTGCTTTTTGTTGCCATGGAAAAGATAGAGGATTATTTTAAAAAATGATAGCTTTCCGAACTTACAACTTAATAAGCTGTGCGTTATTTCTGAAATTGTCTGAAGATAACTCCTTTAGTTGGTTTCTCTTTAAGTACCTGAGAACTTCAAACATAAAAATTATTTTTATCATTATTAAAACCATAACAACATTCTCGAACGTGATTGATCATCACCAGCCCGATTTGAGCACTAATAGGACAGTTTACATGTACGCGTCATGTTCGTGATTGGTCAGTGTAAAAGGACACTTGATACGTCATGCCTGTGTAAGTGGACAGAACGCGTCATGTGCGCGCGCTGGTGTTGTGCATTTCGCCGAATTAACTGTTGTTTCTCAAATTTTTCATTGTTTTGGTTAATTGGTAACAACACTTCATGTCGTCCAATTCTCTCTATAATCATATTCTCAAATAACAAGGCGGACTTTCGCTTCGCTTCGCGATTTTGTAAATGATTCATATAATTACAGACCTATTAATATGCATGCAACATGTTCAACATGTTTATTGGCTGAGAACACGTCAATAGGCCTTTCCGAGTTCTCGCGGTTCAGTGATCTGGCGCCGAAATTGCGGCGCGAGAGTAAGGCTAAGTGCAAAGTCGCTTTCCTCGGTATAAAGAATAAAGAGCCGTGGTAATGAAAATAGTGAAAATTTCTCAAAATCCACTGTGAGAGAGTGAGAGATTTTTCGTAGGAGATAGACATTCAGTTAATTATGGTGGCAAAAGTATTTAAACGTTCGAACCGGAGGCCTTGAACAAAATTATCGAGGAGCTTACGCTTCAGCTCGTACGAAAGACAGGGAAGACAACCAGCGTGATGGCTTTCGTGTACTAGTGACTAGTACTGAGTGATAGCTAATTTAGAAAGAGCACAAATGCTCGATTATTTGTGAAAGAAATTTTAACAATTTTTTTGGCAAAGATTTGCCAGCGAGCTAGAATCGTAGAAAACTTAGAAAGATTGGAATGGAAAATAGCTGCCGACAGCACGTAAATTTATACGAAAAAACACAAACTAGTATGATGTTAAGTAATTTGCATGCAAATTTTAGCTTTGTTCGCAGAAGGACGCCCCATGAGGAATGTTTAATATTAGGCTTCTTTGAAAATATCCTACTTTTAATCACTGAGTAGCATGATTAAAACTTTTTTCTTTGTTTTCTGTCGGCAGGAGGGCAACTGTCAATGTGGAGCAAAGTGCACAAGAGAACAAAAGCATTATCATGACGATCACGATTGTACGTGGCTCGTTGTGATGGAAAACTTGCTGAAACATAATTGCGTTTAAATCAAACCTGCAGGGACTTTCCTTTGTCATGGTTTTGGAAGCTTATATTTCATATTTGATGTGTGCTCTTGTTATGTTAATTTCTTCAGTTTTTTTTCTTTTCTCTGGTATTTTTTTACTTTTGTTTGCCTTTTTTGTTTTGACTTGTTTTTTTTTTCTGATTCCCTCAAAATTAAATGATGATTTAATGCACTTAAACTATGGCAAGGACACACTTCAATTAAACACTCTTTTACTCATCACTTGATTTATTACTCTAGTAAGATACATGAAAAGATTTCTCAGTTCTGATTGGTTAAGAGAAATGCAGTTTTCAGGTAATTCAGTGCAAAAGAGGGTTAATTCAGTGCCAAGAAGTAACAAACCAGACTGAACAATTCCTTGAACTTTTTAGCCGGACTCTGAACTTTTTTTAACCTAAAAGATGAGAAAATATCATCGTATGTTATTGTTTTGATCGTACGCGATTGTTTTGACCGAACGCACAATGTCACTTGCAGGGTTTGAATAAATTATTTTTGCACTTGATGTGCGCGCTTTGCTTCTGCACAATTATGATAACCTACCTCGTATTTTTTCATGTATATTAGTAATACGTAATCATATGATTTTTCTCGTGCAATCTGGAATAAAGAAGCACTTGTACATTTTTTCAAAGACCGCAAATTGCACGAACCCGTTGGGCTCATGCAATTTTTTTAGTCTTTGAAAAAATTTACTCGCTTTACTTAATCATGTGATTACCTATACAAATGCTAAGGGTATAGGGAACACAAAACACTCGCGGTTTAAACTGAACGAAAATTACACACCCACTACTAGAAAAGGCGTGAAATATGAAATCTAGAGGGCGGCGTAATTTACATAAAGCACGATAACAATGTTGAAAATATGAATATGTGACACAACGAAAAGAATGGGCGTAAATAAATGGTACGAGATACATAAGATATGTGCAAGAAATTGTAAATTTGCTAAAAGATTATTTTCTCCGATGGGACAATAGGATGTTAGAATATTTGTGTATTACAGTAGCTAACTTAAAGTCAAACTATGTGGCATATCAGTTTATTTGATATGTTCTCCGAAATTTTAGTTTTAAATTTCGATAAAGGATCCCTCTGAAATTACAATCACTGGTAGCTTGAAACAAAGAAGATGCAGACGCCTCTTATTATCAGCAACGGCTCTATGTGTTTTGTTATTGTGGCAAAGGCCAGCAACCGCTTCTGTAAGGCCGCAATTTCAGCCTTATTGTTGACTGGCGCGTACTTAGCCTAAATCTAGGGTTACACGATATGGATTTCCGTATCGCCTGAGCTCTGACGAAATTAATAAGAACCTTCGTGGGTAAAAAGTGCTACTCATTCTAGAATCTGGATTCTTTGCTAACTTTCAGTATAAATTATTTGCCTGTCTAGGCATCGTGCACCTAAAAGGTACTAA